ATCGGTATTGCTTGCAAGTATAAAAGTCCTTAAGTATTTCGTAAATTCCTACCCTAACATTTTACGATTGCGATATCAAAAGCTCATATATGAATCTTAAGTTTGATTATTGGAGTTGCCGATCACCTTGCTTCACTGGAGGCCGTGACATTCTGATAAAGTGACAGTATGGTCCGCAATCGCCCGTTTTGGTGTAATTGGCTCATTTTTTTTACGAACCCCCCCAATCCACAAAATCCACCACATTGTTTGGCATATGTCGCGGCCCAGCGCGATGGCAACAAAAGTAGTGGTGAAACGCCCCTGATAGTGCCTACCAGGGAGGCATCTCCACGACAGTTGACTAAATCCTGGGAGAGGCGACGACGCCAGGCATATGTCAAAGTATCAAGTATCACAGTTACTGTCAACTCAAAGCGTGACCTAATAATGCTGCAAGAGTTTTTGATTCCTGAGTTAAGAAGACGGACAATTAATCTCGCTACGTTATATGGTTTCAGCAGGATGGCGCTACTTGCCACCCTCCCGAATAACGACTCACGAGAGAAATTCGTGCCATTCCTGCAGAAATGATTTAGAGGTGCAAGGACAATTTTTCAACTCGTCTTCGCGAGTGCCTAGAGAACAACGGAAGCCATCGTCACGACATTATTTTACATTCATGATTTAGATTTAAGCTTTTCTTTTTGGATAAATCTAAATGGCATTATATTCTGAGTTAGTTAAAGAAATACAAATTCTTTCTGAAAAACGCCACTCCTCCTTGGCTCATCTTGTACAAAAAATATTCTAGACCCTAATCTAATGCTCATAGCAAAAAAGATTGAAATTTAAACACTTAATTTACAAAGGTACAGATTTGCTGTAACTATAGCGCCACTTGTTATCACTAAAAAAACAGTTTCGAATAAATTCTTCTTTTGAGTAGAATCCAGATATGCAATAAAAATGTGGGTTCTCATTTGAAATTACAAAGTTGCCCCCCGTGATTAGAGAGTGGATTGTAGACCCCTTAAATATTATCGGTTAAAGAATCAAAATGATCGATTCCATTACAACACACCCTCCACTTCGACGGAAAATGCGCTAAAAATATTCCATGTACTAAAAGGCGACACCCTCTCCAAATGGATATGAAGATTATAAAGTTTCTTAAACATTTTGTGATTTCAAAATGCGAAGGTGACACTTTTGTGGGTTGCCAGAGATTTTCTTGTAGATCTTTAAACATAATCGATTAAATAAAATTATTTCATATACTCCAAATGGATATTTAGATTATAACATTTCGAAATGCAAAGAAATGACACTTTTGTGCGAGATAAGAGGGTTTCTTAAAGACTCATCTTCAATCTTAAGAGCCTCTCAAAAGATTAATTATAGATTAATTTAATTAAAGGTTTACAAATAAGCTCGTAAATAAGGTAATATTGGGCATCTTATTAATTTCTAAGGCTTATGCCATACTTGTTGAGATTTGGATGAAGTTTAACGAAGTGTACCTCCTTTTGAATTCAAAATCCTTTCGCTCTTATAAGTTTTCATTATTTAATCCTATCTTAATAACTAAACTACAACTACAAAGCATCGGTTTACGTATTTTAAATCTGATAAAATCTCCTTTACGTGATTGAATAATTTAAATATTACCGCAACATTTCTTTACCCAATACGGCCTAGAAATAGAATTTTCCTCAAGTACAAGTAAATTGATTACATACTCGAGATTTTCTTTACAATCTCGCATGTTTTGGATTCCGTATTGTACCACGAAAGCTTTTTCAGAATACACAACAAAGCAAAATTGGGAAAAAATGTATGATGCTATCTTCTGTAAGTTTGAAAGAAAAAGTGGCTAACATTCTTTACCATGTTGTTTCTGAATTACTAACAATTTTCTTACAATACAATCTTTAAAATAATGATACTAAATCGGTATTTGCATATAAAGGATCTCATTGAAAGACGCACTTTAAACGCCACAATTCAAATTTGATTTATTCGTACATGAAAGCCTTTTAATCTATCCACGGCTTCACTCAATATTGTTGAGCCCCTCTCACTTCTCCAGAAAAACAATTTTGCTTAGACGTGCACTTTCTCTATACCAACTTATACGTGCTTTTCGGAAACGTTGCTTATCAAGGCGTTGTTCGCGCAAAGCAAAAGACCTCGTGGATTTCATTTAGGCATGTCGATTAATTTTGCAACGCAATAGCAATTGATACGACAAAATCAAAGGTTTGTGTGTAGGTACTTTAATCGATTAAAGCGTATTCCCTAGATAGACGACCACAATCCGCTTAAACGTCTCCTTGGCTTCTAATCGAAATATAAACCTTACTTTTTGGGACGTTTATCTGATTAGAACTCGTGCAAAAACACACATTTGTAACAAGATAAAAACGGAATGTGAGCAAAAGTAATGTAATTTGCCGGAATTTAAATTCATATTGCCTTAGGTTTTTTTATCCCGTAGGTATATTAGCACATGTTTCTAAACGTCTCATTTTAGTAGTAAAGCAATTTGTATGGACACCAAAGATAACTTTTCAACTATTCCATGTTCACCCCACCATTTTCACAGTAAAAAGTTTTTGAATATGTGTAAGAAAAGCATTTTTGATTTCGAGATACTTCATTGTACAGCACTGGTTTTCCAACACCATAATTCCATCTCTAACAATATACACTGATGTTCATCATCATTTTTATTGACAAGGTATTCGTAACTGCTTCCGTGAGGCTCGCAGAAATAGCTGGTCAGAAATCTTTCTTTTTAAATTTCATTTCAGCGTGACATAATCTTATTAAAATTCCTGGAGTATCGGTATGAAAATAAAACCTCTAATCAAAAATGAATATTTCATGATCACATCGTGAAACTTATTTTATCCGAGTTGATGGAACTTGTAGAAAACTGTGTGAGCTGTACTTAGCTGTAGGTACCTATTAAAGTATTTCAACAATGCTATAAGACAAAATGCAAAGACGGCGAGAGGGGAGGTGGGGTAATAAATGGAGCAGAACATCAATAACTTTAATAACCACAACCACAAGAAAGTTTTAATAATTGAAAATCTTGCGAACGTCTATCTATAACTCTCATAATGCAACTAGATCATTTTCTGGTACGAAAAGGATATAATGTATAATCAAAAAGTGCTAAGTAGAAACGAAATTCATTTAGATGGTATGTAAAGCCTATAGTAGAAAATAGGTAGTGGAAGAGAAAAGCGTCATCTAAATTCAGAATGGATAAAAATGTATCGGCATGACGGCGGCGCCTAGATTGTACGTCAAGGCGCCGATAGGCCGAGAAGCAAAGTAACGCAATACTGCCTATACTAAATCAGAAACACGGATTCTAAAATAAAAGCTATGGCTTCGTGTCGCATATCGATTTCTTGTTGACTACTGCTTCGTATAATTTAATAGAGTAGTCCATGATCTGGTTTCCGCGAGACCATGCAAACTAAAGCAATAATTAATATAGGTCTACCTGCTACCTACACACAGGAAGGATGTATAAAACTAGATAAAACTGTAATATTTTTTAGCCTTTTACAATTCAATATGCATTAGGTATGTATTATGAAAGCACAAAACACCTACTCCTAACTGTAGGTACAAAGCAGATTTGAACTTTCAGGTAATTAACCTTCGCAATTAGGTGCCGATGGAATGCCTTAAGCCGGCAGGATCTCAGGTTCCAGAAAGAAGTGGGAACAAATCGAGTTTATCTTTGGACTTAGCAAGCCAACTTAACGAAGTTAAAGTAATCTTACATTTAACTTTCAAAAAAGGGAAACGTAAATGGGAAAGAAAAATATGGCTTCTATAATTCGATAGAAACATATAGTGTGTGGAAATAAATCTGTGTCCCTTTGAATTGCAATGTTGATCCCTAAAAAAACATCGCTAAATTATGGAAAATCCATGATCAATCTTGTGAAGAATAAAATTTCTACTAAGCGTGTCCATCAATATTTTTAACATCAGAAATGGCCTTCATTAGACACAACATGTCTGATACTTTTTATGACACTTCAAGGTTCAAGAAGGCGGTTTGATCCACTCTTTTTTTTTGTTGTTGCTATATATTTGTGTGGACTGTATTTTGTAACATTTAGTGGATGTGACTCATTCTTTCCTTGAAATATGATACGCCTTCTAGACTCTTCGAGAACATCCTTGATTTTTTCTAGAAACTTTGCTTTGCTATACAAGAAAGTTAAAGAGTGTGTGACAAATTTACGTGTTATAAATTACGTACAAGTAACTGATAAATAATACAGATCTGTTATAAATCTATCTATCATAAATTCATTAATAATTAATTACAAACAAATAAATGATGTAATTACATTTACCTACTTAACAATTCTCAAAGAACATTTCTCCTCAGTTGAAACATTTTGCTAGGTAGATTCCAAGGAAAACTCTTATAAGATTCTTATAATAAGGTCGTCAGAGAAATACGCAAACGCCTCAATTCGATTACACAATAGCTAGCTCTCTATGTACCCAGTTATAACTCACGTTAATCTAAACTAGGTACGGCTTTATAACATAATAAAATGTACCCACTGGCCACTGTTGTCCTTCTATAATCTCGACGGTAATAAACGTTATGGCTAAATTTCCCTAGAGATCGGAAAAAGAGTAAATATAAAGTTTTAGAAATTCACATTCTCTGAAATGTCCTCTCTTACATGCCTGAACTTAACTAAAAGAAGCCTTCTATCTCGGTTTGGAAAAAATTATAATTTTCATTATGATAATTCGTGAAAGCATTCGGATCGTTATTCAGATTAAGATATTTCGAGGACTAAATAGCCTTTGCGTGTTCGAAAGTACGTATATAGGTAAAGTAGCTATTTGACGCCCAACTGATCCAGTTTTACAGTTCGTGAGAAGCTTGTAGCTAATTTTGTCAGCTGTTCAATCGTCTGTATATATATGATATTTATCTAATAAATTAATTAATAGTTAATAGAGATGCCCGGATTAGATTACAATGTTGTATACAAACAAATAAGTGTCGTTTTAAATCGTTTGGTAAGTTTTTTTTTAGTTTGAGCTTCCTACGTGTTCAAAAGGCAAAAAGCTTGCATTAATTCATTAAGTTAATATCCTCCAGCACCCATGACGTACCTATGCAAGGATCCGCTTTTTCTCCATGGAATGAATGAAGCCTCTTGTAGTAGCTTCAATCCATTCAGTCTGCATTTTTAATACAAATTACAAATGTATGAAAACTATGAAAATTCAGGGTACAAATTCAAACTAATTGCTTTGACAACCAGAATATGTTTTTTACAGCTTCCCTGTTGAAGATGCTACAACAAAAAATAAGTTTGACAAATAAAATAAATCATAGTTGTCTTACCTTAACTTATAGCGACCTATATTAATCATATTCATCAAGTTTCTATTCAGTGAAGTTACGTTTATTACGGTTACAGCATCCAGCGCCCAGCGGTGCTATTATTACAATCACAGCAACCCATACAGACCATAACGCGTAATATGATAGTTCCATACGTATACGTACAGTTTAAGGAACAATTTCCACAACACTACTCAAGCAATTCCTATGCTAACTACGCGGCCACAAGAACACAAGCTTTGCGCTCTATTTAATGAAAGATAAACAGTACTCATGAAATGGCAGTCAGTGGCCGTAATTAGGAGTGTTACGATTGTACTCAGTACAAACGCCCTTAGTTCATTTGAATTTTTAACGTACCTAATTGTTGCAGTTGGTGTAATGGAAATGTCAGAGGATGAAGAAAAAGAGCCGTCAGCTTACGTCGTCGCTTTTCTCTACGGCATTTTATCCTTCGTATGCGTCATACTACTTGTCCTTCTCATTTTTGTAGCGTGTTCAAGAAAGTACAGGCTTAATTGGTTTGAGAAAAACCTTTTAGAATCCGCCGACAACAAAGACTCTCACAGGCAAGTACTTTTCCAATTCGGTCCCATGAAAAACTCTTTATGTCAACACCAATTTACTTGCAAACTTTATCGACAGGCCGAGAAAACTGAAACCTATAGACTTGGAAGAGTTTCGAAATTGAATTTGTTGTTTTCAGCGTGACCTTAAATCGCTTGAGAGTGCCGTAGCAATTAATCTTATTACGAATTGATCTCGTTTTTTGTACATTTTCAGCCAAGAACCACTAGTGCAGGAGTTGATACAGGGTAGTAGTAAAAGTTTATGCACTAATTATGGTGAGGAAGCGTATTGGATGCCCACTTCATCTCAGAAACACAGCTCGCTTTGCCAAAGTGATAACGAAAGGGACGAAACGAGTCCGGGTAAGTTGTATTTTTACATTGTTGCGGGGGTGGTCGTGGTTGTGTATCGTTCCTATTTCAGCGAAAACCTCTTTGGTTACTGTTATTAGGTAGGTTTTCTTTTATAACCAAGATGCTTCAGTGTACATTTTCCAAGTTTATGAACAATAATAGTACTACTTGCTTTTATATTTACCTTCTTGTACATTGTTATACTGACATTTATTTCGATAAAAATGTTCATTACCTGCCGCTTGTCCTTTGCTGTTTTTAATCATTATATGTGTGCCGAAGTGCCGAAACACTTGGAATCGTGGAAGTAAAATATCTGAAATACTTAAGCATTAAAAGCAGTCGCATTATTCAATAGAAAGCATGTGTTTTTGCCAATAATTAAGCATTTATAATAATCCTAATTATTATATAAAGAAGTATTGTGTGCATATGAGGGCACTCAAGAACCCGTGCAAAACGATTCTACTTAAGATGAATCTTTGCACTCTAAACTAAATTGTGCGATTAATCTTCTTGATTAGGTACAGTTTTTACGTTTTATTTTGTACTTTCCGATTTTATCATTCATATTCATCAGTCGATCTGAGAAGTACCAAAACTCTGTCAGTGGTACTGTGTGGTACGTTACAGTTATTTTAAAGTTAATTATAATAGATATAATAGATAGGATTAGAATTAATGAGTAGAAACGACAAAATTTCGGACTCGTATTCAGATGCCTACCATTAGAATTTCTCTTTTGATAGTAGTAGGAAAAATGATTGAATAAGCCTCAGAGATGCAGCATGTGTATATGGACGGCACCTTCTTAATCATGCCTCATTTGTTCACCCAAGTGTTCGTCATCCTCTCTCGAAGAGGAGCAGGCTTTGTCTTGCCGGTGGATTTCGGGCTGCTGCCTAACAAAAAAGCAAGGAAATTATACGGACACCGAATACGAAGCTTTCGTCTTCTGCTTTCAGGCTCCGAGGAAATGCAGAAAGTTCCGGGAAGCCGACGATAGGATTCCGAGGAAAGTTCAGGATTGCTATGGTAACAATACGATCTAATATTTGAGAGACGTTTCTCATAATTAGTACTCATTTACTCAAGCCTCTATTTACTCAATCTTAATACGATTGATTAAATTCGCATGTTCCATTGCTCTAAATCAGCATGTATATACAAACCGCCGAATCGCGCTCCGCCGAAACATCCCCCAGTCGAAACGTCCCTCCGTTTATAACTCTCCATCCTGGCGAAATATTTGCACTAGATTGGCATCAGGATTGTTAATCTTCTCCGAGAACTTAATTAGCGCAAGGTAGGTATTAGAAAATGCGGAGTATTCCGAAATAGCATTTGCAGAATTTCATCAGTGCCGGAAGTAAATGAGAAATTAATGCAAAAATAAATACTCCACCGATTTTCTCCTCAAATGAAACTTCGACGGTTCACTAAATGTCATTCTTATAGCACACTTAAGCGATATTTACTGTTTCTTTTGTAAGTTTATTGGCGTATAACAGTTTTTTCTAAGAGCCCTTCGGTTTAAATACTCCGCAAAGCGTCATAAACGTATAGGAACGAGATGGTGATTACTTACTGTTACACGATCCTTTGGGTACATAGCTTTGCTTTTTATTTGTCTCATAATGGTATAAGTGTAACAAATAAATCTCCTTCCTGCTCTTGTTCCAGAATGTTCGATACCAGAGAGCCCAATATCATCGAGTAGTTATCAGCCTTTCTCTGCACCTATTCCACTCGCTAGAAACGGCAATCAAATTATATTGACTAACACGAGCCCGGTGCGGCCAAAATTGGCGTCAATGCAGTCTAAATTGGACCACACAAAAATTGATTATTCCTTATATCAAACGGTAAGTTTAGGGAAGCTATAGTACTTTTTATTGGCTTGTCAGAGATTCATTGTCGTACAAAACCGAAGTAAACTGTCGGTTTATCTGATGATTCCAAATTTATTTTAGTACATTTTCAAACTGAAAATCGCCAAGAAACAAAAATAAGTTTTCCATTAACTTAATAATTAAAGTCATCTATTTATTTTCAAAGGTGTACATCGTGCAACGGCATCCAGTTCCCTTTAAACTAAGACCTTTTGGGTATATACAGTAGATATAAATACAATCAATGCTACCGTCTTGGTTTTTCCAACGAGTACGTTGTTGAATTTATCTCGTTGTACTGATACTCGGATCTCCTTTGTTCGATACATTGCACGTGCCAATGCTGGCACATACATATTGTATTGCCAATACCGATTCCTATTATAAAGTTAGTACGACAAAGTACGAATTACTTTGTTTGTTCGCAGCAATTCATTCATGAAGTTAGCGATTAGTTCTGAACTTAAGCTCGGCATAGCGTTCCTGAATTATATTTATACGTGCAGAACTACAGGAATGCATTGTTTTTGTTTACTTCACAGTTCACACTCATATTTCGGGTTATAAGTTGAGAAAAACTATTGATACATGCGGAAGGGACTAAACATTTTTAACTTGTTGTTTCAGGAGTCCCCATCTGAACCAACTAATATGAGGGGTTCCCTGCACGTCACTCTGTTTTATGAACCTATAGCAGAAATATTAACCGTTCGACTTATTGAAGTAAGTAGTATTCAAATAATACTATATTACAGCTTGTTTGAACAAAGATGGGCAGTTTCAGTATACAACTGATACTACTTTTTATAATATGATGCCGGGACTATCTCATTTAGCAATACTGTTTACGTAATGATTTCAAAGCAATTTTCGAGATGATAGCAGACCTATTTACGAAGAAAGATGTTGTGAGTTGGACATGGTCAAGTTAATTCTTTCTAGTTCAGCCATCACATCTCCATTTGGATGTGGGGATTTTCTGTAGCTCTTGACCAATAAATTAAACAAGCTCGAATATACCAAATTTGAGATCACATGCAAAGAAATGACAGACAAATTATCGAAGAAAAAGAATAATTTCCTCAATCCAAGCATAGAGTAACTCTATGATCCAAGTCAGTAAATATATTTATTAGCTGAAAACCTAGACGATCAACTGATGGATGTCGAGGAGATCCATTATCCTTCAAAATCTGATAGCAACATAAAAAAAGTCTCAGCTATTTGAAGAAAATGTATTATGCAAATTGATTTTTTGTATCTCCCCTAAACGCCTGCCATTAATTATCGGACGAACGAAAGGCCCTATTTACGACGTCTTTATGACTTAAAAATCGGGTCACGTTCAACCCTATTCTACGGCGGTAGCTTTATTACGTAATTTTGTATTGTGTCGATAGACATTTTGAATTGAATTTGAAAGTCATCCTTACACGAGATAATTCTCCATTAGACTTTAAATCCGTGTATAACGATGAAAAAACGCTTTACTACAGAATCGGAATTAGGTATGTCGTAACGGCAATTTAAAAGATAAGTGTGACATTGTGGCATCGTTTAAATGAAGACGAAATGGTTTCAGGCTCAAGACTTGGAAGCCAGAGACTTTAGTGGAACCGCCGATCCTTACGCTAAAATACGTTTGTTACCCGATCGAACGAATGTGTGGCAGACGAGGATACACAAGAAAACCTTAAATCCAGGTAAGATTGCTTTAAACGCCCTTGTAAAATGGTATTTTGTTTATTGATTTTACACGTACGTTCCCTTTCTTTGGCACCTTGAACCAATTTATTTGAAATACTATCATTCATGAGGTAGTTTAATAAGTCTAATAAAGTTTGCTATTTACAACCCTATAAACTCTTTTTATAAATGGAACGCACATTCGCGAACACTTTACTTTAATGAATTGCTTCTTTCATCTATCTGTATTCTAGTTCGTTGCAAACTTCAGAGAAAAGTTCTCGGGGAGTAAAAATGAAATGAATCCTTAGAAGAGGGAGGGACATTATCAACAGTAATATCCCAAGTGCATAAAAATAGCCCATTAAATTTTGACGTTTTTGTCAAATGATAGAATGCTTAGAAATCCGACGAGCCAATTTGCTACGTAACAAAATCCCAAGTGCGTAACACGAGGGATTTTGGGTGGAGAAGTATTTCTTCTTAGTAAAACAAGAAAAACGACAAAATTTAAGCACACGGGATATTCGGCATTATTATCTCCTGAATAAATATTAAATTACGCAACAAATTTTGACACATTTTTTACGCCGGTAAAATTTTAGCGTTTGCTTGATTTTCCTTGTGTGCGATATATGCCTAACTTTTTCCACTTATGCAAGTTTAATTTTCTATCCCTTCACTTTTTTGTTAAAATATTCCTCTATGCGTACTTAAACGTACTTTTATTTTCTTCTAGTCGCAACTTTTTAACATCTATTTTCTCAAGTTTTCTTAAAGTTTCCTCAAGTTCTCAAATTCAACTTCAGTTGAAGTTACTCTTTGGTTCCCGTAATCTTTACCGTAAGTTTCACGTTGAACACAAGTTCTCTTCAAATTCAAGTTCAAAAAATTTAATTCAGGTTGTAATCAATTTTTTAATTTTTTGTTCATCAGTCATCTCTCTTAAAACGTTTGCATTCATTACTTCTTAAATTCAAAAGGAGAATACATCATCCAAGATGGTCCAGCACTAAAAGAAAACGAATATCTACTGGAAATATCTAAAAATTTGCTATTTTGTATATTTTCCTTGTTGGGGATAAGTAAGATTGCTTTGTCTTTATATAAATGTGTTCCATTTTGTGTTGCGTCAACGGTTACAAGAGGTTGCAGTTCCGTAATCAAGAAAATTTGAAGTACACCGCAATTTAACTCAAAATTGAATGAGGCGCTCCATTATTTTCCGTCGTGGTTTCAAGCTTAGCAAGCTCAAGGGAATCGTAAAATGGTAATTTACTACCCAAAGCGCTTAAAATTATGATATTTTACACAGTAGGTAAATCTGTTGAAACATCCTGCCGAGCATATGCATTTGTATGGTGGTGATTCTAGTTTTTAAATGAGATTATAGGTACCGCAAAATTAATTTCTTTAAGTTCTATACTATCATTCGCCCCGATTACGACTTCTACATCTAAACGTGCCAAAGCAAAACTGGGTTAATACGAAACATTTTATGGAGACGGTAATTCGATCCTGCACTCGCGGCTTTCGTCGTTAAAGTTACTTTTTATGATTTTCAGACAAAATTAAATGAACATTTATGAATTAAATATGAGAAGTAAATACCTTAGATAACAAGAACTATTTAACAAACGCAGTAATGCAGAAACATCTCTGATTTTGCTCCTAGCAGTAAACGGAAGTTATCGATTAGCATAAACAGAAATGAAAAATCTTTATCCGTTCTCGAGTTTAAACTGAAACGGACAGACGAGTCTTAGGACCACTAAAGCCATTCACTTTTTATTAAAGTAAAACTGCAATAGTTAATCTGGGGCATGGAAATGAATTTCAGAAAATTATCGGGAGGTTTGAAAAACAAAACTACTTCTGAATAATATAAAATAAGTTGTGAAGGTTATCATCAGTCATCACCTTTACATTGGCCAAACGAAAAGGCCATTCAACATTTGTTTTCAGTTTGCCAGATTGACAAAAACGGTAAATTTTGAAAAACGTTCATTGGGATTGCTTTGAACTTCTCAGATTCTAATAGTTGAGTAAGCTAATGATTTCTCCACTTCTAACAAAACATGTTCGTTTTTTAATGGAGTTCACAGGTGACAACCAAATGAGTACACTTCTACTTTCATTTTCTTGTTTTTTTTTTGTACAATGACTGTGAACAAAAGAAACATTTAAAAAACTACTGGATATTACACTGGTACAGATTATATAAAGAAAAAAACTAACACCGGTGTACCATTTTCTTGTTTCAGTGTTTGACGAAGATTTCGTGTTCGAAGTTAAAGCTGCCACTTTGGGTCGCCACACTTTGGAAGTAGTACTATACAATTTCGACGCGTATTCGCGCCACTATAGTATCGGAGGTGTGCAGCTGCCCTTAGCCAATATTGATTTGAGTGAAAAGGTCGATTTATGGAAAGGCCTGAGTCCGTCGTTCGAGCATGATGCTCGATTAGATCTGGGAGAGCTTATGGTTTCCTTGGCCTACCTTCCGTCCGCCGAGCGCCTTACTGTCGTAGTGATTAAAGCGAGAAATTTGAGGATGGTCGATGATACAAGAAATAGTTCAGGTAACCGCTAATATTGTTTTTACTATGTCTACGTTCTTCGTTCATTTAGTTACTCGGGTAAGATTTCTTGGGCGGGAATTGTACTGAGCACCTGTTCACCTAATAATCCAAAGAAATAGGTGACCATTTCTTCATAAACCGGGTGAAACGCGTCGAGTAGTCTCCTAGGATTTTCGTTAAAGATGTCAGCGATTAGGTCGACTGTAAAATAAACACAACAATTTATTGTTATAATAAAGCGCGTACCCAAAACCTACGTGCATACTGAAATGCTGGATCTTTTGACTTTAGTTTCGCATATCCATTCTCAATTGTACTCTTTCCGACGAACTTTTCAAATGTAAAATAATTAATTCCCAATTTTTCCACTGTCTTCAATTTGAATTGGAAAAGAAACTCGACATCGCCTGAAAATATAACGTTAGGAGTAATTCAACTAATGCTTCAATAGGAACGTTAGATCAAATGGTATCAACACCGCATGTAACTATTTAGTGTATAACGTGACTATTTAGTTTGCACTAACTGCGTAGAGTTAGGAGTTCTAAAAGGTGTGTAAAAATGTTTAAAAATTGCGTCATATCCACCACACTTACACCAATATATATGCTAGCAACACCAAAGAAATTCGGTACCTAATATAACTTCTTTGGATACAAAGGGACAATGCATTACTTACTTGTTACTCCTTTGCAATACCCAGAACCCTTAAGGTCAAGGGTATAGGCGCGGCCAGCTAGTTCATATTCCATGGTTGCCCATAATAGAGGAACGTTAAAACTTAATTCGCCAGTTTTAGTTTGAGGGTCAAATCTGTAAAGAATGTTCGTTAATAAGTTGCTACGGTCCATAAAGCACCATAGTGGAAGACCCTGATTTAAAGTTTTAAGATCCGCTAATTACAATAATCACAAATTCAAATACTGAAGGTTCTCGTTTATGACACCCATTCAAAAGTCATTAAACAAGGAAGAACTTTCAAGAATCATCTCGTGCGAAAAATGTCTGTATTTAATCATGTTCTTTACCAAAATAAATACGACTTTTTTGTATCTAAATATTAGGTATTTGGTATATACATAACACTTTCAAGGTGTTACACAAATGAAAGAGAAAACGTGTTTGACCTTACTGGGAATAATATGGATATCAAACTTACTTGAAATATTTAAATTGTGTTCCATTGAATCCATAGAACAATGCATCCCTTAAGACAGCATCCATGGCCAGATCTGCGCTCAGCGTGCGATTCACCGCGACTAATGGTACGTGCAGAGGGTGCATTTTTGGAAAATTGATCTCCTTAATTCCATTTAGAAGATAGGGACCCCAATCCTTAAGCGTATTAGTGGCGCACTCGTCATAGTTGTTCGTTGATATCGAGCATAATTTTGGCAAATAGTCAGCTGAGAAAGAAGAAAGAAAGCGTGATACATTGCGAAGCGGACGTTTACTTACGTATTATTTTGGACTCCAAATTAGAAATTTGGAAAACAAAAGAAATGATACACAAATATAACTTCATAGTGAATGGATCACTGTTACTGGAATACACGTTATTAAAAAATTATTGTGCTGTAGTACTATAAAGGTCCCCACCACAAACTGTGTTAATTACCCAGTTTTCAAAATACTTATGTAGAAGGTTACCGCATCTTACTTAATAATTAATTAAAGGTACAACGACCAGTGATGTTAACACATTATATCTGAATTCACATGTATGTTATGGAAACGGCCTCATCACAAAGATCTTGCTCCACAATCACATCAGATCTTAAAAACCTAAAACTGTTTTCGCGATTTTGCAATCCCTGAACGTAATAAATGTTGCTCCTAGATCACCTATGGACTCCAAGTTTTTTATCATTATGCAAAGTGCAACAATTTTTTTAATTATAATCATTAAGTGGAGCGTTTGGCTTGCCTTCTTTGCAAGCTTCGAGGTCATATTGAGTAAATAGAGATTAAACAAGGTCGATACTTTTCAAGGTCTAATTGGCCCCACTAACACTCGATTTTTTCCACACACCCATAGGTATGTTAATTTTTCTATGTTTATGAAATTTATTTTTGTTTTTTCCTTCGTTTCTTTTAAGGGTATTTCACTTGCTTCTTTGCATGATGTCCTTTTCTTCTTTTTAACTGCCTCCTTTTAATAATTGTTGTATAACTTATCCTACTCCTAATTTTACCCTATTGTTTTATCACGTATCGTTCTCATTATTTCCACTACTTCTTTTATTTTTATATTTTCTCCTCTTATCATCTTCTTGTACTGAAATGTGTTCTACTTTTTTATCGGTTTATATAAGCTCCTCGAAATATTGTTAGCACCTTGCCACGGTTCTTCTGTAATTAGTTATTTGTGCTGTTCTTTACGTTTGTTTACGTTGTTTCAGGGTCCGTTAACTTAGCACCACCATTTCAAATTTCTGACTAAAGATAGATTGCGCTAGAATCTCTATGGCTAGCGCCAGCTAGCGCCACTTTGAGTTCAGCTAGCGCCATTATAGATTTTGCAGAAAAGCCCTTGACTTTCGGAGGGTGCTATGTTAACGCTAGCACCACCATTGCGTCCGATCACTTCCAAAAGCAAGCGCTGTGTTCGTCCGACCTAGCGCCAGCTAGCGCCACAAATGTTAGAGCTAGCGCCACCCCCCAATAGTGAGGGGAGCAATTTTTCCTAGCACCACCATTTTGTCTTTTCATGTAAAATTTTGACGTTTTGTGTTCTGCTGACCTACAGCTAGCGCCACTTTGAGTTCAGCTAGCGCCATTATAGATTTTGCAAAAAAGCCCTTGACTTTCGGGGGGTGCTATGTTAACGCTAGCACCACCATTGCGTCCGATCATTTCCAAAAGCAAGCGCTGTGTTCATCGAACCTAGCGCCAGCTAGCGCCACAAATTTTATAGCTAGCGCCACCCCCCAATAGTGCGGGGGGCAATTTTTCCTAGCACCACCATTTTGTTTTTTCATGTAAAATTTTGACGTTCTGTTCTCTGCTGACCTAGCGCTAGCTAGCGCCTCAAATTTTAAGGCTGCCATCACCCTCCAATAGTGTGGGGGGGGGCACCACCATTTTGTCTTTTCGGATAAAAATTTGATGTTTTCTGTTCTGTAGACCTAGCGCTCAAGTTAACCTAGCGCAATTATAGATTTTACAAAAAGCCTTTAACTTTTGGGGGTGGTATATTAACGCTAACACCACCATTGTGTTCAATGAATACCAAAAGCAAGCGCTGCGCTGTGTTCTTTAAACGTAGCGCCACAAATTGCAGAGCAGGCGCCCAATCCCTGTTTACTTTGAAATGAAGGGATGTTCATATTTGCAATCTTGCTACTTTACATACAAATTTTAGTATTTTTATTGGAACTTTTTTACTTTAAACAGAACGATCAATCCAAAAAGTAAAGGATTTCAAATTAAAATAATTTGTTTATTATTTCCGACCCTAAGAGGGACAGATTTGCACATTTTAAAAATGGTAAAGAGTTTGACCATCCCAGATGCGGTGCCTGTCCGTCTGTCCGTTGCCACAATATCTCGATAACGAATGGACCGATTACGATGAAATGTTGTAGTTGGATTCTTTATCAAATTTGTAGATCGAAGTTCGTGAATTGGCAATATAGCGCAAAAAATAAGGAAGGCCCTTTTGACATTTACGTGAGTTTTGAACCGAATTGCATGAAACTCAATATTCGTATAGCTTTAGCTATATAACACGCAATTCCAAAAGTTGAGCCTAATCTATCAACAGTGACAGTGCCCTTTTCGCATCGATGTGTAAATAAATATAGAAAACGAGCTCCTGGATATGGCTACAGCATGTGCAAAACCAAATTTTGAACTTGGTGTTAGTTTTACTTTTATTTAAAGTGTATATGTATGAAATTTCATTTAATTGCTTCCATAAATAAGAAAATTGGCACCGCACATCATGCACAAAACCAAATTTTGAAACTGGCGTTAAATTTGCTTTTATTCCAAGTTGCTATGTATCAAATTTCTTTTAAATGCTTCCATAAATAAGAAAGTTTTCAATCCGGTTTGTAAATGGTCGAGATGCGAAAAGGGCACTGTGAATGTTGATCGATTAGGCTCAACTTTTGGAATTGCGTTTTATATGGCTAAAGCTATACGCATATTGAATTTCATACAATTCGGTTCATAACTCACAGAGACGTCAAAAGGACCTTCCTTATTTTTTGGGCTATATTGCCAATTCACCAACTCCGATCTACAAATTTGATAAAGAATCCATCCATTTCATCGTAATCGGTGAATTCGTTATCGAGATATCGTGCTAACGGACAGACACCGCAAAATTATAAAACTAGCTCTAAAATTAGTGGCGCTAGCCGGCGCTAGGTCAGCAGAGCACCAAACGTAAAATTTTACCCGAAAAGACAAAATGGTGGTGCTAGGAAAAATTGCCCCCCACCCTATTGGGGGGTGGCGCTAGCTCTAAAATTTGTGGCGCTAGCTGGCGCTAGGTCTGACGAACACAGCGCTTGCTTTTGGAAATGATCGGACTCAATGGTGGTGCTAGCGTTAACATAGCACCCCCCGAAAGTCAAGGGCTTTTCTGCAAAATCTATAATGGCGCTAGCTGAACTCAAAGTGGCGCTAGCTAGCGCTAGCTATAGAGATTCTTGCGCAATCTATCTTTTGAAATGGTGGTGCTAAGTTAACGGAGCCGTTGTTTCATTGCGTGGTTTACTAATTTCTTTTACAGTTTATATCTATGTACCTGGTTTGTATGGATTATTATACCATTGGCGATTAGTTAAATACACTTCTCATTTTTCTTTTTTCATTTTCAAGTGTAGGTATAAGATTTCCTTATTCCTCTATACGCCTAACTTATCTTTTATTGTTGTTTTTTTAGAATAATGGGAAGATGTACTTAGAAGTTTATAATTCTGTTGTTCAATTTCAGTTAGTTGGTTTTAGTTGGTCGTGGAAATTTCTCGGAGATTTCGGGAAAAATCAAACAAAAATCCACGTAGAAAGATTTAATGGTTGCTTTTCTCACTATAAGTAAATGATTACAGGCCACATGTCACCGACAAATCGCTTACAATAATTGAAGTTACAAAATTAGAATATAAAATCATTATCCTTCCTATAAATAATTATAGTAAATTAAATATTACTTTACATGGCCCAAATTTAGTGAAGAAAGACTGAATATCGGCCCAGAATAGCCAAACCCAGCGCTTATCAAATAACGCAACGTTTTTTCCAAATTGGACTTACCTTAATTTTTTATTCAATGACTTACAGCAAAGAATAGTTACTCTTTGCTTACAGATAAATTTTAAAAGAACTTTATTAGATAAATTCAAACTAGAGGCGCCATCTAATAAACCAAAAAGCGAACTGACTAATCCTTATAGCAAAGATCATACTACACTAGATAGCCAGCGTATATGCAAGAGTTGTTTCGCGTTTAAGTAGTTCCATAAAAATATTTATAGGGGGCTTTCAAAGTTAAGAACGTAACTGATTCATCCGAAGCCGTCTTCGTTCAAGTTCGAATCATATCATAAATACAAAGAGTGATTATTGTCTAAACACGAGACACACAAACATGACCTACTGAACATTCCTCACTATCATTGGGATAAAATTACATTTGTAAGTGGGCGTCATTCAAGACGAGGTAGATTCTATTACAGTCAGGACTTTACAATGAAAGAAATAATTTGAAAGTTGTACACAATATTCCCTCTGCTTTTTTTTAACCAGCGCTAACCAATACATTTTCCAGATTTTCGGATTAAATTAATAATTGCAAAAGCGTCTTTTTTCTTAGCATAATTTCTGAAAACTTTTAGTTTCACGTATCTACGATACTTTAGCAAATCTTCAAATATAATATCACAGATTTAAATATATTATAAATCTGTGATAATATGCACCTACTTATCCAGGCATATTTACATTGTAACCACACATTTATCTAATTTAGATTTGTTGTAATTAAGCATTTTATGATTGGGATAAACGAGATATCCCGCTTAGCCTCCTACATAATAAAATTGTGTCCAGCTAAAGTGAGTCGGAACTAGAAGCGTCTGTGGTTAAAATTTCAAAGAAATATCTCCATAAATATGAAAGTTGGCATTGCGCAGTCTGCGCAAAATATGGAAAATACGAAACTGATCGAAATGGGCAAATATAGACCATAACGGCTATCAATTAGCGAAAACCCGAAGTCTCTAGGTGGCCCAGGGGCCGAGATCTCGATGGAACGGATGGACAGACGGACGGACAGATGGAAACACGAGCACATAAGCTTTACCACAACTTCGTTGTGTTACGATAAAAAATTTAATTTAAATCAAGATGTGAATATTCGGTATTTTAATTTACAGTAAGGTAACCAGATAAAAACATCTATAACACCCACACAAGGTTGCGCTTAGGAATGACACCGATATCCCATACAATAGCCCTTTATTCTAAAAATAACTGTGCTTTGCCATTTCGCGCGTCTTCTTACCCCGCCAGGTAGTTTGTACTATTCTCATAAAAACATAGCCGCTGGAGGACGCAGTCGACTTATTTGGCGGGACGAATGAGAGTCTAAAATTTATACAGCGCTGTCTATCTAGTGTAGTATGATCTTTGCTTATAGGTACAAAATACCTTAATTTTTAAATAACAAAATTCAAATGTGATGACGTAAGGAACTGTTTTGTTACATGCCTTCTTCTTAATTTAGTGATCTTGATGGTCTCTTTTAATATTATCATAGTATAGATAAATTCAATGGTGTAGGTAATATCTTTCTTTTTAGGTGTATGCCTTAATCTTCAACCCTTTCTTACAATCACTTTTTAGAATTCATATGTTTATTCATGTGTTGAAACTTGAAGTTTTATTGTGCCATGCGATGAAGATCGAAACCAGTAAAAAAAATGTATACCTACATTATTTAATCGGAAGCTGTAAATCTTCATCATAGTGTATCGTATAAGTACCTATGCTGAGATCAACGATCAACCTAAACTCGATAATTATTAACTATATTTAACAGAAAGTCCAAAATCATGAACTCTTATTATTACTTATTAATCATTGTGGGTAGACGGTATATAGTTGTGGTGGTTCAAGTTTATGTATTAGATATTCAGTTATAGTTTTGAAGAACCTCTCACAATATAAATAATTAACCGATAGGTACATGTGTTTCAGATCCGTATGTAAAAGTCAGCATAATGCAAGGAGATAAGAAGATAAAGAAACGAAAAACAGGAGTCCATCGCAATACCGTTTGTCCCATATTTAACGAAGCCCTCACGTTTAATATTAGCAAATCGCAACTTAAAAGATGCTACATAGAATTTTCCGTCTTGCACGACAGCCTTTTAGGCGCGAGTGAACTTTTAGGCAAAGCGCGTGTCGGACAAACAGCGGAATGCAAACGGCGTGAAAAGGAATACTTCGCGGAGATATTTCAGAGCACCACAGCAACTGCCCAGTGGCTACCTTTATCCGATCCTCGAATTGTACCTCAGAAGAAGAATTAAAACGCTTAATGTAGTCAATTATTTACGCTTTACATGGTATTTGGGACCTCAAGCTGATGAACAGTTTCTAAATAAATTTGGTACAACCTACTATGCATGTATAACCAAATACTTTATTGTTATTAATGTGTAGGTAATAAACTTTGTAAGTAAATAGAAGGAAAGCGTATATTCACACTGATGTGTATAAAAAGAATCATTTTCTTCTATGAAGATTATTTTCTGTATATAAATGAATAAAGTATCATTAACACGTTTTCACTTTCCTTTCCGAGTTATTTCGTCCAGGAGCAAGCCTGCCTCCTGAGCGATATCTAGATAATCAAATAACAACGCCAATTTTTGGGCTTCCAAGGCAGATTCCTTCGCTTGTTCGTACGCTTCCATTTTGATATAGATTCTCGCTAACCTTGCATAACATCTTGGTAAATCTAGACTGCTTATCCCTTTTCCTAGTAGTACTGCGTTAAGCATACTTTCTAACGCAACATCCAAATGTCCCAAAGCAGAATTTAGATCCGACAAAGTGTACAAGATAACCAACTCTTGGTAAGGTGATAACCCTTTGATTTTAGTTGAGTACTGGTACGCTATGTCCAAGGTACTCTTCGCGTCTTGGTACTGCTGATTTCGTATCATATGGACGCCGTACCAGAAGAGCACGTTGACGTATAACATTCCCGTCCGAGTGCTCGTATCCCCATTTGTTATCTTCCGTTTTTGCGCTTCCAGGCACGTTTTAAACCCGATCTCGGCAAAGTCGTTGTCCTTAAACGCGCTGTAAATTCGCGCCAATCGTAACTTAAAATCTATGGCATGGTGGTCGTCTTCGGGTAGACCAATTTGGGTCATTTTCTCGATTGCGTTATCTAAAAGAGCCTCGGCTTTTCCAATGTTACCTTGCGCAAGGGCAATACTCGCTAAGATATCGTACATGTAAGGCATCCCTAAGAAAACCTTATTGTCGTCGGAAATCTTCAAACCCATCAATAAAATCGCTTCCGCCCTTTCGGTGTCGCCCTTTTCCAGTGCCATTCTTGCCAAAGTAATTAAATGTGCAATGTTTTCTTCAATATCTGTCGGGGTTATTACCGTGTCGATATTCGAAAGAAGCGCAATCGATGGTAGTACTTTATAAATGAAAGGATAATCAAATTTTGTGGTTGCATTTTGTTGTAATTTAATTGGAAACCCAAATTTTAAAGTCGAATTTCGCCATACTGAAGCAGTTATTAGCTTGATATGTTTGTAAAAGAACCGAAATAATTTTGATGTGGTCACAGACATGAAATATTACCGAAATTTTGAAGTAGTGACGTAAACGAAAATTTTGACTTTGACAATTTACTGTTTATGATGATATGAAGGCAGCTTTGTGCGTTAACTTTGGTAGCGCAATCAAAGAAGCCAACATCCCAGCAATAATTGTGGGGTGAGAAGCTGCAAGGCAGAACTTCAAACGTGGGGTGATCGTCATTATAAGTGCAGAAGTACCTCGCCACCCTTAGAAGAATATATTTAAATAGGAAAACAGTACAGAAAACTGAGGAAAATAGGTCTTTTACTTATTTATCGTGCGTATTGTCTTCAGTCTCATCTTGACGCAGTGCAGGGGTGGCTTATGGATCTTGACGGCATTATTATTAATAACTTTTGGTACTACGTTTATCGAATTCCGAAGGAAGCTGATGTTACACACAACGGTTAACAGTATAATTTGGGTTTGTATTCTTTTTTACGTAGGTGTTTACTTAAGGGTTTTTAGAAACAATGAAATTTACCATTCCTTTTTTCAATATAATGCACTTGATTTTTATTTGAAATATTTTTTGTTAAGTTTATCAGTAATTTTGATTTATAGTCACACTTCGTCTTGTTATTACATTTTGCTATAGATATTATGTTTTGTATTTCTTTGTAAAAATGGTATTTCCGTTAAATAAATAAATAAACTCTCCCAAGAATTCCTTATTTATGTGTAGGTAGAGGTATCTAAATTGTTGGTCGCGGACGCCAAGAACACCCTCTCTCAACTCAGGTCAGGTGATCTCGAAGGCGACCCAACAGCTACCTACCCAAGAAAAATTTCATTTAAATAACTACTAACACGTACTAACAGCAAAATGTGCAGGAGAATCAAATTGCTGAAACCACGTCTAGCGTTTGGCAGATTTTCATTGTTCGGATAAAGCACCGCGGCTAGTTCTCTTGTAATCCCATGGATTTTCCTGTAGAGATAACAGAATATCACTGTAGGTACCGCTTCGGTTGTTGCGGGTGGCTACTTCTATGGTGATCCCTCACGTAGGTACATACCTACATTTCCAGTAGTCCATTTTTCTTTCCGATAGTTTTCTCGCACGATTTAGGTCGTTGTGCGCGGGTGCACCATCCTGTTGAAATTGAAACCAACAGTTTCCAATTGGTTTTTATATGTGCCGTAGTATATCGGTTGTAGCAATACAATACATGTAGGGCATTGGTATCGAGATGTTTGAGCCATCACAATCAAACCATATATAAATAATGATGGACTCGCACAAACACAATAGGTCCCAACATTGAAAATGGCACGAAAAAACATGGCAGTGAAATCAATACCTGGCAGAAGCACCAAGTGCCACAAACAGAATCTGAATAAATGCTACAACACTGATCGAACGGTATAGAGGAAAATGCCCCATGATCATGCAAAAACAGTAGGTCGAGAAAAGAAAAATACATTCCTGTACAGCATACTACCAAATAGATAGCAGCTGCACCATTGGACCGCTGATGGTTCCAACACAATGCCAAATATATACTATTTTCCTTCCTCTCTCTTTTGCATATAGGTAAATGCCAACAAAATTAATAAAGTAAATAAAATTAAGTACACAACTAAACATTTATTTATTTAGTAACAATAACACAGCAGGTTATTTTTATCAGTACACTTAAAAAAATTGTTAAATAAAAAAATAACTAGAAAATATCACGATTAGTTCACTGGCAAAAAAATGTAGTCTTGTCTATATTTTGTAACCATCAATGAATGGTAATCCTGTGCGAACTTTTTCTTGGTAATCACAATACTGTTGCCCGAAGAAATTAAGTAACATAATTTCTTCTATAAGTATCCTTTCTCTGAAAAATGTCCAGCTGGCGATAGTATACGCTATTATGCAAAGTGGGTTTAAAAGAATCACTTGTGTACCAATCGACCAGTAAAACCAACCCACATAACTAGGATGACGAAAAATACTGTACACTCCGTGGGTTACCAGTATGTGCCCCTCTACCTTTTCACATTGTACTAGGTGATTAAAATTTGAGCTTGCCGTAAGCATTGCAGCTTTTCGAAGCAGTTCCCCTATAATACAAACTACCAACCCAATATGGGACAACCAAAATTTCGTCTTGAGGTCTACAATATTTCCCATTTCTTTACGGAACGATGTCGATTATCTACTTACCAGGAAAAAAATATGCCTCCACAAAAAATTCTACCCAGGAGGTTAACGCAGCAATTGTATACTGCACACTATGATTAATTACAAACGAATCTGCCGACACCAACTTTGGTTGTATGTTGGCCATACAGAGAAATTCGCTGTAATGGAAGATCGACATGGTACACATATATAAACCAAAAATCTGTATGTGATCTGGAGCTACCAGCCTGATATAGACACCCAAAGCTAGTAAAAAACCCAAATTCACAGAACGGACAGCTATCTAAAAATGTTCAATTAGATACCCTCTGTAAGCATTAACAAACCTTGTATGTATTCTTCTTATAAACTAATCCGACAATGGCATTTATTAAAAGGAAGTAAATGATCGGTAATAAGTAAAAAGAGCCATAAAATTGAAACCGATGGTAGTTACACATTAACGAAACTAAGAATGGGGCAGCCGCTCCCAAAAAGCAGTACAAAGAAACTTGACCAATATAACACAGCATCGTTATTATAATTTCGCAATTACATTGTAAGAATAAACAAACTGTTAATGTTTGAAATCATATGGTCTATTGCAATAGCAACTTATGTAGGTGGTAATAAACACTTTTATGAGAACTGAACGCTGTATGAATAATGATTTCTGGCGTACGTGGTGTTTACAAAATATTGTACTTTATTGTCTCCAATATCTACAGTTGTAGCAAATAATCACAAGATCTACCTATCTAGATACTTCCTCTATCAAAAAGTATTTATTTATTGCATGAAAAAAATGTATAGATATATAGCTGCTATATTTAGCTTTATAGGACTCATTCCACTTTCACTTTTTTTTTTATTCTTATGCTGTACTTCGATTCATAGGCATTCTTCTTTAGCATGCTTTATTTCTTCAACATCTTCAGCCCTTTCTTCCCCCATCCTAGGGTCCTGGGGCTTTCCCAATTTTGTAAGAAAACTTTTCATTCTCTTAAAATCTAACGTGTTCTAGAGCCTTTAAAAATATTTAGTAATCTGGCAAGTGCTTCAAAAGTTTTCTGGAGCCTATGAGAGCGTGTATAAGATTATTCAACCTTCAAATGTTTCAAAAACCTTCCAAGTATGGTTTGACAGCCTTTAGTAATTAAAATTCTTTCAGTCTTTGAGAGTACTACAAACCTTATACCTATTAGTCCTTAAGAGTTTTTAATTTTAACAGTATTCAAGAGCTTCTTGGCGATTTATTGATCTTCAAGAGTCACCAAATGTTTTTCCTCAAAGGATATCCAGATACTCTAACGGTCACTTAAGTGTTTGACAATCCTTAAGAGCCTATTAACCCAACTATAAGAGCACAACAGTATTTGCCTACGTGTACCTATAATCACCAAATTTCACATGAAAACATTATTTAATTTTCACTAGAACAAAAAAGAAGTATGACAATTGTGGCATGTTAATTAGTGAGTAGGTACATGAAGTAGAGCATAGTACCAATGCATGTATGGTAGACTGATGAAAAAGGATACAATAAAAAACAGTAAACACTATAAAATTTGTTTTTAGTAAAACATTAATTATGAAATAAATTATTTAAGTCAATAACAATTATTTGTTAGTAAAAAATGTGGCATGATAAATGAATAAGCGATATTTTAAGAAGATAAAACATATACAAATCATGTTGTTAACTGAATGCCAATTTAACACTCACTGGTGAATAAAAGCAAAAGTTTGCCATGTTAATCTAATTTAGTGTACATAAAGCTCGTTCAACCATGATATAATGATGAAAAAGGAGAGCAAAAAAACAATATGGATTTACTATAAAATTTGTTTTTAGTAAAACATTAATTGTGAAATAAATTATTTAAGACAATAACAATTATTTGTGTTAGTAAAAATGTGGCAAGATAATAAATATGATCACGATATTTAAAGAAGATAAAACATAAACAGTTAAACTTGTAGAACATCATTCTCTTGTGAAAGAATCCATTGGGCAGCTCGTGTCACATCCCAAGCAGATTGGTCTAGGGCAGATCTGCAGAGTGGTAAATCTGCACCGGTCGCTAAACGTTGGACTTTAACCACTTTAATTGCCTTTAAAACGTCCCAATCGCAATATTCCAATGCAGATAAGCACTGTTCCTTAGAAATCTGAAACAAAACCGTGACTCTTTCGCAGACAACACGAGGCACTACGTACATCTTTACCTAGCACTTTTGACATTATACGAACCTCATCGGATTCGTTACCTCTCGCCCTTGAGCTGGGTTTAGAATCGGCAAACTCTAATAGATCCTCACAGCTAACGTGATGGCTTGGAACTTTCCCGCCGTTATGCTTACCGACTCCGTCCACACAATCCTGGTCTTCGGCAATCAAATCCAAAGCGGCCAGTTCGGAGTCAATCTGCTCTTCAAAATGCAATGATTCATTGCCGTAACTCCTCTCTTTAATCGGAGCTACACTATTCGGATGCGAGTGTTTGGGAAGAAATGGATCTTGCGGAGAGGTCGGAGGGGGTGTGGTTAACGTTACTTTATCGAGCGTTCTTTGTAAATTGGCGGAGGCTGGAATGATGAGGGGATGTTTACGAGTGTGGCGGGGTTTAGCTGCTAATAACGTCTTGTTGCGATCGCGGGGTGGTAGAGGAATCGGGTTGTCATCTTTTTCAAGCGTTTCTCTTTGAGCATTGTGATTATTGCTGATGTTTTCTTGTAGTGGAATGTCACTGCCTATATCCGGTGCTGTAAGTTTGTAGTACTCCTAGAATTTTGTGCAAAGTATACTAACCTAATTTATTTTCCTCAAAGCAGTCTGAATCTGGTATAGATCTACGATCGATGTGCATTGAATGGAATGAGGTAGGTAAGGTTGAAGTTCTCAGTCTTGGCTTTACGATTGGTAACTGTCCAGATCTTAAAATTTTTAATGGATTTGTAGCATGTAGCAGCTAAAATGATAAAATGAGTCATCATTTCACCACAAACTTAGGTGATTTACTTGTGACATATCCACTTCACGATTTTCCACCAGACCTTGATATGCTCGTTGGGCTTCTTCCGTAACTTGAGACTATAAAGAATAAGGAGAGGGTCGAACCAAAATATAAATAAAAAAATATGATTTTATAACTTCGCCAAATAACATTATATTTTAGAAAGACTACAGTGTAAGGCTGTGCATAGAACAAATGATTGATATTATAAACACACAAGGTCACAAACAATTTTGCTCAAAGCAAAACCGTACAATTAGTATAATGGGTAAATATCACATGCAAGAAATTGCACTCTGCGGATTTACAATTGTCCAATCCACAAGTGAATACAAAAAATATTGTTAAGTAAACCGTCATGGGTTACTTTCAAAAATTTTGATTCTCCAAAAGATGGTTCTATTTACAACATCAACAATTGATTATGTACCTTACTTTATCTAAGTCAGTCATCGGTTTCACTCTTACCTAGGCAATTCCTATGCATATGATGCAAGTGTTCATGTATGAGTACATATTAACTTCTAATGGACGAAGGATTCTATTGAGTACATCGCTCAAATCTAACTATGAATACATACAGTTGATAAAATAGGTGATTACTCAATCAGAGCCGTGCGATGAAATTACCAGAATTAGTTTCACGGAAAATTAAACAACAAATTGGGACAAGGATGTCAGTGAAGTTAGCCTCAACTGCTTTTTTAAAGTATAATTAGGTATTTCATTTCGCTTTTTTAGTTACTGTTTGTTTCTCTGTATCATTTTGTTTCATGAAATTCAAATTACAGTGAAAAAAAAGCCAAATAAAGCTTGGCGACAGGCGAGTGTAAAACCAGCCAACCGCCAGTCAATTTTCCAAAATTCGTTACATTCTTTTAATTAAATTGCTTAGCTATGGTTTATTTTACTATCATCATCTAACTTATAAATACATTCGGGTGCATTTGTTTTCCTTACTCCAAACTACTCCCTTTTTTTTAATGTGAATTGGATTTTGCAAAACAGACGTTCATTACATTAAAACATACAATTACTAAACAAATGAAATGAAACTATATCCTTAACTTAAAAAAAAACGAATGTGAAGTGAACAGTGTGAAGTTAGCCTCGCCAAGCGAAACAAAATTTTTCCTTGTGTCACCAACAAACAAAAAATAAAAGATAGTCGTATCTTCCTTCTTAATTGGTTCATCAAATTCTAAATTCACAAGATTGGACAAAGCATTTTGGCAAAAAATAAAACAGCTACAATAACTAAATTCCATAACTTGTTCCTTAATTTGTTCAACAGATGAGGTTAATTTCACCAACATGGGACACAGCAGTTTAATCAAACAACAGATCTGCAATAACTAAATTCCGTTTTAAATTAAGTAAAGGCTCTAATGCCCATTTTATCACATATACATAATTTAAGTGCTAGAGCCCGACGATGAATCTGATTGTTTTTTACGGGCGGCAGTGGTTGGTGACAGACCGCTAAGCATGCTGTTACTGGGAGGCGGCGACCTCCCACCCTTTACGGTTGTGATTAGCATCTCCGGTTTCAAATACTGTACGCCTATTCGCGGATGCGCACCGAGTTCGGAACGTATGCTACTGTTAGATGTCGACATGCGCCTAAGCCGACGCCGTCTGCGCCAATCCAAATCGACTGAACCCAAACTCATGCAATCGCTATCGCTCGAACTGGATTCGGCGTATGCCTGAGGATTGTACGATTGTCTTCGTAAATTTCGCTCGCGAATCGTTTTGCCGCCTTTTTTGGGGAAATTTTCCTGGACGTGAATAAAGTTAATATTCGCTTTAATATTTTCAACGTTTTGATTGTCGAAAGTTCTAGATTCATCTATGTAGCAGTGGTTATCGTAGACGAACACGTCATCATAGCTAGTGTCGGGCGTAAATACGACACCGTTGTATATACTCGGCTGTTCCTCCTTATAATAAACGTTATTATGAGTAATTTGGTAAGGAATATGTGCTAAAGGCGGCTTGAGAAACGCCCGATTGTGGCACACGCCGCTATTTTTCGAATCGGACGTGTAAGTTTTACGAGACAAACTCTCTGACTTAGTTAAAGTACGATCTCTATAATCCGCACCTCTACAGTACGAACTTCTTAACGTTAAATCGTGCATTTGATGTTGCAAGTGAACGTAGTCGTTTTGAAAGTTGCTGTCGCAGTCTTTCAAATCGCGACACGAGTTATAGGGAACTTTGGGGGACGGAAACGGTTTGGTTAGCAGTTCGCGGGACTTCGCAAAATAAAATTCAGCCGAAGCTTTGTCCCATAATGGCAAACGAAGTGTGCTATTGGTGTAATTATCTAACGAGTTTAAGGAGCAACGCAATTTGTGCTAAGAAAAAGCGGAAAAACATAAACAAGGAACAGGGAAAAAGGTAAGTTAATGTTAGTTTGTTAGTACGAAATGTTTTCAGTTAAGAAGTTGCAACACTATGTAAGTAACACATAAATAAAGCCCAATGCTAAAAGAAACTAGTGCAAAGACTATTAATAGAATAGAGCATGTTGTAACGTCTTTGTCTTGTTATATGTTAATAAAGCCAATATACAGAATGGTGCAACAGTGTTACGATTGAAAAAGAAATATTTAAGTACAGCTCGTTTATATTCCTCAAAGATGCATGAGAATTTCAATGTAAGCCCGCCTACTAGATTCACTGATGGTGAAGATTTCTTCATTATGTTGAAAGTATTATTACCCTTCATCGGATTATTAAAATATCATCTATAATTATCACAAATCCGAATGCCAATATAATTGGAAATGGTCATAATAATAAATTGATACAAAATGGGCCGAATTCCCGCGTTTACTGTTTAGTTATTGTACCTACTTAGTTTAGTAGTAGAGTAGAGTCTGTGGGCAAATGTTAACTGTGTTGTTAATTATTGTTGAATGTACAGGGTGTCCTATTTGTATGGTGGAAATAAGACTTTTTAAATAGAACACGCTCTATATTTTTAGTTGTAGTTATGTCATTTGTTATCCTCTATTTTTTGATTTTTTATCAATGTTGCCATCTTATTAATTTTTTCCCGAATAATTCAAATCAAAGCGATGGTGAAATTGAAATTGACTTTCATAAATGTTAAATATTATATTGTTGTAAATAGCTTGTAAATATGGTTTTGTTGCCGACCACCACTATCAATCTGGTAAGAATTGGTCACGTATAATTTTGTGTCACTAATGTCCTAACAATAGGCCTTACGTACCATACCGGTACATAAAGAAAAAAAAACCAGCCATCTTTATACCAATTATACGCCTGCGCAGTGGTGATACCGTCTATGTATTTTGTGGCCGTCGACATCCAAGAAAGCATTCCAAATCTAGAACCAATCCGAAACCGGTTCTGAGGCTTGGGGTGGGGTGGGAGGTCAACGTTTAGATAGGCAGCACCTCGTTTGTGAAAGAGACATACAATATTGGCTGTTAGTCTCCATAGTTATTTGTCCACATTCAGTCAGACAGTGTAGGTAAATGAAATTAATCAAATTTTTGTCTTTGTAAGCTCTATAATAAATAATAAGTGCAACTACTAAGCAATAGTGCACAAAAGTGTTGCAACTTCATTAAATTAACGCAAACATATACCTGCAAATCAGGGGTCGAATGCGCCTCTTCGGAGAAATTCCTCCTTTCGATTGTCTTGTCATGCTTGTCATGGTCCAATGCGTTCGGAAAACGAAAACTAAACTTTCGTTTCGTGGGAGACGCCGGCGTCGTCGGCGCGGGCAAATCGTTCATAGATCGCGTACTAATTTCGGTGGCCATCGCAATCGCCGTATCGAGAGTTTTTTGGTCGTGCGCGGATATGGGTTTAACGGTCGCTTGCTTCCTGGGTTTCCCTAGGCGTTCGCGTAGTTCGTTCGTTTTATTCGAGCCCTCGTGATCGGCGGGCGACGGTGGGGGATGGCCGAACGAGTTTAACATAAGTTCCATTTCTGCCATTAACGACGGACCTAAGTCTAAGGGGGGGCTGTTGGTGTTTTCTTCGTCGCTTATTTCGTGATATTCATGATCCGTATCTGGTGCGGGTGGTAGTGGGATGTGGTCCTCTAGAAGAGGGGCAGCTTCAAGGTCTTGATGCGGTCGGAAAGGTGCGACCACCTGCGTGGGAACTCCGCTGTACTGTAACTGCAAAGGTAGTACATTGTCAAGTAAATAAAAAGACGTACATCTACTTTAGATCCACCTAAAAAGCTCAAATCACCAAAGTAAGCCCCATCCAAACCGACATGCCCGGTGTGCTTCACGTCACCCTGCGGGGCGCTTATCATTTCGCTTCGAAGTTTCCTTCTGGCAGAAGTTCTTGTACTGTCAGTTCGCGTAAAGGACGCCCCAGGTAAATCACTACCAAGATAAGCAACCACTGAAGCGGGATTAAATAAACCCGTTTTCCCGCTTAATGTTATACCCTTCCATAATGGTCTGTGTGATCTGCAATATTCTTTTGTTAGTCTTAGGCTATCAATGGGTCATTCCATTGCAACACTGTTCGAGGGGTCATCCACTACTTACACTACTGGTACAAAAATATCGGCAACAAGTTTACTTATTTCATTGTTAACAAGGAATTTCTCTAAATTCTTCAGCATTTCTCCTAATTTTCTGTGGATTCCTCAGAATTTCCTTTACTATATTGCTAGATTATCCAACACTATTTTGTATTATTTTTTATTATAGGTACTAAGGCTGGGCGATTACGGGTTTGAATAATCGATAATCGATTATGAAAAATAATCGATTACACTGATTAATCGATTAATCAAACAATCGATTAATCAAATAATCGATTAATCAAATAATCGATTAATCAAATCATCGATTAATCAAATAATCGATTAATCACCTAATCGTTTAATCAAAAGTCGATTGTCACATACAAGGAGTGATAAATATCTGTTTGTATGCATTAATACGTTAATTATTTAATAATAAAAATAAAAAATAATTCCATTACTCTTTTCATCAAATCGTTCATTACTAGGCAGATCGATTAATCAATAATCAACAAAGTGTCCCTGGTTCGAATCCGGTTTCGGGCATGGATATTTGCAAATGCATAGTGGGTTGGTTGGTAGAACAGCCTTGGCTGAAACCCTGCCCATTTGAAAATGAAGGTCAAAAATAAAAATAAATGATTAGGCAGCTTACTCCCCGATGAGGTGTGCTTTAGTTTTGATGATACAATCTTAATTCATTTTAGCTGCTTAAAGTGACGTTTTAACATCCGCTATAAAATAAAATAATTTTTTATTCATTATGATCAAACAGTATATCTGCCTCTGTTTATAATTATTGATTTATGGTTTTTGGTTTTATCGCTAAGGCCAAGACGGCCAACGACATTATGAAATGAAAATCACTATCTGTTGCATTACCGCTGATCTTTGCATACGCGCCTTTTATTAGGTTAATGTCCGCATTCATATTAAAAAAATTAAAATTAAGCAGAAACGAGACCTTAAAAATATAACACTTGAAATGTACTTGTGAGCTGTGAGTGCTCCTTTTTGCGTAAACTGATGATCCAGCTAATAATAATCAATTAAAATTTACTTAATAATTGATTAATCAAACAATCGATTAATCGATTAATCAAATAATCGATTAATCAAACAATCGATTAATCAAATAACCGATTAATCAAATAATCGATTAATCAAATAATCGATTAATCAAATAATCGATTAATTTAATAGATTAATTTAATAGAATAATCAAACCCGATTATCGATTATCGTTTGATTATAATCGATTTTTTTGCCCAACGCTAATAGGTACCGCATTGGCACATTATGCTGTATTATTGAGAATTACCCATGAAATACATTTCTGACATAAATTTATAAGTAGTGGATGATCTCTTGGTGTAGCTCAACCTTGCCATGCTTGCAGTAGTTAGGCGATTTAAATGGAACAACCCCACCACTTTAAATAAATTACATTTTATCCAAGACAGTGATAACATCTCCCACTCGAAACGGTAACATATGTGGGCCCTCCACTGAAGCGGATTTCGTTTGTACTTGTTCGGGCCTGCAATCGACCAGCCGGCTACCTAAATCTGAAAAGCGCGGTCTCGTTGCTGCTTCGTGTCTCCAGCAATCGAGCATAAGTACGTAATATTCCTGAGGGCAGCAATCCGGCTGTTCCAGTCTCTGAAAGTTAGGATCATCGATCGCCTCGAGAATTTGCAGCCCGGTCAGAGCAGCCCACGGCTGAAACCCATACGAGAACATTTCCCACAGTGTCACACCGAAAGCCCAAACGTCACTAGCGGTCGTGAAACGAAGATATGTAATACATTCGGGCGCGCACCACGCAACTGGCAGTTTTAAGTTCACGTTAAAATTGGTTCGATAGTAGTCTTTGCCCTGACCCAAAGCTCGACTCAACCCGAAGTCGGAAATTTTAACTTTATTCTTTGAAAATACCAAAACATTACGAGCCGCCAAGTCCCTACAAATCGAACGTGCTTAGAGTGTTGAAGATTGCCGAGGAGCAAACCACTCTTAGAAATATGGTGTACACTTCTCATTATATATGTAAATCAAAAATTTGAAAAAATATATGGCAACCTCGGTCCTCGGAAGAGGTATATCTCCCGTCTTAAAACCATATCAGGCTCAGTGAAACACAGAAGATGGTCTTCCAAAGAGAATTCTAGAAAATGATGGTGACGCCTAGCACTGGGCCATTACAGGTTCCAATAATCGATAATCAATTATTAAAAATAATCGATTAATCAATTAACCAAGTAATTGATCAATCAAAATAATCGATTAATTTAAAAGAACAATAATCGATTTTTTGCCCAACTCTGGATGCCACGACCACAGTGCGGAAAGCAGAAAATCTGAAATACTGTCAGATACACATAGGTATATCGGGCGGACATCTAGGAGTGACTAAAACTCTGGTTAAGATGCAGGAACAATTTTACTGGGTAAAATGCAGATGAGAAGGAGTGATGCAGCAAATATGCAGTTTGTGCCACAAGCAACAGATAGGTAGGGACGATAGGTAAGAAGTGCCAATGAGGCAATATAAGGTGGGTTCCTACTTAATTTTATACACAGTTTACCCATTTGTCTTTTGTACTTCTTTTTGTAAAATATACCTAATATTTATTCATTATCTATTTATTTTATTCTCAAAATATTAGATACTTACTACTTATTTAGAGTTTATCCATTGTATTTTTTTTAATGTACCCGACATCTATTAATTGAACCCGAAATTCATCCCAGATGCTGTACAATCCTCCTAGAATAACATATAAAATCTAAATATTCAACATTCAACTGTAAGTATCCTACAATTGATCATAGATCTAAAATTGTCCAAGTATTATCTACCGAAATATTGTAAATATCGACAATAAAAATTAAGTGTACATTTTTCTGTGAAGTGGTTTGCCCCCCCTGGCATACTACCAAAATATTACCTATGAATCAGTCTTTTCGATTCGAGATATTGCATTCCGTCGCAAATTTGTACAGCAAAATCGCAAAGTGTAAGTACAGGAAAACTTGAGCGCAAAGAAGGCTCCTTTAAGCACTCCAATAAAGAGCGCAAAGGAGCCAGTTCCGTCACCAGCATCAGACCGCCAGTATCTAAAACAACCCCAAACAGCCGCACAATGTGAGGATGATCGATCGAATGCATAATTGTGGCCTCCTTCAGAAACTCAATTGTGTTAGTCTGCATTCGTTCCCTAGACAAGCACTTAATTGCGACTTGTATTCGTTCGCCTTCATTCGACCACACGCCTTGCTGTACAACTCCAAATTCTCCCATACCTAATTCTTTATTTACAGTGATATTAGCGGCCGGAATAATATGCTTGCTCGGGACTCTTGGAGAACGTGTCGTCGGAATATTCTCATTACTATTAGTACAATTTAATTCAGGTAGCACATTGTCTTGTTTCCGAACAGTTAACAATTTTTTAAACTTGGAAAGGTAGTTGTGAGGAAAATGTTTTTCATAGTACTTCCGTAAGCGTCTAACCTCAGGTTTCGACATACCCATCCCTGCCAAGTCGCCATCTGTTGCAAACTTTAACTGTGAGGGGTGAGTTACCTTGAGATCGTTCCTTTGAACAACTTGTAAGTTATGCTAATAACAGAAATGTTAAAAAAGCTTACTTAAAACTGTTAAAGTACTGCTGCAATTCGGCTTCGACCAAAAATTCGTACAAGCCAGGGCCCTTTTTAAGAGTTGCATTGAAAGTATCTACAAACAGTAATGTAGTATGACTAATAAAAGTTTGCTAAACAAACCCATGATTTTTTGGTAGTCTTTGGTCCTTGTCCTTCCAAATATTCGATTATATAAAATTACGTATTTCTTATATTCATTATATGAACTAATATTTGTGCATAATAGTTGCTATAAATTTGTATAATAATTATAAATAATTCTTATAAATACTTTATTGCTTAATGTTAAATTATTTATAGTTTATCGTCAATCGCCATTTTCACTTAGTTTAGAAAATTCGGTCAGATGAACTACTAAACATATCAAGACGACTACTAATGTGTAAATGACCGACAGCAATTGAATGTGTAATGTGCTCCATCTAAATTGCAAAATTGCTAGCATAAAAAAAACAGGTGGTCCAAAAACCAAAATCATACATTTTCGGTCATGTAAAGTATTGAAATGGATACGAAAGTATACAAAACACGAAAATGTATATGTGTGTGAAGAAAAACTGACGGTGATTTGAAGCAGCATATATGTAAAGGAAATTATTAAAAGAAATAGATAAAGAGAGGCGAAGCATGAGTTGAAAAGAGATAAACATGAAAACACAAATAAGGGCAATGGTGAAATAAATATAAAGAAAGCATAAAGAAGGCATGAAGGATGTGTTAAGAACACGTGAAAGAAGGTTTAAGGTTGTAAAGGGATGGGGAGACATGCAAACCAATTAGGAAACATGAAGGTGGTCATCTCCTATTCCATTGGAAAATATAATATAAATACTTTGGCTTTTGTTTAAAACTTTAAAAATTTTGCAAATGTATACAACCGTCGACCGTGCTAAAAGTGGAGCATCCTACCCACAACTACGACGTATGATCTACGCGAACAACAAATGAACTACTAATTTACTAAACCACAAAACGTGATAAATAAAATTAGACAATGGTCTTTACAACAGCAATAAATTTTATAAGAAGCAGGGGGCCTGATGAATTTTGGAGAAAACGAAAAATATTCCGACTTGCTGCCGTATGTGCACCACTTGTAATGTATAACTAATGTAAATTTCCCGGTTCTAGCACTATATCGGTCGAAGACGTAACTGTTACAGTGTCACAATTAAAATAGTTCATCGTGCATTAGTTTACGCTACAAAAGGAAGGCAGCTTCGTAAAGACGACATTCGGAATGTAGGTATTCTAATTTAAACAATACCAGTTTTGTTAACTGTAATAAATTATAGTTGAGAGATACGAGAATAACGGCAGGTTGTGAACAGCACGATATACAACCTCATGAGTTTAAGGAAGGTTTAACACGATGCAATATTCTTTTAAATCGTAAATCATTGGCAGATTTGGCTGCTTGGGAGCCTCATAGCTTCAAAGCGTTAACGGATATAGCAAAACAAAGGCTTGTTGATGACGAAATAAAGCAACCAAAATAAGTGTCATTCATCGTTTAATAGATAAACTGTTAGCTACAAGTGTTCTTTGACTGCCCTTTCCATATTAGAAATAATACAATTTACATAAACAATTTATTGAAAACTTCTTAACAGTCGAACAAAGCTATACACGTTACAAATGCATCCGATGAAAATAATGAAACGCATCGAAAGCACTAGATAATGCTTTGAAATATGGAAACCTTAAAAGTAACTTGTCCTACATGGTAAACTAACAACGCACAGCACTTATTCCTCTACTTTGGCTAATATATCTGTCTCCCTGAACAGGTGATACTCAGAATTTTCGTCGAACTCTACTTTGGTGCCCCCAAATTCGGGAAGGAGCACGTTGTCGCCGACTTTAACAGTAGGTGGAACATGTTCGCCTTGCTGCAATTAGTTGGGTTAGAAACACCATGTTGATGTAAATCGAAAAAGCGACTTACTGTATTCCTGGAACCGGGGCCGACGGCGATTACGGTACCTTTAAGCATTTTACCACGGGACGTTTCTGGTATCATAATGCCACCTTTGGTTTGGGTAATGGGGTCCGCTTTTTTAATGAGAATGCGGTCGAAGAGAGGCACTAATCGTTTTACTGCGTTCGCTGCCTGCAAATAGTGGTATTAGTGTGACAAAATCAAAGATTAAGTAACATTTAACATACCATTTTCTTATTTTCGTAAAGAAAATTAACCCCGGCGGTCTAAACGTGTTCGAAGCTTCTAGAAAGTGCCGGTGGAGATGGAGCCTGTAAATTGATAATGAAGTTTCTTGTTTGCGCTTGCGCAGATTGTTGGTAAGTAACTGCATTTGTCATCAGAGGTCACTACGTTTTCTGCAATGTTTGGAGGCGGGAAAAGTTTGCGGTTCGCGCGCTATTTTTTTTAAATTTCTATAGTGTCTTTAATTATCAAATATAATTAATAGCTAAGTATGCGTTCTGCATGATATGCAGCGTTTAACGTAAAAAATAATTTGTGACGTGATTTGTCTGTCTGTGGGCAGTATAATTCCAAAATATATAGACGACGCTTCTTGGACTACAAACTTACAGCTTCCCCGTATGGATTGTGAAGACGCCCAACGACGCCACTCACCGATGCAAAGTCGGTCGGTTGAATCCCTAGACTTATGGCTACTAGTAGTAGAAAAGCTAAATCTGCTGCAAGACACTATTTTAAATTGCTCAAATTTGCTTTAAAAATATGATCTTTGATAAGGATTCCCAAAGTAAATATTGAATTAGAAATGACAAAAACGACTATACTTTCGCAATTGCCGTCTTATTTTATCAATATCTCAATTTATATTTTTAAAATCCACCTTCAAAACAGGGGCCATTTTCGCTTTGCAGTTTTGGTAGCGACTTGTACGAGACTGAACTTGAACCGGTAATTGACATTTTGCGCAGCGAACTGTCTGGAGGTGTAGGTCTTTCAGTATAGGGGTCGTTCGAAGCCACACCCACAAGTGAAAGGATCGAACGCTGAGCGCGGAACTGCTCGAATAACTTATTTCAAAAGTTTTTACCCGGTGCTGATAAATAATAAATTATCCAGAAAAAAATTCTGAAGTGCAGACATAAAATAACTATTATTATTATATTAGGGTGGACGTTCAAGGTGTTGATGAAAGATGAACCAGCATACGCCACCCACGGACGTCGTGCGGTAGGTATTTTATTTTCAATAAATTTATGACGCCCGCTCGTGAGGATGGGTTACAACTCTATCTTCTAGTACAAAAATTGACGTCATTGGGTTTTATATTTAAAAGATATCTACATATTTACAAAATTTTAAGTACATAATGAGTATATCATATTTTAGGGCTAAAGGAACATTTTTTCTACATTTCTACCACGGCCTCCACATAGTATCACGCAGCTCATTGTTTTTGCTGAAATCTAAGGGTTTTTCGATTTCTCGTTTCTCCGGATCGTCGTTCTGCCTTTGTTCCTCGGCGTTGGATAGATCCGCCGCCTGATTAGACCGCAAGTTAATGCCGAGGGCCGACGCTATTTGTAGATAGTGCGATGGTAGAACGAAAACGAAGCTGCCGTCGTTCATCTTCACGACTTTGTTTGGAAGGGGTTGGTGGTCAATTTGCTTACTGGAGTTTTGGTTGTTGGTGTTGTTGTTGATTTCTTCGGGGCTGCTGGAGGAGTCCGCTGGCACTTGGACGCGTTCCTCGTGGTTAGGTTTTAAATCGACGTCCACTTCCGATACGCAACTGTCCAAATGCTGAAGAAGTCTTTGTCGCACTCCCGAATCTAAAACTGTCATTGTCTGTGCGTCGGGGGTTTCTAGGTATCGCTGCACTTCGCGAACGCAATCCGCGTAACCGGCCTTATACTGTTGAACACCCTGCGTATCCAAGCTTCGGTGGCGTTGAAAATGTCGCACGGTCAGCTCCAAAATATCCGCCTTTTCTAATTTGGAATGTTTCGTATTTTCGGCCTTCGCGGAGTCGAGTATGAGCGTCTTTAACGCGGCCAAACTTTGATTGATACGCGCGCGGCGTCGTTTTTCCATCAAAGGTTTGTTGGCTCTTCGCGGTTCGGTGCTGCGTTTTGTTTTGGCGGTCATTATTTTTTAAAATCGTTGGCGCATCACCGGCACGTTTGAATATTATCTTGCGTTTGAGAGTTTGTAAGATGCGGGTTCCACTTAAAAGAGGTGGTAGTGGGTCGGCGTGAGAAGTTGACCGTGATTTTCGTGGAAGTGTGCAGGCAGAAACGCTGGCGTGTATATGGTTGAGCTGAGCGCGTGCGACGGCGTAGGTGGCCGGGCAGCGACTAGCAGAGCGGGGCGGGGGGACGGATTTTGCCTGAGTCGCGTGCCGACACCGCCACATCACACTCCCGATCCTTTCGGTGGATCTCAAACAAAACTCATTAAATCGTTAATCTTATTTTTATATCTTTAAAACGAGCACCTTCACCTTGGGAGTCCCCCAGACGTCAACAAAATGCAAAATTTGCATACGATCAAAATGGCATCTTGCAACTGAAACTGACCAATTAAACGAATGCAAGACATTGAGAATGGGACATTTAACCGATTTTAAAATGTAATCCATGCAAAAATCTCAAATAACAACAAAAAGCTGCAAAAAATGTTTGTGGTCACAGTTTTGCGGTTAGTAAGGGGCGCCGGGTGGGTCGCTAGTTAGACCCGAGACGCGTCAGACACGCGCCGCCACGTCCACACTGCAGCGTCGCGACGCTACGAACTGTATCTTATTACATATATTAGCACCTGTTTTGTTTTACTTGTATTTTCGCGTGTAACAAAGCGAAATTGTAGTAGCCCTATATTGCACGTGCCCACGTGCCTGACCGCACACGTACGTCACCCATCAATGCCATCCCGTTCATAATATTTCATTACAGCGTAAATACGAATTTTGCATAGCTAATCTCATTGACGATAAACACGTGTTTCGTAACACGATATGTCTTTTGAACTTAGTCATTCTACTAATTTGCGACGGGAGATACCTGCCCATGTGAGCAATTTTTTCATCACTTTAAAATAGGGCAAATGAACTCGTGATGTACAAAAATGCGCAAGCTTATCGAAAACAAAACAGGTACAATAGGTATTGGCACTTGGTCCAAGGCTTGAGCGAAACGGAATTTCCAAAACAGGAAGTTTGCACGTTTCGTATTACAGTTATCAACGTGAAGAAAAGACTAGAGCAAAAGTCACATAAACGATAAACTCTCCCATTCATATCGTAATAAACTTTTTAGTTGTTTGCCGCCCGAGGCCGAGTCGTATCCACCATTACGTAAAACGAGCAAGTGCGTGCGTGGCCCACAGCAAATTTTTTGAACACAAATGGTGAAAAAAACACGGAAGGCCGTCTTCCAATTTTGGCTTTTCTAAGTTGATACCTATACTACCTACACGTTGATCTTGGTCATTGAATACTTTCTCAAATTCTCATAAACCGAATCATAAACATTGATTTAGATAGAAATAATTAATGTAATAAATTATTGGACAAAAATGAGTATAAGGATAAGCTATCCATTATAGTCCAGAACTAAAATCACATAAATTTGGTTAGCATACTTATGCTGTTACCTGTACCAGAGAGTAGGTACCTATTTCTTAAAAGTGCGCCCTCTTCTCTTGCATTGGGTTCACATATGGTAGGTACAATAAGGTACATGTTAAGCAGTCAAGCACATATACTTAGTCAAGGGTGGGCTTATTGGGGCATTCTCTGATGCCCATAAACCCCGCGTACGAAAATTATATTTTTCTGAAATCGTTCGGGAATGTCTACTTTCTCAAAGCAAATTCAGATCTCAAAATACGCCAATCCAGTGCTTTAGCTCGTTGCTAAGCAACGAACTTTCCTGACCCGAAAAAAAGGCAAAAGATGGTACACTTGAAATCAGGGATAGCCCTGCATCATGGATGTGTGAATTAATTTCAGACAAGTCATTTTTATCGATTTCGCAACCTTGATAGATGTTACAGTGTTTTAGCGGATGTGTGCGTATGTCTGAAATTGATTCACAAATCAATGACGTAGAGCCATAGACTCTTGATTTCAAGTGTAACAAAAAATTACGCATTTATAAAAATACCTTAATTTATGATAATGTTGGTTCATGGTTGGGATTTCAGAAAAAATAGTGTACTAGGTACTATAAAAAAAATAGTTTAACGCCTTGGCCAACAACAATTTGTCAGTCGGGATTCGGGAATGAAATGAACAGTGTTATCCCCTTTTTTCTGCAAAGTGTCTTTGTAAATAAGTATTAAGTAACGATTATGAAAAGAATCTTATTTATCGAATCGATAGAAAGCTTTAGATAGGTTTTCACCAGCTTGCTCACTATACACGAAAAATAGTAAATAGCAAATTGTACGATCGTAGGAAGAGCGTTTAAATATAATAACTGAAATTCAATTTTCAGAACCAAGCGAAAGCTTTTAGCTATTTTTCGCTTTAATATTCTTGCTATAAATAATAAACAAACTTAAAAAATTAGCATCGAGAAAATCGTCCTTTTTCGTCCGAATTTATTGAACAAAAGCCGAGACCAAGACAATGTTAGATTTCTTAAAGCTCTATATCGGTCCAAGAGTTTGCCAGTTATCGTGTTACACTATTCGCAGACAGAGAGAATAAAGACCAAAGAAACCATCGACTCTCCTAAAAAGCTGCCATTGCTTTACTCTCCCGCTTAATAATTATTTCGATCAGTAGTTCGTTGGGCAATGATCAGGTTCCTTACTGTATTGCAATTTGCATTTCAAATCTATGTTTAGGCAAATGAAAAGCCTTCATAAGGAAAAAAAAGGAAATCAATATCCTGATAATTGTGGGGTGCTCGCATTTTCTCTATTATTGTCTCGGCTCTCTGTGGAGGATGGGTGACTGATGAACAGATACGATAAAGACACATGCAGACGCATTTGTTTCAAATGTGTCAAAAACGGCCCCTGCAAAAGGTACCTATAGGTACTGCACCGCGTGTGCGGCTTGGATTTTCCCAATCATGAAAATGCGTATAAAGAATCTCACAAAGCAGTAATGATAAATTTTTTAGGGTGTCGCGTAATTGTGACCGCGGGCATCGAGGACGAATCGCATCCGGTTCGTTTTCTAATTAGCCCAAGCTTAGCGGCGTTTATATTTAGATATGGGTAGCCGACTCACGTCGTCTGTCGTGGTTACTTTTAAATTGCCGTGTGAAAGAACCTTCGGTTCGTTATAAATTCAATGGTGAAAGCATCAACGGATAAAATTAATTGGGCGAAATTATGACGTCGCGCTTCGGTTTAAAAAATTTAAAGAAGACAAAAGAATTTTTACGTAAAGTCACTCATTGTGTGAACGTAGTAATTGATTAGTCTCGTGCGTCAGGCAAGTTGAAGTTGCCCACAGGTCAGATAAGGATGGTAAGCGTCAAAAACTTCGTGGAGTGAGATACTGGTCACGAACGGCATTTATACGGGTAGAAAGAGAGGGAGTTATGCGAGTACGTGGGAGGCCACCTGTCTGCGGCAAGTGTCTAGGTTAGCGCCTCCCCGCTACTGCTAACGCTACCGCATTTGATAAATATATCGCTTCAACCTTGTCACGTCACTTTGCGCTATATTTGCTAAATTCGGAATATCGTGCATGCGGAAACTTGTCACCTCATCTGTCAATAAGTTGGATAAATATCAATTTCGCCCGCCCGTGTAACCGCATAATAATTAACGCACGTACTCGGCGCGAAATTCTTTTATGCGATTGTGACGCGCCGCCGCTTCATTTCTTATGGATGTATGCGGGCTGCATTTCTAAAAATGCCAACGTTACGTATGCGGCACGCAATTTTTAAATGTTCTCGAAGCGGACGAGCAAATCGTTCAGCATGATGGAACGATTCTGGATTTATACTCGCTCTCTCTTGGCGTAGCCGCTTAATCTTTCGCACTTTCCGTCCCACTACCCTTATACAACGACCGCGCTTTCCGTCTTTAGCACTTGCTCATCCGGCGCTTGCAGCCTGAAATATTTCGACAATTTCGAAATTTTTATTTAGAATCCGGAATATGCATTTCTCTCCAACGAATAAACAATTTATTTTTATCCATCATCACTGCAGCTACTTTTAAATAGGTTTGTATTTTATCAAGGCGCTAAATGAAACACACTTTCGTGAGCATTGTTGGGAAATCAGGAGATTTGTCGTAGACATTTCAATCATTTACTTAGGTACTTGTTACTTAAACCTGTGCCACGAAACCCGACACATTTATTAGGTAGTCTAATTAAAAATCTGAGTGCGGTCTTTTATAAAACAAACATCCTAAATCCCCAACGCTCAATGTTAGTCGATGAATGTTAAAGATTTCCCTCCTCCCAACACCAGCACTCGGGCGTGAATTTGACCACCCTTGGATAACAGTAATTTTCTATTTGCTCAGGGATTAATGTATCTCAAAATTCAGCATCAATTAAACGTACCTATGCCGAACCCGCGTGCTTTCGAAATTTTTGTAATTGAGAGCCATTAAAAAAAATGCGGCATTTAAAGCAGCCTAGTTGTATGCCTTAAGGCGCACGATAATGCATGATGATTATAAACTGACTTTGCAACTATGTGAAAAAAAGAGAAAAGTAGATAGAATTTGAAAATAAATTTGGTGTTTGAAGATTTTCTTTCGTTTTGTTTTTATATTGAAACCGTCCGTTCTTACTAAAGAAACATGCCTCTTATGTAACAATTGATAATTGAGGTAGGTACCTACGTGTAGAAACTTAAAAGATAATTGAAGTCAAATCAAATCATTATTTCAAAGATTAAGTCACTCTCTTCGGAAAACTATTTAGTTATTTGACCATTTGATTAAACCAACTCAATGTATTGTAAAGATCTCCCTGGTCGAAATATCATTAATATGGGTTCGTTCAACACAACTATTAGGCGGCCGCTAGAAAACAAAAGGAAGAGCAGAAAATACAAGAACATCCCTCCAAACATTTTAGACTAACATATACTCCTCCAATGAGTGTCGCTTCTAGTACATATGTATTCGAGTAAGTACCACAATCTTCTAAAACTGAAAGTTAAGCAGGGAGCACATCACCAAATTAATGGCAACGTCTTAAAAATGAAAAAAAATGCTGTGGCTAGCACCAGATAGGTATCCACCCCACACCTGCGCCCAGAAACCGTTTCAGCCGGAAATGCAAGTACAAACAGACCGACATCATCGAGATTTTGTTTCATTTGAATTCCCGGTGCTTCAAAACGTGTATTTCCTTCAAAAAAGTATAAATAGGGGGTCATTTTTTACTCCAATGCTATGCCTCCCTTACTAACGTCTGCGGGTGGTAAAAAGAAATGCTATAGTTCATCCAGAGGGCAATGGGGCGTTCTGGAAAACTCCATTTCTTGCATGAAGTAACCCAATTCCCATTTATCTTACACTAATTATACTTTATTATTTTTTGAGTTCTTAATGGTGCGACCCCTCTTTACTTTTCTCAAAATTTCGTCCGTGCCTGCAAAACTTTGCCAATTGTGGTGAGGTCTGAAAGTTTCTTTCTTGAATTTTAAAGCATTGTTAGTTCAAGTGTCAAATTTTTCTCGTCCCGTTCCTTCCATTACTTCAACTAAACGCGAACAATTCTGTACCTACACTTCTTTGATTACACGGTACGCCTCAAAACCCCATCTGTAAAATGCCCCTTGTGTTAAATAGGCACACTATTTATTTTTTAATCGATGGCACGCATTGGCAATGAAATTATACGTCGATGCTAAAACAAGCAATGGGCATTACTTCCGTTAGAAGCATGAAATTGAACTGCGTAGGTAATATATTAGTGTTGAATTATTCAGCCTCTCGGTGAAATGTATGGAGTTTTTATTTCTAAATATTTGAAGGTGGGGGACGGTCTATTGGATAGTCAAGTGAGATCCCCATTCCCCAATGATGGGATAGACTGCAAAAAATATTTCCTTCATGATATGCATGCGGCCAGTCATCGTTTTGTCTCTTTTGAAGGAAATATTTAAAATAGTTAATAAATTTCATTTTAAAGATTAATGCCGACGGGAAAAACGTGCTTTGATATACCTTGCTCTCTTACCTAAAGACGCCGATCCATAGGCAGCAGGCGCGCTCCGACGCCAATTCGCCGCTTTACCCGTTTGTATTGTAACCCTAAACGCAATGAGGCGCATTTTTCTAATTACGAAAAGAAAATGAACTGGGAGAGTGCGAACAATGTACGTATTTTCGCCGTCTACCAATTTACATATTTAATGTACCTACATTTCGCCCCTCGTGTTCAATTAGGGCTGTTCTCTATTTTGCAGAGTGAAAAAATTACCGCGTGCATTTTTATTTAATAGGTTTTAGATGCGACCGTCGCTCGAGAATATCCATATAAACGTCGACTATGTGGCGGCAGGTCAACCAAAGCGTCGCGGCGTGATGGTGCTACCCACAACCCTAAAACCCCCCAGCAGTCTGATTACAGGCGCACGCCACCCCCGCACGCGTTCCCTATTGTTAACTGCGCGCTATAATAGCTCTACCTAAACGATCATAGACAAAGCACGCCATATTATTAACACTTCTACATCCGTTTATGATTTTTTATTGACGAATAACAACGTAATGCAAATAAAAAAAAATTCTATTCGTGGAATATACGTGATATATAATGCGGTTGCCGCCAACGACGACGACGGTTGCAATCACCCAACGCCCGCATAACTTAATATTTTAGATGCCTCTAGCGCGTTTGACGAAGGTGATTAAATGTGGGTGGTTTGTAAGGAAGGAGTGGTTCTTCCCACGTATTGATGCTTTTTGATGACAAAATCAACCACCGTGCTATTGCACGTTTAAAAATGTAGGAGTTATCTACATGGTGGCCTAATTTTATACTCCACTTTTACGCTATGAGCGTTTATTCTTTCCCTATCACGGTAGATTTGGGCCATCCGTTTAGGAGATGAGAACATCAGCGCACCATTAAACGGTGGGAAACGTTAATGCACCATTAATTATTTATACTTATTTGATTCGGGCGCGTGCTTGGCGTATATAGTGGTGTCATCTATCCACGAGAGCTTGAAGAAGCTAGGGGTGGCATTAAGGGTTGAATTGATTTTTGCACGGAAGTAAAAGGACTCTGTTATAATTTCCGTTTTTCTAATTCCACTTTGCACTTACCTATACCTACTTATAGGAAGCTTCAAAGCTTCTTGGACGCTTACCTACCTCTACGGTAGCTAGAGGCGACGATTGAACGTACACGAGCTGGTCTTCATGACTTCTTTTCTTTTTAGTAGGTATCTAACGAAATTAATCGAAATCCCAAGAAAACCGGTAAGCAGTAAGCATGTTTTAAAAACGACATTCATTGCAACATTTTGGATATTTAAATAACTTATTAAAACACTGCGATCTAATGTCCACAATGTCATGTCATGTCATTTGAAACCATTTTTCAATATTTGAAAACCTATTTGTGTCTTTATGTGAGTTGTATCTAATCCATTTTCTCATATCATGCCCAAGAGGATCGGGGGGAACTTTCTAGAGTAGCTTGTGATCTACAGGCAACAGAATAATTAACTTACTTCTAAGTAATGAAGAAACTTCTTACTTCAGTTGTTATATAGTCCATATTTAGTGTCTTCTCCTGAATTCTGCGCTGGATGAAATCACTTTTCTTTATATAATGAATGGTTCTTCTAATGTGTTTCAATAATAATCCGGAAATAAAATCTTTCTAAATGCTTTCAAGAGTCCTCCCAGAACATTAAACCTTCCGTTTCAAAACATCATCATGTTTTCAGTCCCATTGAAAGATTCAAATATATCCAATGGCGCCGTGACTGGTAGAAATAATCGCTAACACGTGCGAATGGAATACACCCAAAAAATTACCTGAACACACCCAAAATAGTGGTACCAACGTAACGCAAACAAAAATGAAACCAGCTGTTATTTCAATAATCCAAAATTCCAAAAAATAAACAATGAAACTTTTATTTTAGGTCCCATTGCAATATTTAATTAATTAATTACTGCCAAATACAAATCATGTAATAAGTAATAACAAATTCTACAATGGCTTACTTTCACTATCGCTGTGGTGAAAGAATAACATTACAAAACGATAACTGTACTGCAGTTCGAAATGACAACGATTTCGATCATGGATTAGTTATAACAGCGGAACCTTTAGTAAATGATGTTTTGTTTGAAATTCGTATAGACAGAAAAGTATGAGTTTCATTTATAAAAGTGACATTTAATATAAACTTTCTGCTTAAAGGTAAATTCATGGTCGGGAAGTCTGGAGATAGGTGTAACGGAATGTGACCCCTTACATTTTGAATTTCCTGCCTGTGCATCTCGGCTGCAAAATGGCACATGGGTAATTGGACTTTTTCCAAATTAAATTGCTTTATCTTAGTTTTGTTAGATTATGGCCGGGAACTCTATACTAAAAGATGGTGCTCTTCTAACTGAAAGGTACGGGATTGATTTGGATTGCTTGAATCAAGATGATCGTGTCGGCTTGATGAGAACTAACGAGGTGCTAAAGTCTGCGCTAGGAATACAATAATTAAAGATTGTTTGACAGGGTGATTTAATATTTTTTATAAATGGCGAGTCGCAAGGTGTTGCAGCTGAAAATTTACCAACTGTCGTTTATGGTGTTGTGGATTTGTATGGGAAATGTGTCCAAGTAACGATTACCAATCCTGTTCTACGTGAACACAATAATGACGACTGTCTAAGCGGGAGTTCGGTCTTGGCGATTGATAACGATATCTTAAATGTTACCCTTGGTGCTGATCTTAGCGAGTTGAGTTTGAGCAGTAGCAATAGTTTGGATATTCGAATGGATATGAACGTTAGGTAGGGCTTTTAGATGTGCAATTTATTGTTTTTCACACGATTTTCGTACCAGTTTAAATCTGCCAGAGGAGATGCGAAATTTGGACAAGTTAAAGTTTCACGAGCGTTGTGGGTCATTAGTGAAATTATCCAATGGACAACGTTCCGCGGAAAGGCGGCGTCCGTTAGATGAATTTAATAATGGTGTCGTCATGACGCATAGAACATTGCGCGATGCTGAATTATTTGAGATCCGTATAGACAGATTGGTAGATAAATGGAGCGGTAGTATTGAGGTAAATTTTCTTTTGTTTGTCACAACTTGATGAACCAGTGCTACAATGAGTCACAAGATATTTCGATGAACCAATGAGTTCATGGTTATTTTCATAAATTAAAGTGCAACTGTTCGTGATAAATCTTTTTTCATGAAGTAGTACTTTTACATGATTAAAAGTTTCCTGAAAGGCGCCTAATGTTATGCAACCAAAGTAACTACCTACAACAAATGAGGGTCTGCCTGTCATATTCATTAATTTGAATATTATCACTTTGACTTGGCCTTATTCTATATTCAATTAAAGAAAAAGTTGATATTTCCAATTGGTATAGTGCCAATAACAGTTAAAGGAGCTTAAGAGATTTATTTTATGTGAAGCTAAAGCAACAATATTCATATATAATACCATAAGTAGTCGAAGTATTGTCGAATATTTTTGAGGTGCTGTCACGAATGCTAGTTACGCTGATTAATACCACGAGCGCTTGCGCGAGTGGTATTAAAAAGCGTAACTAGCATGAGTGGAGCAGCAGCTCAAAAATAATCTACAAATACTTCGACTACGAATGGTATTCGGAGGACTATTCAATGAATCAAAAGAAAAATTAAGCATAATTACCCACGCCACAGATTTACACATACACAGATTGCTAACCTTATGCATTTTTTGGGAAACAATTTTAGGTATACTTAAAAGCGCCCTCTATTGCGGAGCAGTATAAACATGTACCGTTTAAAACTGTAATATGAGGCTTATGGATTTATGCATTAGATGTCGCTGCAAAAAATTTAAACCGAAAATAACCTCCCTATCTTATATGTTATCGGCGTGGTAAAGAGTGTAACGTTAATGATGGCAGAGATATACATAGTTTGTAAGTATGCCTTTGCGGTTAGCAATCTGTCAAGACCTTTAAAGCCGCAATAGTTTCCGCCAACTTCAAAAAACCTTCACGATTCTTTAAGAACCTGCCCTATGTTCGTGTGTATCTGTGACCACAGGGACCCGCTTTTAATAACTCCCTTACGACGAATGAGTAGCTCCAGTGTTAAATTAAACAATTATGGCTCAACGTACCTCCTATCATATCATACCACTGTAATAATACGAATATTAAGGAATTCGAATTGTGCAAACTTTGCGCTTTAATTTTGTTTCAGCGACATCTAACGCATAAATCCATAAGCGTCATATTACAGTTTTAAACGATACATGTTTATACTGCTCCGCAATAGAGGGCGCTTTTAAGTATACCTAAATTTGTTTCCCAAAAAATGCATAAGGTTAGCAATCTGTGTATGTGTAGATCTGTGCCCACGCGAATGTATTTCCATGACAACAATAAACGTCAAAATAAATTATGGAAGTTGCTTTTCATTTTGCATTGCATTGATTCTATTCGAACTTTTATGCTCCAAGCTAATTCGTTATGAGTGATTAAATTAAAAGATGTGGTGATAAGACGGTTGTCGTAATTGATTAACAAACTAAGAAGAATGTTCCGGTTAATACGACAAAATTTCGCGTCATTTCACTGGTGGAAGTTTGACAAAAATGTCATTGAATAATCGCATTGAATTGTCGCTGAAATACCACACGTGAAATTATCGCTGAAATACCACACGTGCAATTATCACTATAATTCCTTCCCATTGGCGCAGCAATTTGAAATCGAGACATTTCACTGGTTGAAATGTGACAAATGTTAGATGAATTGAATAGTCAAATTAATAATATGACAGCCAGATCTTTATTTGTTTCAAGAAGTTATTTTAGTTGCATAAAATTGGGCGTATTTCAGGAGACTTTTTATCATGTAAAAGTAGACATAGGAAATTCCTATAGGAAATCCCTATGTCTACTTCTACATGAATATCACTGTATGTCCCATGGGCAAAAATGTTGTAGACCGTTGTAATTTACAGCAGGGAACCAGAAAGGACTCATTTTTAAGTTCAAGCCTTGATGTTTGTTATACCTTTCACAGTTTCACAGGTGCATAGGTGCTTACTAAGGGGCCAGCATGCACTTACTCAGAAATTGTAATCTGTCTCGGTAAGTGACAACATTCCTTCTTGTAAGTTTGTATGTTCTTAAATTAACAAATTATTAATGCAGTTACAACTTTATATTTTCTCCAAAATCGTTTATTAGAAATTTGCGTTGGAACACTTTGTATAAATCAAATTAATATGCTTACATTATTTTAATAGAGAAAAACTCGGAGAAGAATATAAGAAAGAAAAATCACGAATCATATATTGAAATTACATCAAAGTAGATAGTTTTACGTAGCCAGTTAGGCGTTGTCATAGAAAAACAGAGTTTACACTATGGGATTCTTTAACTAAACTATGGTTCAGGTAGAGGAATTCGAGGAGGAATTACTTAAAGCAATGTCCTTATAACTTTTCAGTAGGTAGAGATACCAAAGATTCCTCTATGTAAATACATACTATTACAGCTTCTTCTCTCAGTAAGTCACAACATCGTTTTGCCTTCATTCTTTGCTGGTTCATCAAAATATCGGCGAATTCGTGTTTTTTTTTCTGCGTGACTCCTGATTTATTTACAGATGGGTGTAACCACACATAATCCCAATTCTCTCGTTTTTCCTGCGACCATGACGAACATGCGAAGCGGAACCATAATGATGTCCGGCTGTGGAATATTAACAAACGGGAAGGGGACGCGTCGCGAATACGGCGACTTTAATTTGGACGAGCTGAACGAGGGGGACCGGGTTGGGATGGTTCGTAAGACGAACGGTGACCTGCACTATTTCATAAACGGATCCGATCAAGGGGTTGCCGCTCAAAGAGTGCCTGTGGCGACGTGGGGTGTGATAGATTTATATGGTATGACCATAAAGGTTTCCATTGTCGAAAGGGACGAACGTGAGGAGCACAACCTGAATATGAGGCGATCGACGCGCGTCGAAGAACATTTATATCCTGCCATTGACACTCAACCAGTCTCCGATTATTACGATAGGCTAACATTCCACACAAATTGTGGCGCTCACGCACAAGTAATAAATAACGGTCGCACCGCCTTACGGCCTAACGCCGCCGACGATTTTAATAACGGCGTCGTCTTAACATCGCGTCCATTGAAAACGGGGGAATTGTTTGAGGTTAGACTAGAACGAGTTGTCACCAAATGGGCGGGCTCGATTGAAATCGGTGTCACCACTCACAGCCCAACGGAACTGGAGTTTCCCTTTACAATGACCAATGTTCGGTCCGGTACCTGGATGATGACCGGCAGTGGAATTGTGCATAATGGTACTACCGTTTTGGAGCAGTATGGAGTGAATTTGGATCGACTGCAAGTAGGAGACCGGGTGGGTGTAGTGCGTAAGGAGAGTGCCCTTCTGCATTTTTTTGTAAATGGTGTCGACCAAGGTACTGCGGCAACTAATGTTGCAGATAGGGTCTATGGAGTTATTGGTACAGTACTCTTTGCGTAGGTACGAATTTTTGTTTACATTTCGTGTTACAGATTTATACGGGCAAGCAGTAGAGGCTTCTATTGTAGATATATTCGATTATAATTCTCCTGATACCTTACATTCCAGTTTATCAAATACAACGCTGTACAGGTAGATTCGCTATTCTTCATTCACAATCCATATCTTTTCTTGCAGTGACTTGCGTTTTCATCCGGTTCATGGCAAAAATGCCCGTATTATAATGAACGGGCAAACGGCGGTGCGACCTAGACCTTTGGCAGAATTTAACGACGCCATTGTATTTTCGAATCGGCCACTAAGAGACGGCGAACTCTTCGAGGTTACGCTAGAAAATATGGTCGATCGGTGGTCGGGTAGTATAGAGATTGGGGTGACGGCGGCACGACCTGACGATTTGGAACTGCCAAGTACCGCTACCGATTTGGCTCACGATACGTGGATGCTTAGCGGCTCGTCTATTATGGAGAATGGGACGACGATAAGAAATAATTACGGGTGCGATCTGGATACTTTAGGTGCAGGCGTACGGATCGGCGTGATGAGAAGTGCCGAAAAGACGTTGGAGTTTTACAAGGACGGCGTACCTCAAGGACTCGCGTGCGTCGTTACCCATTCTAATATTTACGCTGTCGTTGATTTGTATGGGCAATGCGCGCAAGTCAGTATTCCATGTATATCACCTGTTGCACCTTTAGCATCGGTCGCCGTAGAGAGTTGTCCTCGCTCCGACACCTCGGCGTCTCTGCAGGCGACCAGTGTGATGCAACCGGTTATCGAAGCTGATCTACACAGGTGAGTAAAATTCTATTAATAGTTGCGCTGTTAACTGGTGATGCAGATTTCACGAATGCCATGGTAAAGGTATAACACTTAGTCAAGCCGGTCAAATAGCAGTTAGAGGGAAAGAGATAAGCCATTGTATTGCATTCAGCTCTACTCCCTTAATCCAAGATGAATTGTACGAATTTGCAATTCTTTATGTAGCACCTCAGTTCTGTGGAACACTGTGTCTTGGCATAACCACTTCTGAACCTTCGATGGCAATAGGCTCTTTACCTTCAGACACTTGTTACATCACAGGTAACCTCACCAAGTCCTTTCTGTTCTAAATTCAGTTTGTTTAAGGCAACCAGATGCGAATGAAAAATAAAATTTTGCACCAGTTTACTCCGAGTTTAAATTGGTTAGGCGTAGGCGATCGACTTGGATTACTGAGGATGCACGACGGTACTGTTAAAATACTAATAAACGGTGAAGAGTTGCATTTAAACTTTCCCAATATTGGCGAAAACGTCTACGCAGTTGTCGATTTACGCGGGTCGTGTTCGGCAATCGTAGTTACCAGTCGGAAGGTCCCAGTCTCGCCTCTTACCGTCGTACATCTACAAGATAGTTTGGAAATCGCTTTAGAACAAGATCGATTAAAAACCGAGCCATTTTCATCCGAAGTCAATAAACACGTCCCTGTCGAACTTAGCAAACCTATTTTGTACGAGTTTCACGAAAATCATGGTCGTAATATAGAATTATTAGGCGAACGTAGTGTTGCCAGAAGGGTCGCATCGTATAACCAAGGGTTGGTGATCGTTCAACCAGCTCTTCAACCAGGAGAGACGGTGAAAGTGTTACTGGAACAGCTCGATGTGAAATGGTCCTCTTCACTTATGCTAGGCGTAGTGTGCGGAGCAGCGGAACGGTTCAATCTCCCAGTAACGGGTTTAGCTATCAAATGTTCCAGCTGCATTGTAGCGAGCGACTGGGTTTCTATTAACGGCGTTAAGGTATTCGGTCATGCTCGCATTCTTGAATTACACATTGCAATTTTAGTCAAAGTCAAACTACAACAAGCTTAGCTGTTTGACAGCAGGCACATTTGTTAGTTTGATGCTTACCGAGGCCGGTCAGGTGCAAATTTATATTAATGGAGTTCCAGAGCCACCTTTGCAGTTTGATTACAGTCAACCTTGTTATGCAATATTCGATTTATATGGGCAATGTCAGCAGGTAAGGCCCTAACCAACAGACATGGCCCGCATTTTTAAAAATATGTTTTTTTATGTGTGGTGGAACATATGGTAGCTTTCCTTCACTCTGCAAAACAATTATCTCCACCGTCAAATAGTGCTGCTGAGCCGATTGTCATGTGATGTGTATCAGCTACCATATGTTCCACCACCTATGATTGCGAATATATTAATAGTACATTATATATCAAGGTAGAGAAGTACAGTATTATTGCCTCAGCACCAAGATTACGTCTCGAGGCGCTTGCGCCGAGGGGTGTAAGGTGCGAAGGCAATAATAGACTTCTCTACCGTGGTATATATACTATTTTTTTCACTACTAGTTCTTGAAGTCCTCTAAATTAGCATATTATGTTGATAAGAAAGTGAACGGTGGGACAGAATTTTTTGTTTATTAATTTAACATGTCAATCAAGTACGTGGAATTACAAGTCAAACAGGCCGTATTTTGTTCTGTCATTGAGATATTTTCAAAGAGTAATTTCGTTCGAATTTTTAAAATGTGATAATTTTAGGTATGTAATTTCTCTGGAAATGGTGGATGGTAGCAATTATTCATTTTAGAGAACTTGTCCAAACGTTTATTGAGCGAAATTTCAGGTTGTGTTTTCTAAAAGTGACAGCGTGACAGTTCTCATTATTGACTACTAGTTAATAATGTCCACATTATTAACCACTTTGAACAAATGCCGAGAAAGCCTACTTTACAAGTGGAAAAAAGGTTAATAATCATGTCATCAGACGCTAGTAGTGAAAAAAACACATTATTGAGTTTAATTGAGTTTTGGCTGTTTGGTATTGCTTTAATTTGTTTAAGTTGCAGAACTTTATTTTTTTTTTCTCTACGTGTGTCATATATTACTTTAAAAAAAACAAATACATTTACTTTACTGATTATATTCTGTCTTGATGATGAAGCAAGTTTCCGGGTGGTGTTGAATAATAAGCACTAGACTTTAAATTAGTTATCAGGTCATTGTTATGAAGATAAAAGAACTTACTATTTATTATCAAATCGTGAGAGGACTCAGAACAAAAACAAGTACATTTTTGAATATTCTACTGGCTGATGATTACGATTGCATTATTTTGACAGAAACCTGGCTTAGTGCAGATATATTTGATAGTGAGCTGTTCGACTCACGGTACATAGTATATCGTTGCGATAGGAATAAAAAATCTTCGCATAAAACAAGAGGAGGAGGTGTCATAGCAGTTAAAGGTAAATTTAAATGTACCTCGGTAGATTTGGATGTGGGTCTGGAAACTGTTACAATTAAGTTAAATATACACGGTACAAATTTACTAGTGAGTTGTCTTTATTTTCCACCACGGTCATCTAATAGTATTTACGCCTCTTATTTTAATGCGATAGAGAACAGGGATGAATTTTATCCAAATGATAGCATACTAGTTGGAGATTACAATCTACCAAATATTAATGGTATCAATTACAACTTGGGGGGAAGCAATGAAGCATGTAGAAATCTTCAAAACTTTATGAATCTGTTTAATATGACTCTATGTAATAACATACTTAATAATCAACTTAGGACCTTAGATTTAGTAATTAGTAACACTAATGTTCAAGTACACAGAAGTGATGATGCACTGGTTGATATCGACCCGTATCACCCTCCCCTAATCATATCCACTAGCATTATTCTAAGCGGTTTAAGTAGTGAGAATCATTTCGGTAACGCCACACAACATTATAATTACAAAAAGGCCGACTATCTGTTATTATATCAATTACTTCGCGACGCTGACTGGACAATCTTAGACACATATGGTAACGTTAACGCAGCAGTAGAAATGTTTTATACTGTTCTAGATGGGATATTAGATCGCGCTGTGACTAAATTTAAAAATAAGAAATTAAAATCATTTCCAGTTTGGTTCACTATAGAAATTATTCTCGACATTAAACAAAAATTGTTCCACCATAAGCGTAAACGTAAATCGGATCATCACCTGCATGAATTTGTAAGGCCGAGGAAAAAAATCAAAGAGCAGGTTACAGTTGCCTACAGAAACTATATACATAGTATTGAGAATGAAATAACTACGAACATAAACGGTTTTTAGAATTGTATCAAAAATAAAAGAAAAAAAAATCAACAGGTTCAGGGATATGAATATAGGGATCAAAAATATTCCCAAGAGTTAGCAGCCTCAAAGTTTGCAGGGTTTTTTGCTTCAATGTATACAAATGAATCGCAATACGATATGGATGTGAGTGTTTCTGGCATATGGGCCAGGATACGGTCAACATAATAGCACTCCATAAAATTGAAATGGAGCAAGTTGGGGAAATACTCCGCAAACTAAAACCAAAAAAATCAGCGGGGCCGGATCAGATACCACCATACATCTTTAAAGCATGTTGTGATTTTTTTAAATATCCTCTTACCGTATTATACAATATGGCATTAAGAACAAACACCTTTCCTGACCAGTGGAAGTTATCGAAAATAACTCCTATTCACAAGTCCGGCAATAAAGAACAAATTGAAAACTATAGACCAATATCAATCCTTTCAGTACCGGCTAAAATATTTGAAAAAATTGTATATCAACACATTTTTAATAAGGTTAAAAATTCTATCTGTATACAACAACACGGATTCACCGAAAATAGGTCAACCGAAACTAATTTGGCAACATTTCTGCATTACGTAGCAAATGCTCTAGACTAGACCAAGGTATACAAGTAGATGTCATATATACCGACTTTGTTAAAGCATTTGACAAAGTTCACCATGGAATTTTAATTAAAAAATTAGAACATTTCCGATTTTCATTCAATTTACTTACATTCTTTAAGTCATATCTGCAAAATAGACTACAATATGTATGTATACATGCTAAGGTGTCTGATCCGTTTCGTGCTGTATCAGGAGTACCCCAAGGAAGCAATTTGGGTCCGCTACTGTTTCTACTTTTCATTAATGACCTTCCTTTAAATATCAAATACGCTGTTTAATGTTTGCAGATGATTTAAAGATATTTAAAGAAATTAAGAATGTTGATGATGTGCAACTACTTCAAACTGATGTTGACAGTGTCGTGGCCTGGAGTAATAGAAACAAACTTTTCTCTAATATCAATAAATGCAAAAGCATGACGTATACTACAGCGAAGAAGGGGTATACCGAAGCAGATTACTCTATGCACCAACAAAAACTGCAAACTGTAAAAGTAATTAGGGATTTAGGAGTAGAATTTACAATTACCTTAAAATGGGACGCGCATATAAATAACGTTGTTAATTCATCACTAGAAAATTTAGAGTTTCTAATACGTAATACCTCCGAATTTCAAAATATTGTTTCCATAAAAATTCTCTACAACTCCCTGGTACGATCTAAATTAGAGTACTGCAGTAGAGTTTGGAATTCCGGTCTACAAATCCATAAAAAAAAATGGAGACAGTTCAAAATAAATTCTAAAAATTTCTATATTTTAAGAGACACGGTACTTACCCCCAATATGATCAATATCGGGAAGTTAGAGAGGAAAATCATATCATGCCGTTAAAATATAGGAGAGAAGTTGCTGATATTTGTTTCATGCACAAATTGATAAATAATAGAATTGACTGTCCTAATTTGCTATCACTTGTGAATCTGTATGTTCCAGCTCATAAAACCACACCAAAAAGTATATTTTATGTGCCTACGTGTCGAACCGGTCACAAATTAAAATCGCCAATGATAAGGGTAGCCATAACCACCAATGCATATATTCACCAGACCAATTCTAATATACATATTTAATGTAAACTTAACATTATTTAAAAAAGGAGTTATTGCATACTATTATGACAAAATCTAATAGGTCACGAGCCAGGAAACTTGAACGAGTGTCCGTAATGTCTTGTTACATCTTTGATATTGCATTTTGGTATTTGTTTTTTTTTTAGTATTGTTGTTTTGTTACTTTTGTTTGTTTAAGTTGTTAAAGCCAAAACCGTTGACTGCTGACAATGTAAAAGAGCAAGTCCCGTTTTGTTAGTAAATAAAATAAATAAATAAATAAATAAATTATTAAAAAATAGTAATTCGCCGTTCGGTAATAAAAAATCTTCAGGAATCTTCCGCAAAATCATCCAAAAAAGTTCTTCAAACGTTAAGATATTACCTAGGCCATTTAACGAACGCTATTAAGATCTCTTAAATAAAAACCTATCATTAAAATAAATATTTTGGGTAATTTTGACGAAGTTCCAAGGAAAAATAGCACATTTTATATGGAGTACAGTCAAATTAGACGTAAAAATGCGAAATTGTTACAAAAGGTCGGGTAGAAGATTTTATTTTCCCACTTGTTTAAATGACAAAGAGAGAAAAATCAAGTTTACCAATGCAACTGACGTCGGGAGAAGTTTCTGTGGTAAATAATCAACAGAAATGTCCTTTTTTAGGTTTTTAACATAAATAACTCGCCAACAGCAATGCTTAGGTAACATTATTGTAGAGTGTGAAAGTACCTTGATATTTTATTTGGTCCTCTAGAATCTATAGTTTAGGAGTTTGGTGTTTTTATCAAACTTTGAAAATGCTTTCTGTAAAATGATGCAAAACCTAGTGAAGATAGGACGTGTATGTATAGATACGAGCTAAGTCCCAACAAGTTACTTTTCATATGGCTCGCCTTCTATTAGCCGCCGAACGAAGTGAAACACAGGCCCACCATTGTATTATAATACTTCACCTCCATATAAAATAATATTTTATACTTATTAAACCTGGTTAAATAAGAAAAAGGTTTGTTTCAACTCCCAAATGCGCATCCAATAGCGTATAAATACCTCGTATGGTTTATGATCATTTGCGTGAAGACCTTCGGAAATTAATTGATATTTCTCTAGATCAAGATAATTAATGAAGTCGAAGGGAAACCGAATCCCTCCTGTAGTACAGATTTGGAAAAGGCCGATCTCGAATCCTGCGAGAAGGAACGGTCCGAGACGAGTTTGTCTCTCCCGCTAACATCTACAACCGCGATTCCATCACCAAGCAATCCGAATTACGGCTCACCCATATCGCCGCATAAACCCTGCACTTACAAGGAAGAGTGCGAAAAATATAAGAAATTGTTGCTGCTTCCAGGTACTGGATTTGGCCGCAAACGGCGGTTGGTTGACCGTTTTCTTTGCAGATGAATTTTTCTTATCCGAAGAAGCTCTTTGTTTTTGCTCGGAGTGTACTAAATTAAACGATCCTGTCAAGGAGGAAGACTTGAAAGGTGAGTTGGTCAAGTCGAGGTGTTTATTACATTGCAAATTTTAGGATGGGTTAAATTCTCGTTGCGCAACTGGCATAATTTGCAAACGGAGAAGTGGCATACCGCCTTTTATGGCACACGATTGGGATTCGTCCGAAGTATTCTAGATAGGGGGCAACCGTTTACACGAGGTACATAGTCTAACTTAAAATGTTTGGGTTAATTTCGTGTTCTGTAGATCAAGAGCGGTTTGGAAACTTGGTCTGTCAGAAGGAGGACGATTTACAAATTGTATTGACCCCTGCTCTAGAAAATTGTGTTTTGGACTTTTTTAAATTTGATGATAGCAAAGAGGTTTGTGCGGTTTTTCAATTATTGGTTAAACCAGGAGCGTATTCCGTGGCGAGGGATTGTCCAGAATGGAGCACTAAAGAAACTGGTGCTCTTATTCTACATGCGCTATTGTTACGAATTAATTTGCCGTAAATGACATTCTTTTTTTATGTCTACAATTTTGTTCTAGTCACAAGCGTAACGCTTTAATTTATATTTTTTATTGTACATTCCTTTCGAATATTAGCAGTAAGGAAACATTAAATATTTCTATTATTGCATTTTAATTTGGTCCAGATTTGATAAGTAAGTTTACCTTCATTCGTTCCCGATTCTATGGAGTATGTCATAAATACAGTTAATAGTTATGCAATAAGTTTTATTCCTAAAAATGCAATTAATCGTTCCCTTGTTTATCGCTTGTTTGAAGGAACTTCTTAATGCTGCAAGTTTTCAGAGTCACTGTGCTTTCTCCAAGTGCATGGCCACAAATTAAACTCCCTCTCCCACTTACGGCACAACTGCCCATGCAAATCTGTAGCTTTCTCACATTCACTTCTAGCCTAATCGATTTGTTTTCTATAATAGCGATTGTTTCCTCAGTTACAAGTATAAAGTCTAGAGTGGGACATTTACTGCACTCTTACAATACCAAAAAAGGATTCAATTTCAAAACTTTATTTGTGTAACTATATGATGTACTTTAGTTACTACTAATTTTTTATAATAAAGTTACACACTCCTGATTAAATAACATTGTTATAATATATAAAAGTTAAAGTGTTTATAAATAATCTTACCAGTTAAATAAAAACGATGCAACAGTGTCAAGGCAATACATTATCATGTTTGAGTCTACATAAGGTAGTTAAAATCCTTAATTTTTTTGTGTAAACTAAACCATTTGTAAATAAATATTCTTGTCTTTCTCAGGCATACCATCAAGAATCATGTTCAACCCCAAACTCGAACGTGTTGATCCCAGCTGCATGTTGCAACAGCTATACCATTCGGAGCCACACTCAGAGATGTAATTCTATTTTCGTGGGCAGTTAACATCCCTAAAAACATTACTTTTTCAACCAATACTCGATTGTTGCATAATACCAATATGTTGTGTCTTGAGAGTATCCCACATGTGCACGTTGTTATCATCCGACCCACAGAACAAAAAACGCCCACTCAACGACAAACCGCATGAGGTAAAGCCGCTGGTTTTATTTGGCGGCTCGTAGAGCGCCACCTGTTGATCGCTGCGAATGTCGAACAGTCGCGCTGTTTTATCTTCGGAGCAGGTAACAAAAGCTTGTCCACTCGGATGGAACTAAACTTGTGTATTAAAATACGATTTTGAACCAAGGCACATAAGACATACGCAAACTGAGTTTACATCAGATTCATGCCCGAAAAAGGTCTGCTTAGGCTTCTGATCGCGTACATCCCACAAACGACAGGTCTTATCAACACTGCCGGTAACATATGTGTTACCATCCGACGATAAACTAATCGAAACGACATCTCCATTGTGAGCCGGAAAATCCACTGTTTTTCTACCAGTTTCCAAATCCCACATGCATCTAAAACATTGCAATTGGTATACTGTAGATTGATTACCAACAATTGAACATTTTCATATCCCCCGAGCCGGTCAGGATCTTCTTGTCCTCGAGAAATCTGCACGAGCTCAGAAATCCTTCATATCCCGCTAATTCTCGCACCAATTTTGCAGCACCTGACGAGTCTCGATTGTTCAAGTCGTACACTGTGCACATATTATCCATCCCACCGCACGCTGCAATTTAATTTAATTTCCCTCAGCACGAAGATTACGAAGTTTTCGTACCGACATAATTTCCGGACGGCGCGTAGGCTACGCTCATAACCCATGCCGATCGTAACGGTATAACTTGCACTTTATTCCCTGAAAAAGTGTCCCATATTATCAGTTTACCATCTAGTGAGCCCGTAACGCAGTGCTTGCTATCTCCACTGTAATGCACAGAGTTCACCTTGTTTATGTGCCCTTTCATCAGGCGTTTGGTGCTGAGTTTCGGTTTCGGAACATCCGATACTCCGCTGCAGGCGCTTTCAAAGGTGACATCGGCTACTTGCTTGTGGCTTTCCTAAATTGAAAATTTCAAAGTGTCTGGAGACAAAAATAAGGTTTACCTTAAGTTTCCCGTAGAGGTCTTCGAGTTCCTTTCTTAACTCTAACGTTTCTGCATCGGCTTTCGGCGGCATTGTCGCTGATTGAAAGGGTTTGAAATGAATGCACGGAATTCAGAGGCTGAAGCCCAATAGGCGTAATCTTATTTGTTAATTAAATAACGTGTGCAAGGAATCCGTATATACGGAAGTTTTAATGGAAACTATTTCTGCTTAATTTAACAAGATTGTTACCAATATTGACATGGTATCAAAACTATACAAATTCCATCCTGTTAATAATTAACCACAACTCTTGATTAGATATTGCAAACAGTGGCAATTAAGTGGCTTATCTACCTATTTACTAATACTCTACCTTTTTATAACATGGCTTGGCCTAAATTACATTGCATATTTATGTAATTTTGCATACAAATATTTGTTTATCTACTATACTATGAGAGTCGCTTGGAGTAACTTCAAATAACGAGTGCTACATAATAAACACCAAAAGAAAATCATCAAAACAACTTAGATGTTGGTCGCTTATGATAGCTTTGCTGTTGAAATCAAGGTTTTTTGTCGCCTTTTGTGTTTGTTTCATGTACCCCTTTGGTCATGGGTGTGCGGTCAAACAATCTAACTGCAGGTTTCCTTTGGAAAAAAACGTAAACGTGTGAAAATAGTCATTTGGTAATAAGTCAATCATTGTAACAGACGCTCATTAATGGTAGCTTCATGGGGAACTGGAGGTCCTCAAGACTGATCCATTGCTTTGCTACTTTACTCAAATTGAAAAATGAACCTTGATTGTTTGGAGTCACATTGTGGAGTATTTGAAAATCCTATTATTGAGCCTATACCTTTAAAAATTGTATGACATTTCTGCCCAGATCCTGTTTGAGAACAAGTTGAGTATAGGTATAAGATCCTTTATGTGAGTGTACAGGGTGGTTTAAATTCATGGCTCACCTTTTAGATCTCCGTAACGGTGAGAGATACATTGTAAGTTAAATGGGAGCAAAGTATTGTAAACTAAAAAAACGCATTTGAAATTTTTGAAAAATCGTTGAAAATAACTCAGGTATCACCGAAAAACTGAAAATGTCAAACTTCCGTGTCACACTCTATAAGTACTTTTACCTTTTACATAAATTATCAAAACAAATTTCAAAATCAAATGTTTTGCGTGCATTTGTCAACAAAACATCCGCGGGTAACTAGATCTTGGTCAATCAACACTGTTGATGGCAATGCATTCAAATGCATTTTTTTTTGTCTAATTATCTAATTCCAGAATTCTCTATTTCTAATTGTATCTAATTGGATTTAATCTCTCGCTGGAAATTATTACGTAGAGTGACTTATGTTGGGGAGCAATTTTACCTACCTGTCTCTATGCTAAAGCGGACACAAAACTTGCTGGAAAAGTGGGGTAAGTTATTTCTCCTCAATCAAAGAAGCGAAATTTGCAACATCTACCCGAATCGATCAATTTACTCATTTTTTTTACTTGTTTGTATTGTAGAGATGTGCAAGTACCTACATCTGAAACTAATTGCATTGATAAATTTTGGGTTGGATCCATCGTTCCTCGAAATGGGGGTTGAAATAAATTGTGTGATCAAAACTCTCTAAACCTTCCCCATATAGTTTTTATTCCCCCATTTCGAGGAACGATGGATCCAACAACCCCCATTTTGAGGAACGATGGATCCAACAACCCCCATTTCGAGGAACGATGGATCCAAGCTTTTATTTTATTTTTAAAAAACTTCAACGAATAAAAACTATATGGGGAAGGTTTAGAGAGTTTTGATCACACAATGCATTGATAAAAATGCCAAATCTACATAACTTGAAAAAGTAAATTAACGACCAGCGATTAAACATAAATTTTTTACTACTTAGTGAAGCACATAAAGTTTACTAAACCTTGATGCTTACGTTAATCATTTTCTCTATTTCCATGCATGATTTATTTTTTGGATCAGTAAACGTAGGTACTGCGGTATTGGGAGAGTGGAAAAACGCAAAAGATCACTTTCATTGGTTTGACGAATCTTGCGGAAAAACAATAAATTACCTACTCATTTGTCTTTTTATTGAAAAGAAATCATTCGCGTGATTGATTAATACTTTCTCCATTCAATACATTCTTCATTTTATAGTCAAAGTGTAAATAATAATGTTGCATCTACTTCTTTATGTTTTAAGATGCAGTTTTGTTGCAGGTGATTATTTTGGATGAATAAATAAATTAAATGTCGATTGTTTGTTTCAATTTTAGGCTATTTTCCTCAATGTGAACATGAAAAGTGTGTGGATGGAGATAAGATCACCAATTCTCTACTGACTGGTAAGCTCTACTGTTTCACTATACTTACTAATTGTCTGTTGATGAAGAAGACATGTTTTTTTCTAAATCTCAACAGGTATGATTAGTATAATGTCATAGGTCAATAATCGGCGAACCTGGCTTGCTTGATTGTTGTGCGTGAATTAAGTAATACCACAAAAGGTTGAAATTCCGGGCACAAGTAAAATTGTAAAGGGTGCAGCATTTAAAGTATAAGTATTTAATAAATTGGCGATGGAGGTGTACAGTGCTGGACGTCATGTTTTCAATGGGTGAAGCAGTTTTGTCTGACCTGACCTGAAAAACGGAAAGATGGTGCATGATTCTGTTTTGCTACGGTGTAAGGAGTTCTGGATTTAGTCGATGTCGTTTGGGAGCTCCTCCTTGAGCTGGAGTAGGTATGCCTTGAATTTGATTTTAGTAAGTTTGGGAATCACTCGTTCGGAATGTGTGTCGTATGTCCTGGCAATGACCCCATAGCGGCCGGTGAATCAACTTTGGTGTGTGGTCAGTTTTTAGCGTATTTTCCAACTCGTGTTGGAGGAAGACACTATTATGGCCACTGTCTCCGTCCGAGGCCCTAACTACTCCTACACTTTTTAACGCTTCTACTAAAGACAAACATAGTAAATATCAGATGTGCGCATGCGCAGACTGCGCTATGTCAACTTTCATATTTTTGGAGATATGGTAAAATGTTTCCCATTCTAATATCTTTAATCATCAATTATCCTTTATCATCGCTTGTGAAACCGGGCTTTAGAGGAGTGGAATCCAAAGCATTATGCGGGTTACTCTGTAATTGGGTGAAAGCCTGTTGAGGGCCCAGAAGAAGAGGGTCAATAAATAAATAAATGACCAAAACGATAGAGACCGAAAGAGCCGGGACCGAAATGTCATGTACATCGTCCTCCAGAGTGGGTGTGTGTACACCAAAGGCATTATTAATCAATCATGTTTCGGATTTCAACACAAAAATCAGGATTCAACCCGAATCAAATTTATTTGTTATCTAATAAAAGCCTTGTGTTGCTCTTCTTGCATTCCATTTTTTTCATACTTAAGTGCTCCATCCTGTATACATACGATTACGTCTGTGGTAATTGAACTCTATAGTTCTAGTTTGTTTATGTTTCTGGGGGAAAACCAAATGTCCATAGTCCTGAGGTCAGTCAGTTGTATTTGTAGGTTGTAAATAATGGTGGCGGGTTATTATTTTTAAAAAAGATTTAAGTACCCTATTTTTGCACAATTACTTAAACAATGACACCAAAAGTAGTATTTAGTATTTTTAGATTAAACATTTTAATACTCATTTTTATATTTCTATTGAACGTAAACGGTAGAGAAATCGGTAAGTACCTGTTTTGTTTATTTACCTGTATCACCTGTGCAATAACGCCCTTTCCTTGCATGTAATTTAAGGTTTTCGCCCTCAAAGTTAATTTTTTTGTCTGTTGCTAACCCGGAAATGCTCCGATAGTAAATTTAGATCATCTACATAAACAGAATGAATGAGATAATCAGCAGATGTTCATTTCCTTTTAATTTTTCGCTTCACTTTTGTGAAAGTTTTCTTCTAGAAGCTTTTAAAATGTGTTTCTAAAGGTCAATAAATTTGGAGCAAAGGTGACGGGTCGAACTGATTTGCTTAATTGATATATGATTTTGATTGATCTGTTGCAAGCTTCACGATTGTAATAGAATTAATTCATTTACAATAAACAAATGTGCATCTCATAGGCATGAGCTTCCGGGAGAGGCAATACCTATACAACACTAATTAATTTTAGTACAATAAATGTAGGCTCATGAATCCTTCAAACTACAAAAAAAACCACAAAGACCTTTTAACAGTAAACCTGTCATCATCAGCAACAACAGGTTTAAAAGGTCTTTATTGTTTTTGAACAAATTAAGTCATGCTAAGGTCTATTGCAGAGCTCTTTCCAAATTTTTGAATTCCCTATATTTCGTATACATTTTGTTAAGCGACTAAAAGGGTTGCTAAAGCCTTTCAAGTCACTACTAAATTCTTTACATACATAAACAGTACCCTCGCTTTCTCTCTTCTTCATTCAGCTGCGCAAGTGATCAACAGCCATATCCTTGTTTGTAAGTTCAAATCCAGGTTACCTCAAAAAGATGATGACTTTTTGTGGTTTTTGGCTTGATTGATTTTATGTTCGTACAATAGCTCATATACGTTGTATGTTTCAGATGATACTCTAGTATTCACTGTAGCTACATCGGAAACCGACGGTTTTCTACGCTATATGCGTTCTGCTATTGAATATGGTATTAAACCTGTAGTACTCGGATTGGGAGAAAACTGGAAAGGGGGTGAAAATATTCGTTACCGCCCGGGCGGCGGGTGGAAAGTCAACTTGTTGAAGAAGGCCTTGGAACCCTACAAAGATGACTCAAACCGAATAGTGCTCTTTACTGATGGGTTTGTAACACCACTAGTAAGACTTTGAGAGTGTAATTGCAAATTGTAGGTACGATGTGATGTTTTTAAGTGATTTAAGTGCAATAATTGACAAGTTCAAGAAGACTGAGGCCCGTGTACTCTTTGGTGCCGAAAGCTCTTGTTGGCCTGATGCAGACTTAGAATCTTTATATCCACCTGTAATTTCGGGAAAAAGGTTTCTGAACTCTGGGTTATACATTGGCTATGTACCTGACATTTACAAACTGCTCACTTACGCCCCGTTAAAAGACGAAGGCGACGATCAATTGTACTTTACTCACGCTTACGTAGATGACAAATTACGTAACGAATTAAATTTTAAGCTTGACTCTAATAGTGAGATTTTCCAAAATCTGAATGGTGCTATCAGTAAGTGTACGTATTCTTTCGTCGTTTGTTCTAATTTCCTCTGTTTCTAGACGAAATTGAGTTGTATCACAACACCGAAAAGGAGTACACGGAATTTAAACTCAAAAATGTCGTTAGCCACACTGAGCCGTTAGTGATACACGGCAATGGCTTTTCGAAGACCAAACTGAATGCCCTCGGGAATTACCTGGCACGGGCGTGGACCCCCGAAGAGGAGTGTAAACATTGTAGATGGGGTCATATAGATTTGGAGAAGACGCAGGATGCGAATATGCCTACTGTTCTGCTTGCTATTTTCATTGAGAATCCCACCCCATTCGTTGAAGAATTCTTCCAGAAAATTGGCGACTTGGAATATCCCAAGCAGAGAATTCATGTACTGATACATAATGCTGTAAGTATCAAGTATCCTAAACTCCTATTGCTTGTCTGGCATAAGAACATGCACTTTACTAATAAAAAAGTGGACCAATTTGCCACCCATGTTATATAGGGACTATTGTAAATTATTTTATTACAAGGTTTTCCTCAAAATCTATTATGTGAGGTTTGAAAACTATTGACAGGCTGTTTCGTATGCTAGTAAGTATTTAATTCCTTTTAGAAGAAATTCTTATTCTTCAAAACATTTCTGTACTTTAAAAAAAATTTTTATTGCATTTTCAGGTGAACGTTTGTCTTTGTGTTTTGTTCCAAAATTGAAGAAATTAGGTTTGTATTAAATATTTCAAGTGTTTTTTGCAGAGAAATATTTTACTGAATACTGTTAAGAGGAAAATTCAATGATACTTTTCTTAAAATCATCATTATCATCATGAGATGATTCGATACTCATATAAATGAAGTCCTTGTGTGCTGGGGGGTATTCCATACCTACCCCCTGTGCTACATTGAATGGTGGTTTACCGAAAAATGTAATGAGAATGGTCAGGCAGATGCACTAGCAATAAAATAAAAAATGTTGTTTCTTTGTTGATTGTGTTTAAAAGGTCTTTATATAACTTTTTTTTAAGACTTGTATCTCCGTTGTTATTTTAATTAATTTCTCAGCCAGTTCTAGTTACCCATGGATGTTTTGTTGAGAAATGAATGTAACATTTGATTTTGAATTTTTTCTTGAAAATTTAATATGTAAACTCGCGTCATTATTTTTCTTTTTTCTCCTCACTCTGTAAAAATCCAATATGGCGTCCAATAAGAAAGTAGTCTGTAGCTTCTAGATTTTTGGAAAAAAGTGCCCATAGGAGATGCTAAGGGGAACCGTCCATTTCAGACCGCTTGAACCACCCTATACCGTTTAATTCAACTCACGAACTGTTGCTATTGAATAAAATTGATGTAAAAACATCCTGTTACATTTATATATGACCTAAATTATACCACAAGTAACGCTATGCAATTTGTAAATATCTTAAGTGCAAAAGTCGTCTTGAATTAGAAATGGAAATTACTTTGACCCTCTTTATTTATTTATATTCGTCGGAAAACTAACTCAATTTTTTTCCTAGGTGAAGTACCACATTCCTCATGTTCAACAATTTGTTGAAGCCTCCGGCAGCAAGTACCTCAGCTTAAAACAGATAACACCCGACGATGGTATAACAGAATGGAACGCGCGAGATTTATCACTGTAAACATTTGCAAAGTGTGCTGCATATACTAATGCTCTTTTTTTAGTGATCTCTGTGTGCAAAAGGAATGCGATATGTATTTCGCTGTCGACTCGATTGCTCATCTCGATAATCCTCACACACTCCGTTTGCTAATTGAGCAAAACCGTACTGTAGTGGCACCTCTATTAGTTCGTCCGGAAAAGGCGTGGAGTAATTTCTGGGGTGCCCTAACTCGAGATGGTTTCTACGCACGTTCCCACGATTATCTTGACATTGTGTATAATAAAAAACGGTAGGTTTCTAAGGTTTTAATTGCATATTGATGCTCTAATCGAAAGCAATACTGAAATCAGTTTTGAATGATCTACGGTCGATTGAGTACATGTTATCGGCGGTGCACTCGTAAACGCCCGCGTCCATTTGTGTTGCCGGATCGATTTCCAATTTACTCTTCATCTGGTCATTACCTGCTTTCCATTCGTGAATCTAAACTCTCTAAATTACCACTTGGGCTTGTGATTAGCATACTCACGTTCAGGTATTGATGAGAGAATATTTCGGTACCGTCTTTGTACCAAGTGATATGCGGCCGGGGGTTTCCACGGGCCACGCATAAGAAGGCAATCTTATGACCCAGAACGTATTCAAAATCGAAATGTGAGGCAAGCGTTATCTTGGCACCCTTAAAAAATGTGAAAATAATAACAAATATTCATTGGTCTACTTACATTGTTATTGTTGTAATACTGATCCGATTCCGGATCTCTGTATTTGCCAGTGATCGGCAGCCCTATTTGTACCTAATTGAGGGGGATTACGTAATTAATGAGTAATATGTGATGTAAAGTTACCCTTGACTTGGTTCTTGCCCTGGCACGGCCTCGACGAGCATGTGCGAGCTGATTTAGAATAATCAACAGAGTAAAGATGATTAAGAAAAGTTTGACTTTCATCCTTGGCACTTTAGGATAATGTCTGCGCAATTTATTCTTTGCGTTTCGCTCTACCGTTCCCCCATTTTGATCATTGATGGCAATTTATATTAATTGAAAGTGTTCCCTCCGATCTTTTTTTGTAGGTTATTGCAGATAATAGTCTGTCTTGTTTACAACATTTAAATTGGGTAATAGCAATAGCTGTTAATGTGATCGCCTTTTTGTTTTTAAAGGTGCTTACAGGTAAAGAATAGCCTTCAATTTTTTTAAGATATTAAGAACAAAATAATGTGATTGAATTATTACAGTCCCTAATGGATCATCATAGTATACTATTAAATTGGTTGCATTTTTTAATTTACAAGTTATATGCAACCTATAACTGAAAATAACTAATTGTTGCGTAACTGATCACTTATAACTAGTGATCGAATTTCTATGCTGTGGATTTCCAACAATAGTGTATTCTAATATTACAAAATAATCGATATACACTGTGTCCAAGATAAGGATGTCTGAAACCATAGAAGATACAATTAGTCAAATTAGAGAAAAGATGCGAAATTAAAGAGTTTTTATCACACTTTCAAGAAAACCAGAAAATTCCGGCACACAAAAAAAAACAAAAGTTGGAAATTGTTGGTTTCAACAGGATGGTGCACACGCGCACAACGCCCTAATGTGAGAGAATACCTATCAGACACATTTTTTGGAAAACGGAGAATTACTTCGAAGTTACTATTTTTAAAACAGCACGTTACAAGCTGACAGGATTCTTTATTGCTTTATATCTTTATATATTATCTACGTTTTAGGATCCTTGAATGGTTTTCTAGGATTTTTCTAGAGCATTTAAGAGGCTCCATAATGCGCTGTAAAGAACTGGAAAGAGCTATAAAGATATCAAGGGTCCTGCAGTGACCTTATAAAACGCATTCCAGAAACTCTGGGAGGACGACAGAATCTCTAATTCCCTCTCAATGGGTCTAAGCCATAAAATCGTCACTGAGAATTAGGAAAAATTAAAAGATTCGAGCAGGGAAGGGGTTGATTCTCACTGTGGATCTAAAATACACACTACATTTTTTTACATATTTTGGAAAAAATTACACAGGGAAGACAGGGAAACATTAAGGACGTATTCCAAGGGAATAAGTACTAAAAATATTTCCATGGAAAGGCACACTTTACAGTAAAAACGTGCTTTTTCTTATTTTTTATAAAGAAACACAGAATTCAAGGAAAGAGGTGGTTAACAAACATGTAGAGGAAGCAAAGTAGAATGATTGATTGAAAAATCTGTATTTATAGCACACAATTCTATATCTGCAAGGTTTCGTAGCGGCGGTGAGAGAGGCTGCTAAAAACCAAATGGGTGGTTCTACATTATTGAACAATTTATCATTAATACAAATGGAAAAATTGAATTTGAATGAATTTGGTTTGTATAACAATTCGAAACGAAGCTGAGCTATGCCATATGCGACGTTTGTTCAGTTGTCTATTGCATTTTGTATGTTGGTTCTTTGAGAGCCTAATCAAAATTTTTTGCCTATTGAAAATTTGTGTGGTATGAAAATCCCATTAGACTTATCATAGTAATAATGTAAATTGAGTATAAATCATCATTTATTTTTTTGTCCATTTTACAATCAATCAACACTTAATAAGTAACCATGACATAATCCGTTCTGAAACCACGAATATCAATCGAATATTGATTGTTGGCTTGGCACTCGTAATACCCCGCATCTTGCTGTGTAGTCGGATCAATTTCCATTTTGCTTTTCATCGTGTCATTACCCACAGGCCATTCGTGTACCTACAATCACGTTAAATTTAAACCGTTTGAGCCAAAGTTGTTTCACCTGGAAAAACTTGTGGTAATACAGCTCGACGCCATCTTTAAACCATGTAATCTCCGGTCGAGGCAGACCTACGAAATGACAGTAGATTTCTGCTCCAATATACTTACCATTACCTTGTGCCATGCAAAAGAATGAAATTTTGCGACCCAGCATGTAATCCTGTTCAAAGTGACTTGCCTGCACAATTCTAGCACCCTGTAAGACACCCTAAAGTGACCAGTTTGCTTTACATCCTACTTACATCTTTGTGCTCGTAATAATCTGAGTTGGAGTTCCGATGTTGTATCATTATGGGCATACGTGAGTGTAAACGGTTATATCCCCTCTTCCCTCCTACGGATTGTTTTTAATAATAAAGCGATAAGTCACGAAGCAAATACCTCCCCGTCCTCGTCCACCGGCACAGTCGCTTATTATTACATTACTCAAAAGCACGCTTAGAAGAAGCAAATTTCGTATCGTACACTCCAACATATTTCAATAGCAAGACTAATAATCCGTGCATATGCGTATTGAAATTATCTTTCCCTTGTTTTCAACGATAGTAATTGAGATCAGGATACTGAATAATTGCCTGACGAGATTGCTGACGGCTTCAACTACTTAAACCTTCACTTAACTGCGCATTATTAAATAAATACTATACAGCACCTTTATAAATACAACTCATATACCGGGTGCTGTCTACTATCATAATTACAAATACAGCGATGAATGATAGATGACATTAAAAGGGCAATATCTTCGTGCAAGCATCGCTTCCTTGAAAAACACGATGTTACTACTCGAAAAACAGAAAAAAACTGAAATAAGGAAAAGAGGCTACATCCAGTCTATGAAACGCTGTTCTTCCAAATAGCCCCCAAAGTATTACTTGCTATTTAATCCTTAATTATCGTTCAAAACATTGGTTCTGGTCACCGTGTCTTAGATGTGGTGCTGTTAACAACAAATGCATTATTATTATATTTTTAGGGGATTATGGAATGTTCCTTTTATAAATACTTGTTACCTTGTCAATGGGACTTTGTTGAAAAAACACGATAGAACGAAGATCACTTTCGTGAGAGATAATTTGGACGCCGACATGGCTTTCTGTGGAAACCTCAATGATCTGGACGTATTTTTGTATGTATCAAATCGTGTAGAATTTGGCCACCTTATTAATACGGACACGTTCGACGTCACCCGTACAACGCCAGAGATGTACCAAATCTTTGAGAATGGTCGCGATTGGGCGGCACGATACATTCACCCGGAATATCCGGAGACTTTTAATCCCGATAAAAAACCTTTACAAGTGAGTACGCATAATAAGTATTTGAATAAATGCTTAGCGTTGCATATTACAGCCATGTCCTGACGTCTACTGGGTGCCGATTGTTACAAGACGTTTTTGTAAAGACCTAATTAGCATGATGGAGGCGTTTGGAAAATGGTCAGACGGGACGAACGAAGATAATAGGCTTACGGGTGGATATGAGGCGGTTCCCACTCGCGATATTCACATGAACCAGGTTGGCTGGGAGCCCCACTGGATGCAGTTTTTGCAAAAGTGGGTTAGGCCCATTCAGGAACACATTTTTACCGGTTACTTTCACGATCCGCCACGGTCTCTAATGAATTTTGTCGTGCGGTATAAACCTGGCGAGCAACCTTCACTCAGACCACACCATGACAGTTCAACTTACACTATTAATATAGCTTTAAATGAAGTTGGTAAAGACTATGAGGGTGGCGGTTGTCGTTTTATTCGCTACAACTGCAGCGTAACAGACACTAAACCTGGCTGGTTAATAATGCATCCTGGAAGACTTACACACTATCACGAGGGTCTTTTAGTAACTAAGGGTGTGCGGTACATCATGATTTCATTTGTTGATCCATAATCACGTTCATCCTGACATATTTACTTAATATTTTTATAAAGCTCTTACTTGCCAGAATTTAATATGTGTATAGTATGTATGTATATTTACATATGTTAAGTTTTATATCTCTTACATAATAAAGTGCATTTTATAATGTTTTAATTAGGTAGTTATTTTATCTACTGATAATTTTTGAATTTTACCAAATCAAATTTCTTTGTTCAATTACAACTAATCCAAAGAAATTTTGGATATTGCTTTCTTTATATTTCTTTCATTTATTTTCCAAAATTACGAGTACTTGAAACAAACCAAATGAGCTCCAACTTTGCCCATTGTTTAGAAATTGATTCTTTTATCTGAAAATTACAAATCTTGTGAATTTACAGATGCATCTAAATCCGTAGCTAGTTTAGCAATATATTTCTACATTCGCGTAACTAGCGCTTCTAAAGGCGCACATAATACATATAATATTGAACCTACTTCCGAGTAAATCGGAAAGGCTGAAGTTCCAGTTGAATATATAAATTCCCTCATAGATCTGCAAATTCTTAGAACTGCAAACGCTCAGATAAGAATGTAAATTCCCAACAGATCTCTAAATTTTAAGAATGATCTGGAACTCTTCAAATGCGAGATACATAGGTATATTGCCAGTTGAGTCTGGAAATAAAAAAAATCACTATAATGGTTCTTCAATCACAATAATACATTGGATCAATTCAATTGATGTATATGTCTATGGTTGATTTCCGGCAAACAAATTTCATGAACTTTTGGCTAGGGATGTCAGAACTGGTTCCCAATGACCATATCTGTACCTGAGAGCCAAACTGTATTAACTCAAAAAAATTAAATTTTACAGCAGAGCGATTTGAAAATTTATAAGACATTAAAATTAATACAAAATATTTATTTAATAACTATTAAAAAAGAAATTAAACTCAAAAATAAAATATGGATGTCCTTAAATTTTTCCCTTTTCTAATTTTCAAAAATCTTCATTATTTTTGCCAAAAAAAGTTATTAAAAAGTCAATTAAATGGAGTTAATACCATTTGGCCCTAATGCTTCGAATTACAAACTGTATTAAATACTTTTTTGAAAAATGAAAATGGAGTTAATATGGACAATAAAATACTAATGTATTCTGAAATTATTTTTTTATTATTTTTAATGATTGCACGGTGTAAAAAAGCGACTTCCAATATTTTTCTTGACCTATTTGCCATTTTTTCGCAGAGTAAACAACACACGGCCTGTAACTTTTGAACTAGTAGCCCAATCTTGGAACTGTTTGAAATTATGGATTCTACAGGCCACATTCTATAAGAAAAAAATTTTTTCGGGTCGATCTGAGACAATTTTTTTCGGGGCTCAAAAAAAAAGTGTAAAAATTGTATACCAAAAATCGACTGCACCAAAATTTCTCGGGAAAACACTTTTTCTTATTAATTTTGGTGCGTAGAATCCAAAACGATTCGTACTTTTTCGATTAGACGTCTCCATCAAAAGTTATGGGCAAAAAACCAATTTCAAAAGAAAAATTCAAAGGGCTGTAAGCACACGTGCACTTCTACACAACATCAACACACTGAAAACTGTATTATGTCCACACATGTAAGTTTCTTTAACAATATTAACTCCATAATACTATTTTGCTCGGAAAATGTTATTGATATACCTAATACTGTTTATTTTTGGCCAACTTCAAAAGTATATTATATAGGACTTAATACTATATTCCATGTGAAAAAGCGAGTCTCGTTTAGTAGGAAGAGAACTTAATACCGATTTGAAAAAAATTGGAGTTAATACAGTTTGGCTCTCAGGTACAGATATATGTTTTGTGCAGGAAATGTCTTTATTTATGAGCTAATATTAACACAAAAATAATAAGATATGTTACTATTACTTTTGCTTCCATTTCATTACTTCCGGATGCAACAAATTTTGGTGGAAGGGTTGCCTAACAACCACGTACAAATGGCCGTAACTGACCCTCATCTACAGACATGCTCACCCATGAATGCATTAGACTTTAGAGGAATATGTGGAGTCTTGTCGAACTTACTACCATCGTATCGTATGGCTGGCACTCACTAGGTACAGATGAGTATAAAGTATAATGAATGTTACTACCATTGTTTATAAACAAACTTACTACCTTTGTTTAACTAACAAATTTCTTGTTCCTTTACAGCCAGATTCGTACTGTGTCAGGTTATTACAGAAAAAATTACAACTGGCATCGGCGCATTTTTTGTGATATGAAGTTAGCGTCATTCGACTTTTAAAAATGGTTGACACATTTGACAGCCGACAAGTTTAATTTACAAGAACATTTTTACAATTCCCTTATATTAATTATTTAGAATTAATGTGTATTATAAGTTTATAATGGAGCACTTACTTAAAGGAAAATTTGGGTATGTTCATTTATTGCCTTGTCAGTAAAAGAGTTTATGGTTATCTTTGCCCTATTTAGAAAAATTGTATTCAGTTCCTATTCCAAAAATCCGTTAAAGTACGGCTCAAAGGCCAATTTCAAGAGAGGTGTGAGTAGCGTTTGGGGTGGTAGAGCGGTTGATAGATCGAGACCGTTGTTAAAAAGCCAATACCAGCAACAGCGTCGCGATTATGGTATATTTGTGGTGCGTGCCTTAAGGAGTGTTTTAAAAATTAGGTATTTATTACTGGGAGGAGCCGTCGGTGGAAGTGTTACATTGCAGAGGGTAATTTCGTCTAGTTTCTAGTAGGTGACAAACGATTGTTTTTTAGAAATACCAAGATTGGAAGGATGGTTTACCCGATTTAAAGTGGTTAGAGGACGTCCTACCTGACAATGATAAATGGCAGCAATTTCGTACATCCCTCATACAACTGCGAGATAATGTCAAGGATAATATCGAAGTAGGTATGTATTTGATATAGTCGCAAGAGTTTTACTAATAAATAACTAAGATCCCAGACTGAAAGAGGTGACACAAAATAAGTACCGAGAGTTCAAAGATTGGTTCGATCAACGTCTGGACGATGCAATAGCAGTTGCCGAGAAGTCAAACAGTCAGATTAGTTACGGTGGTGAGTGTGCAGAAGTGCATCACTGGGTACAATCTATCTTACTAACGATTCATTTTTTACTAGGGGATTTTGCAAGAATTTCGGAATTTGTAGACAGACTGTACTCAGGTATGCTGTATTTTCCGTATTTTTTCTTTATGGAAAAAATACTAACGTGATCTTCATTTACATCTAAAAGTCTCGCAAAATTTTGTAGATACCAAGAATGAGGTTATTAATAACAGCGTAGTACATGCACGAACTTTTCTTCAAAAAGATGAGAGTACAAGGAAGGAATCTCAAGCTCATCTTGATTCACTACACGATGAGGTTATTCAAACGCAAATAAGGTATCAACGCGAACTGGAACGCCTAGAAAAGGAAAATAAAGAACTTCGAAAGCAGAATCTATTATTAAAACAAGGACGAAAACCCTCATCCCGTCAGGTGAAACGTAGCCTAATAGATATGTACAGTGACGTTTTGGACGAATTAGCAGACTACGATACCACAACATACAGCACTGCCGACCAATTACCACGTGTGGTGGTGGTCGGTGATCAAAGTAGTGGAAAAACGTCAGTTTTGGAAATGATTGCACAAGCTCGTATCTTTCCCAGGGGAGCAGGCGAAATGATGACACGGTATTGTAGATAAGTTGGGAGTCTTGGCAATTGGCACTTAAAATTTCAGTGCGCCTGTAAAGGTTACCCTGTCGGAGGGACCCTATCATGTTGCTCAATTTCGAGACTCTTCGCGAGAGTTTGATCTTACAAAGGAATTGGATCTGGCGGATCTTAGGAGGGAGGTGGAACTACGAATGCGAAATAGCGTTCGTGGTGGTAAAACTGTTTCGTCCGATGTTATTTCTATGACTGTGAAGGGTAATTGACTTGAATTGTTATGTGTACTACCATTAACATCATTGGTGTATAGTCTAAGATCGTGATGTTTGATTGACTAACAGGCTTGAGCTGAGATTACGGAATAAGATGAGCTAAAATTGTCCAATGAGTTTTTAGCACATTTTCCAGCAAAGTCTTAACTCCTGCTACAGTGTCAATATATTTAGATCGTTCTTTTTGAATTTGGAAGCTTATAGCTCTGGTACCTGAGTCAAGAAAAATCTTTGCCAATTATATGCGCACACTACGCAAGGTTGACTTACTTAGGTAATGAGATATTTCTTTGAAATTTTAACCAAAGATGCTTCTAATAAACGCAAACATATCGCATGTTGTAAACACCAGGTGTGCGCATGCGCAGTCTGCGCACTACTACAGTTTAGAGAGATTTTTTTTGAAATTTCAGACCCAGATGCTTCTAGTAAGGGCAAGCATGTCGCATATTGCAAAAATTATGCGTGCGCATGCGCAGACTGCGCAATGGCAATTTGTTTGTAAATGCGCTAAAGTTATTATTCTTAGGCCGAAAACCTTTTTATTTGTTTAATTTTATGCAGACCATAGCACTAGTAGTACTACTACTAGTACTACAGTGCAAATTTTGAAATTGACCTTTTTGGAAGAACATTTTTCCAATAGTAAAGTCTAAGGCTGTCTTTAAAAAACCGACGTTTGATTCGTATCTATTTTCTTTAAAAATAATACCAATCAGATCAGGTCTGCAAGTCATCTAGTGCGTAATGAGATCAGCTGGTACGGCAACAACACGAGTACATTGCTTTCAAATGTTTGGTTTGTTCCAAAATCATATGTTTCAACTTTCTAGGCCCGGGTATTCAGCGTATGGTACTGGTGGATTTGCCTGGAATTATATCAGTAGGTAATAACCACAACCCGCCGATTTAAAAATTATTCAACTTCTTTAGACCGTCACAACGGACATGGCTTCGGACACGCGCGAGGCTATAAAAGTCATGACACAAGCCTACATGAATAATCCAAACGCGATTATTCTGTGCATTCAGGACGGTTCCGTGGACGCGGAGAGGAGTAACGTTACCGATTTAGTATCGCAATGCGATCCGAGCGGGAAACGCACCATATTTGTTTTGACCAAAGTCGATATGGCCGAGGAGAATCTTACAGATCCGAATAGGGTAATGGTGCGCTTTTGTAATTTCCGATGATTTGCATCTGTGTTTTCAGATTCGTAAAATCTTGCAAGGCAAGCTCTTCCCCATGAAGGCATTAGGATATTTTGCCGTAGTAACTGGACGGGGACGCAGAGATGATTCCATTCAAACAATCCGGGAATATGAAGAAAATTTCTTTAGAAATTCAAAGTTGTTTAAGTATGTTCCATTTGCCCCATTAGAACTAGCGTTTAGAATTAATTTCACATTTTAATAGAGAGGGCCGCGTGATGACCGCGCAAGTAACGACGCGCAACTTGAGTTTGGCGGTCGCCGATTGTTTCTGGAAGATGGTCAAGGAGACGGTCGAGCAACAGGCCGACGCTTTCAAGGCGACAAGATTTAATTTGGAGACTGAGTGGAAAAATACGTTTCCGCGTTTGCGCGAGCAAGATCGCGACGAACTGTTCGAAAGGGCGAGAACCGAAATCCTGGACGAGGTTGTGAATTTGTCTCAGGTCAGTCCTAAAAAGTGGGAGGACTGTTTACTGGATAGAATCTGGGAGAGGGTATCCGACCATGTTTTCGAAAATATTTACTTGCCAGCTGCTCAGTCTGAATCACAAGGTGAGGATTTTAAACTTTATACATTTTCAGAAGGTAGCGGTAGAAAGTATCGGGAAGCTTTGACCTCCACTTTGATTGATTAAAACATGAGTAAGTATGCTGAAAAATAAAACGAGTCACCAATTTTGTCAAGTTGGTAGTTTCTGTTGCCAACTAAACTGCCCGACTGTCATTAGCTGTCAATGTCAAAGATCCAAGCGTGATTTCTATTTTTTTGAGCGTTTTATCAGTACCTGAATATGTATTTTTGAATTACTGTGTACATATAAAAAATTGCAACCAAATGTAACAGTGAATAAGTATATTTTTTATTTTGCAATTTAAAATTTAAACGAATTGAGGCGTGGGCATTCATTTGCATTCATGAGAAAGAGTGAAGTAGGCAAGGCAAGTTTGACGTACATTTTTATGTGGCGTCTAATTAGTTATATTTTGTGCAATTGATCAATGAGTAGAAACAATTTTCAATTTAATTTTTTATGAAATACGGCCATATAACACTTTGACTCGTGAGATACCTATCAATCACAAATATCAACTACCAAAAATTCAAAGACATTATGGTACAGGCCGTTAGTCCTAAGGTGGCGAACGGTCGTTGTGCGCAGTGGTTCAGATTCAAATTTAAACTTGCAACGCACCAGTGGCGTCTGCAAAGCATTTTTACTTTAGGTAGCAAGTACTTAAATTACTTTGTATTGTTTCTCAGGAAATTAATGCCCTCAAATGGATAATAATTATGCAAGAATGACACTTTTACTCATTGTGATAATCATAACTTGATGCCTTGTTTTCGAAAGTAAATAGCAAAAAAAAGGGTCGCCGCCACTGGTGCCTGCAAAAGCAGAGCTCGGGATCTCTAACAGACTCTCGGGATGCGCCGGTTTCCGCCACCTTAGGACGAACGGTCTGTACTATTGTGCTATATTATGGCGGTACATAGTCCATTATTTGCAGAATGTATGAATGATTTTAATAAATCACCCTGTACATAATTTCATCACATATTTCAAACTGTTTTTTTTATGTTGAGCATAGGAGGCTGTGTCTAATTTAAATATTTTTAGGCTCATTTAACACCACAGTCGATATTAAGCTAAGGCAATGGGCCGAACGTGCACTTCCCTCAAAATCGGTCGAATCTGGTTGGGAAACGTTACAGACCGAATTCCGCCACTTTTTGGAAAAAGCGTCTAAATCGCCCGATCACGACACGATCTTCGATCAGCTAAAGGAAGCTGTTGTAACCGAAGCTATGCAAAAACATTTGTGGGAAGATAAAGCCTTGGACGTATTACGCGTCATTCAACTTAATACGTTGGAGGATCGTACGGTTACAGATAAAAAAGATTGGGACTCTGCTACGAGATTTTTGGAGTCTAGCATAAAGGATAAATTGAAAAATACAGAGAACCTGCTGCATCACATGTTAGGGCCGTCTGCAAGAGAGCGGTGGATGTATTGGCAGTATTTAACAGAGGAACAAACGCGCCGGAACGCTGTCAAGGTGGAATTAGACAAAATTTTAAATTCCAATCAGGTATGCGTATGGTCTGCCGGCGCAAAAAGTATGTAGATTCGAATTTGAGGCCTAATAAAATCGAACTGTGAGCAATTTTTAATTCATTGTAGCTGCAACATGACAGATTTGCGGCGGCTCTCACAACAGAGTTCTAAAAAACTCAACCGTGACTCAGAGCCACAAATCGGTCAAAGCGTATTGCTAAGCATTCCATTGAATTAAAAATATGCTATATGCTTTAATCTTAACCAGAAATGTTTTTTTTAAGTCCTAAACAACATTGAATTAAACGGGTCTTGAACTTAAACTGGCACGCTTTTTGCGCTGACAATAGGTTTGATTGCAGTATAGTCATTTCCAAGTTTATAGAGTCACCCACCCGTATTAAGCTATGATGAGCTCACGACAATACGTAAAAACATCCAACATAGCAACATTGACGTGGATTCCGAATTCATTAGGGAAGTTTGGTATCCAGTGTATCGTACGCATTTTCTTAAAAAAGCCCAGCAACGGATAAATGATTGTCGCAGATCCTACTTCCTTTATCACCAAGGTGAGGAAACGGAGTGCAGCGATGTCATTTTATTCCATAGGATACAGCAAATGCTGAAGGTTACCTCGAATGCTTTACGGCAACAGATAATGAATCGCGAGGCTAGACGGTTAGATAAGGAAATTAAGGAAGTCTTAGACGACTATAGTCAAGATAACGAGAAAAAGGAGAAGTTGCTGACTGGTAGACGCGTAACATTAGCCGAAGACTTAAGTAAGTATAGGGCAAGTTTCGCAAATGTTGCATTGAGTATATTTTTAGAGCGTGTGAGACAAATTCAGGAAAAATTAGAGGATTTCATACAAGCTTTAAATAAAGAGAAATAATTGTTTTTTGTTATTATTAATTGTTACAATTTTAATAAATGAATTGCCTAGTCTTCGCACACAGACGAAATACGAATATTCCTCAAATTGAATATTAGAAAACTCAAGAAAGGTATTACGAAGGTCTGGAAAAGCGTCTTAATAAACCTAGAAGGTTCTAAAATGCACTTGCAACATATTTAGAACACATTTAAAAGCCATTGATGCTCTTTCGAGTAGTTGGTAAGTTCTATCCATAGTAGATTTTTTATACGTACTGGAAAGGGTCTACAATACTAACAAAGATCTATAATGCTCTAGAAGCAGTGGTAAGCATTTGCCAGAATCTATTGAGCTTGTTAAACGTTTTTTCTGGGACAAGTTGGTACTGTTAGTATATGAGTAAGTCAGGTATGAGCACACTTTGACCTTAAAATCTGCGCATGCGCCAACTTCAAGGTCGTTGCTATAGAACTTATCTGATTTTAGTGATCAGACCTGAAATTTGGGGCGTGCCCAGATCACAGTGTGCTCACACCATTGGTACTTATCATTTGTTTAGAGGCGCTTAGTTTTTTGTGCCTTTAAAGATTATGGAACAGCAGTGACAGAATTTAAACAGCTCTGGTAGGGTACTAAAAGGATTTAGATTTAAGTAAAGAGAAATAATTGTGTTTATTAATTTTAATAAACAAATTGTCTATTCTTCGCAAACGGATAGTGGCTATTCCATCAGTTGAAAATTATAAAACTTATCCAAATCGTAAAATGTCGCCTTAACTTGTCGTCCTCCAAAGAAACGTCCATTGAGATCAACAACTGCCTTAATAGCACTCTCAATCCGCCTGAATTCCACGAATATTCGCACTGCATCCTCCGGTTCCACATTGGGTACCTCGTGAATTGTTACGGTAGCGACATCACCATACTTGGTGTTACACTCGTCTTTAACTTCTGGCTCCAACTCGTCATCGACCTCGCCAGGCCCAACCATATTGCGCAAAAGTACCACCTTCCCCGGTGTTTTCATTATTTCCGTAATACTTTGCTCAGACTTGACATCAATAGGTGGTGGAAGCATAATTTCTTTCTCATGGATGATACGACCGCCGCGCTTTGAGGTTTTCTCAACTTGTAACGCCATAGACATGCCTTGCTCTTGCTTACCCAAACCCTGACCCTCTTTAAAGCCGTATTTCGCCATAATTTTCGCAGCTACAGAACTACCATCATATGTATTGCTCAGCAGTTTGTTGTTAATCAAAGGAGACTCTTGCGGTTCTTGTAAACTTGGAGGTGGTGCAATAGCAACACCACCTCCTGCCCGTGATGGTTTAGCTACCGGCTCTTCTTCCTCCTCTTCCCATCGACCTTGCAAACAAAAATTACACCAATCTAGTACAAAGTTTTAATATAAATACCTGCAAATCCACTGCTCAATGGAGGAATTGTCACTTGAGGAGTAGCCACAACAATCTCCTCTTCGGGATCGTTAAACCTGCTTTTCCTACGTTTTTCACGTCTCTTCTCATCTTTATCCGTATCTCTATCACGATTATCACGCAACTCTTTTACAATCTTCTCATATTCATTTGGCCACAAGGGATCATACTCGTTATCAACATTCCAGTCATATTCCGACGCAAACGAGGGAATATTTGGTATCACAGGTACAATTGGTTCGATTTTAGTACGTATCGGTGTTTGAGTAATTGAAGTAAATATATCGTCTTCGTCCTTCTTGCTCTTCAAGTCGATAACCGGTGCCAAACTTGCCTTCCGAGATTGGTCTCGCTTCGGCTGGGTGACTGTGGCCCTTTTCAGTTGTAATTGCGACTGAAGTAGTTTAATGCCGGATGACCAACCCGAAACGTTATCTGTTGGTCGAGTTTTTACATCCACATCGTCGTATAAAGACATTTTAATTACGAATTAATTACTTCTTTTAACTCTAGCATTTTATTGAGGTTATGTTAGAAAAACATATTGTGGCTACTACACCATCGAAGAATTTTGGCAACATCCAATGCATCACAAAACATGCAATATATATAGGTACTTTCATAATTTTAAAAAGGGGTGAAAGCAATTAAAAGGAGATTACATTCTAGCAAAAGTTTAAGCTCATAAGCGCGTTTGTCGCAGTTCAGTTGAAGCCGGAGTCCCTGGTTCGGGCATGGATATTTGTAAATGTATAGTAGGTTGGGTTGGTAGAGCAGCCTTGGCTGACACCCCGCCCACTCAAAAATAATGGCAAAAATAACATTAAAAAAATTTTTGGACCACAGCTTTGAAAGCTGCTTTAAACATTATGGAATTCTTATAAATTCAAGTTAAGAGTAAGCTCCAGCAAAGATAATGAAAGTTTAAAATCTATTTGCAATAGTTTTTTCAACAATATTGATGTTTTTGTTCAACTGTAATGTAGTGATATCAGCTGTTTTTAATAATTTTCGTAATTGAACCCAACTCAATGGCTGTAACTACCGTATCTCACCAAACTCAAAAATAATCTAAGATGGCAGCGATTTGACAAACGTCAATTCGTTTGACATGTTTGTAGTCCTTATAAGTTACAATCCAACACAAGCTTAATTTTATTTAAATAAAATGGCTAGTGTAGGATTTAGATGGTTAGATATACTAGAAAAAGAATTTGATAAAGCATTTGTAGATTTAGATTTAGCTATAGGTAAGTGTTATCCATTCTTCTGCCTTTTGGTCTCCTCTTTCCCTTTTTCATTTACCTTGTTTTCAGGCGAATTGGATCCAGAGGAACTTGACATAGTGTATAGAGTGCGGCAAAAGTTATGCACTTTAAGCTCGTGCTTTGCTCAACTCACCCACAAGTCGCAAACCATCTTTCAAAGCAGCGCAAAGATTGAGGTAAATGTAATAAGAGATTAGTAATAGCACCATTTATTACTTCATTACGATAGCTTTAACAAAACTACGGATTAGTATTATTGTCATTTGAAAATGTTATGTGCCCTTCTTCTTCAATTCCTGTTGTAAGTTCGGCGTATTCGCCCCAATCTTCTGCCACTTGTTGAATAATTTGATCATTTCGCTCGGTTAATACTCTGGAAGTCTCCACAGTTTCAGTTGATGCCGTAGTGCAGTTATCGCGATTGTATCTAACGTCAATGATGTCGAGATAATTCGGCAGGCAACTGGGAGATCTTGTTATTTTAGACGAGGTACAATTTAATAATTCGTCATCTGGATTAAAACGTACATCAATAATGTCCAAGTAATGTGGTAAACATTTTACAATGCGCAAGTGATTTTGGTCCCTAACGCTGTATGTGTAGTTATCTATTTTTTCCGAGAAGGTGCCAGTGTGGTTAAGCGATCTTATTAGGTTTTCAATCCCTTTTCGTGTAATCTTAAAGTGGTCGCTGTCAAGAATGGAGGGGTCAGGTGTTTTTACGAAAATCTTCCTTATTAGTTCTTCAATATTTGGTCCAGTAGTGTTGGCACCTGCAGTGATTGTTCTTATAAGATTTGCAAATTTATCTGTATTAACAAATAAAGTATTCGTGTTCTCTTTGATGTCACTTAAATCTGTTGTGACACTGCTTATGAATGTCGAGAAGTTAAAATTTTGTTGTAAGTTGATTTTTAAAAGCAGTTTTGTTATGTTATTCTGATTACTTAGAATGTTTGAGTTCTCAGCAACTTGTTTTTCTAATTCCTGTTGAAAAAAAAATATCAAATATAAGTTGTTGTAATAGTTTCTAATATAAAATCAGCAATTGGCTATTGTTCATTGATGAAATGCATCATTAAATTCATGGAAAGTTCTGTAAGGTTTTAATAATATACCTACACTACAACAGGTACAGTAATTAAATTTGAGATTAAGTTATTAAGTTAATCTGATGTCGGCTTATGCAGGTAGGTACTTTTTGCTTTATGATTATTTTCCAAAGTACTACTTGAAATATCAAGTGGTTTGTCAAGCTATTTGATTTTAAAAACTTGTTTACGATTGAAAAAATACTGTTCAAAGAGATTACGGAGACCCTAATAAATTTTGTCCTATATCTATTCTGCAACCATCAGGGTGTGCTTTATTGGGTGTCCATGTGGGGCCCAAATTGGACTTTTTGGATGGGGTCGGTCTGTCCGTACTCTCATTTCCGGCTAAACCGATTGGAACCAAATTTGGTACACATATTGTTAGATCTAAAAGGAAGATCTGGGCAGCGCAAGTGTGTAAGTAACAAAAAACTGTCAATATTTGACGTTTTCTGTGTATCTGTGCCTGTCACAGCAATTTTTTTACACGTAGAGAATTATTAAGGAAATAGTAAGTGCACTTTTATGGCCTATGGGCATTATGCATGGAAACTCCTCCTTAAGGATAGTTCATAGAAAACCTGCAAGTAGGCGAACATAATAGAGGCGATAACAATTGAAGTAGGTGAAATAAGGTAATAGATTCGGAATTAACATGGCAAAAGAAGAGGGAAATTATGAGGGGTAAATGAAAGTGGGATATACGTAGATAACTAGCTAACATATGAAGAAAGACGAAGCGGCAAGAAAGTTGGAAATTAATGATAAGAAGACGAAGAATACAGATGGAGTAAATAAGAAAAAGGGCTAGTGAAAATACAGGGAGAGGATAGGGCGGAGAAATTAATAGTAAGAAATTAATCTGAAATGAACAAAAGGAGAAAAAAGCAAGGCGAAATAAAAGTGGAGCGGAATAACATGAAATCGATGTCGTTACCTTCACTGTCTCTAATACAGTTTGTGTTAACCTCTCTTCTTTCGAATGCGTAATATTTTGCAATAAATCGCCGATAATCCCAATGTTCTCTTTTTGTTTATTAATGTTTTGCAAAATTTTAAGATGCTCATCCTTGACCACTTTGAAGAGATCCTGCACGTTATTTAAAGTATTCTGAAGACACTGCTTTGTGGCGGAGTCGTGAGTGTTTATGGATTGTTCCAATCGTTGAATATCTTGTACGGTAACTGACGTTCTGAAATTGAATGAACCTTTAGAAACCCCAACATGTAGTCACTTACTTATTTTCAAAGGTGTCAATCAACTTATTTAGCACCGCTCCAATTTGGGATTCAATCTGAGCTTCATCCATTTGCACACGATGGCAACTTTCGAGGAACATATTTTGCGTTAACATGACGTTTTGGAAGTTTTCGTCAATTTTCTTGTTTAATTCGTCTAATTTGCTGTAATCTTGTGCTAAAAGTTGGTTCTCAGTGGTAAAGAAAGTCGCAATTAACGTTACTCACAATCGACTTGGAAGTGCGGTTTTCCAGACAGGCGGCCCAGTTGCACCGTGAGACCACGTAGGCTGTTCTGTTGTTCGTTTCTACTCAGGGTAGCTGTTTTTGACAGTTCGTGCACTTTGGAAGTAATGAAATCTGCCTTGTTCCACAAATCTGTGTGTATATCAATGATCTAAAATTAACAGTTAAAATGCACTTGGTTATATTTAAGAATGATGAAAATAAAGATTTCGTTTTTTGATTTTGTCTTTATTTTTAATCAGGAGTACCTCTCAAAGTAGAAGTAGGTTCTGGGAAACATTTGGGCATATATTTTGTGGTCTATAGGAAAGTTCGAGGGAAAGTTAGAGCTATTTACCTTATTTGCATATTCATTCATATTGTCAAACACTTCCTCTTTAGAAACATTTATCATTTCTGTAGTATTTTCAGTTTCGTTTAAAACCTTTTGCATAGTTTCTTGTACACCCTGTATATTTTGGGTTATATTTTTCGTAGTGGTATCCAAGGCACTTTCCAATCGTGTATATTGATTTGTTAGCAAATTTTCGAAGGTCTACAAAGCTATTACATCAAACCCTTTCATTTACAGTCTCTAGGAGTCTTACCTCAGTTGATTGTGTGATTAGCTTGATCATATTTTGTTCGAAGCTTATATGTCCCGTTTTTAAATCGTCAATTGCGTTAACGACCTCGCTTAATTCTGTCTCGACGTCACTGTCTCGTATCATGAAATTGTCCTCCAGCTTTTCTAACTTAGCGGTGACTGTTTCGCCAATGTTCTGCAACATAGTAAGATTTGAGCCTTGTGAGTAGATAGATATAGGGTCACTTGCCCCATGACTCGCCAGGCAGTGAGGTTCTACTTCTACTCACCTTCATTTTAATTGTAGACAAATCGGCTCGCTGTTCAATCGCTGTAAGCTTATGATTAAGCTTCTCATGAACAATGTCAATGTTTCTTATTATGCGTTCATTACTAATATCTTCCTTAAAATTTTTACTACTAATGTTCTCCGAAATTTTTTCTAATTCGAGTTTCGTTTGCATTTCCATTTTCGACAGCGTTTTTTCGATGTTATCAATTTTTCGTCCATAATAGTCGATTTTCCCGTTAAACCTCGTTCCGCATTGGACGATTACGAAGCTTTCCAGATTTCGTAGTTTCTCTTCTATTGATAGTAGTGTTAATTGAAGGTTCTACAAAAGAAATGTTATGATAGCAGATCAGTACTGATGACTATTTAAGTGCTCATACCTAATATATAAAAATGTCGTGACACAGTGTTTATAGTCGCACTCTTCCGAGGCTAATAATATATTTTGTTAATTATTTTTATTATAAGCAGTATGACAGAGAATAAAAAAGGGGAAATTCAAGGAACTCCTCCAAACTGAAACTAGACTACAGAAAGAAATACTAATACATATCAGTACTAAGACTAAGAAGGAGATAAGGGAATGCAGAGAAGCATTACGAACCAACTCAGAATGATAGACATGCTAGCTATCCTGAACAGACAGACAGGAAGAGAAGAGGCACAACATGAAAAAACAAACAAAAAGGAAACCCGAGAAATGCAAACCCAAACAGAGCCACAAGCAGAGGCAGTAGGATACGGAGAAGAAACCTGCAAAATCGAAGAAGGCGGAGGGGTATGCTTCAAATGCACAGAAAAGGTCCACAAGGCACAGAACTGCAAAAAAAAGAAATATTGCTATGCATGCGATATTGTAAGGCACAGAGTGGAGTGGGGAATTAAGAATTCAGGAGGAGAAAACGGAATACGACTTATAAAAATGGTAAAGCAGAACTAACAAAAAAGACCTTGAAATATGGATGAACAGACCGCATGGAGAATCTCACACAATTCCTGACTGGACATGTACAATTCGGCACATAGCGAAAAATGTATGTTGTGCGAGACACGGTGGAACACATAAACTGTACGATTCACAGAAGAAAAAGATTTCAAACAGGAAAGAATACATAGAGCGTAAGATGGATTACCCTTTACCGAAGATTCACATTGTTCAAATTTCTATTATACCTTTTACTTATGTAAAGGTAAAAGCAAAAGAAAAGGAGGCATACGTACTGGGTCCCAAGATACAAGGAGGTCCATGGTACAATAAGACAAGGTATGCCCATAACTAAACGCAGATGACGTTTTTATCCCAATGACGTCACAAGAATCACCGCCAAGTTTGAAAATGACACACGTTTCATGCTTGAATTAGAAGTGCCATTGCAATTACTCAATTAATTTGGTTGAGTAATCATACTGAATGCATTTAGATATAAATATAAGGCCACAAAGAAGCTAAACGTACCACTTAATATACTTATTTCAGAAATTTAATTAGCTTTTTAAGTTTTTTTTATTGCCGCTAGAGGTCTCGTCTTTATTTGAAAACGCTAATATAATTTTTACTTTTTTTACTTACATATTTTATTGTAACTTTAAATATTTGTATTGATAACATGCAATAATTGACACTTCGTAAGTTTAATGTGCGAAACTTGACGCAGTTGACATGGATTGAACAAATCTTATCACATCCGTAAAGGGGATACACTTTTATTAACTGGTAGGACTATACAAACCCGATTACTTTATTGAACGGTAGAGCCAAGTTATCCCAATGACGTCACGTATAGGTAGGGTTGCCATCTCAAAACTCTGCCAACTAGGACAGGAAGCGTGAAAACCCTGGATTTAGGGACTATAAACCCGGACATATCAACTGAATTTGATAAAAAAATATTGTCTAAAGAAATAGTCTTTGAAATTGTACTTTATTAACGAGCTGCTAGCGAGTTTATAATTTTGCGGTGTCTGTTCGTCCGTTAGCACGATAACTCGTAAACGAATGGACCGATTACGATGAAATTTTGCAAGTGGATTCTTTATCAAATTTCTAGATCGGAGTGAATCGTGAATTGGCAATGTAGACCAGAAAATAATGTAGGCCCTTTTGAACTTATGAACCGAATTGCATGAAATTCAATATGCGCATAGCTTTAGCCATACAAAACAGAATTCCAAAAGTTGAGCCTAATCGATCAGTATTCACAGTGGCCATTCCGCATCTCGACCATTTACAGACCGCTGAATTGCAAACTTTCTTATTTATGAAGGTATTTAAATGAAATTTGATACATAGCCACTTGGAATAAAAGAAAATTTAAGGCCAGTTCAAAATTTGGTTTTGCGCATGCGCAGTGCCTACTTTATTATTTAAGGAAGCAATTAAATGAAATTTCATGCATATACACTTTAAATAAAAGCAAAACTCACCATCAGGTTTAAAATTTGGTATTGCACATGCTATAGCCATACCCAGGAGCTCGTTTGCTATATTTGTTTAATTTATTTTTATCACTGACTAGACTGTTTCAATATTCAATAAATTCCTTTCTTTGGTCCACTGTTATGCCACTAGTGAAAATATTCTTTCAACGTTCGCATTATGAGCAGGAATGCAAAAACAAAGCTCTAGGCAATTTTCAATAACTCCAAGTATAATTGAAGATTCGATGTTTTAAAAAATTGTAACCAAAGCTGACTGGCGCTTAAAAGTTTATCTTATTGGCTAAAATTTTGACAGAAACTAGATGTTCTAAAACCCGGACTACCAATGAAACCCCGCCCGGACGCCCCCTAAACTAGGACAAATCCGGGAAAATCCGGACGGATGGCAACCCTACGTATAGGCATACCTTGTCTTATTGTACCATGAGGAGGTCTATCATGGGGTTGTCATAAACCATAGAAGATACTACGATTGACAAATTAGGGAAAAGTTGTGCCATTAGAGTTATTATCACGCTGTAAAGAAAACCAGAAAATTGCTTCCGAAGATATATCTGAAAAACCGAAATTTGCAGATTTCGTTTTAATTTTTTCTGCCTTTATTTGAACAAATACAACAACAAAATTAAAAAAAAACGCTTTTTCATTGCCATTTGAGATGGAGCAAGCTTGGAGAAACTGCTGGGTTCAAACACTGTAGTTTTGTAAGTGAATAATGAGGGGGGGGGGGTTGGTTTGGTATGGCAGCCACAGTTAAAACTCCAGATAAAATAATAAACAAATAGTCAGTATCAATAAGGCATTTACTTATTGCAACAACCATGGCTTTAGAAAATACTTTATAAAATGTACATGGGGAGAAGTATGATCTTCTTAAGCAAATAGTCTCACTGTTTTTGTGGTGATTACAGCTTGCAGTTTGTAGACGACCTAGACATTTCGAGAAGTAGGCTAATATATAGTGCAAATAATAATGACTAACAATGTGCCTTGGGAACATATTGGTCTCACGTTATGTGCACATTCAGTAGTACATTGTTGGGTATATACAGCGTGCGCCAAAGGTATTGTGTTATTAGACCTTGTGTTTAAATAGTAATTTTAGCAATGATGCGTAATAACAGTGGGATCATTTTCATTTACTTAGATAGTGTGGATAGGGTACAGCATTGGAAAGAGGTAGTGCAATTTTTTGTAAATAATGACAATAACGTTTTGGTGCATCCTGTATGAAAAACTATTGTTAGCATTGCGGGAAAAATTGTAGCATAAAACAATCTACTTAATATAATTGCTCACCTGCCAGTTGACTTCGTCCTTAACTTTTTTCTGATCGACACTAATAGGCGAAGGGTTGGCAAAAACAGGGTAAAGAATACCGCACATAACTACATAAGAAAACAGGACATCCATAATTTATGAAGCACACTCACAAATGTTGTGGTAGGCAATGAAATTTGTCTGGTCAGTCGAGAAATCCAGACAGTCTATTTGAAATTACACATTTCTTTTAGCAATGTCAAGTTTTTATGTCTTTAGGGGTTTGAGTTTTAAAAATTCCTCTTACGCAATTACAATGAACAAAAAGTTGTTAATAACATTCTTAGAAGCGCTAATACCGTTTTCTTGTATTATCATCGATTACAATTATCTTCTTTGTGTGCTTTGTCCGTTATTTACTTTCCTATAAGTAAATAAAGTCGATTTAGTCCCCCTTTAAACATGTTTATAAATAAATTAATTGTTATAGCGCCTCTATCAAATTGTATAAAAAAACACTTAAGTTTAATTGCTATTTTTTAATGCTTCTGTCTTGTAAGTGCTCGGGTTTTTTTGATAATCAATTCGTTTATTTGCTACAAAGTTGTGTGAACGATAAAAATAAATCCGACTCATTTTAATTTTTTTTTGCAGGCCGAACTTATTCATATGCGCGCAGAATTAATAGAGTCAAGGGCAAAAAGGGAACTGCTGGAGCAAGAACTGCACAATTTACTTCTGCAACTGCACACCTCACAATTGTCTCAACTACCTACCATAACCGGGAATAAGGTGCAAAATTCTAAATTTGAGCCTGATGCCAGTAATATTAAGAAAAAGTTCGAAAACGAAATCAAAAGTAGTCCAACGCATAATCTCAGTAACGGAGGTACGGTGGTGACGTCTTTGCATCTTTGAACACAACCCTTTTTAGCTATTAAAGAGAAGGATGAACTGAAATTTAGTCCGGCCTTAGTTGAACTTGCACAGTATCGCGCCGAAAATTCGCAATTGCAGTTGGAGAATGGGAGTTTACGCAATTCCATTGTCGCCTTGAATAGTGAAGTATACGGAGCCAAACTTGCGGCGCAGTATTTAGATAAGGAGCTCGCCGGTAGAATTCAGCAATTGCAACTTCTGGGTAGGTATGGTCGTACCTGTTGTGCGACTAATATTTTGGTTCAATTTAGAACATGTGCACAGTTTATTATTAGATTCAAAACACGTGTTCGGTAAGTGGAGTTTAAATGAATGGTTACTATAACTTTATTACTTTTTAACATGTGTTTCGGGTGAGAGAAGGCGTCACCACATAATAAATGTTCATATTCGCCTTGTTTTCATGTCATTGTCAATGTCAATTTAGTAATAATTCTGAATAAATATAGAACTTAACGTAAAATAAAGGCGCGAAAGTCTAAAAAGACATTTCTGCACATTTTACAGCCATCCTAACGGTTGGTATACAAATAAATTCATATTTGGTCGGTATTTACCATTTTTTAATTTAGAAACAGAATTTCGGAATAATAGTAATAAATTATTTTGAAACACCATGTCCATGTTTTGTTATGTCCGTTTATGCAACAGTACAGGAATTAAAAGTAGGTGTTTGTACCTCTATTTTTTAAAGAAACCAAATAACTTAGTCAATGTTAGGTACAATCATTCAAGTGCCGAATTTACTTATCTTTGTGTCAGTAGCGGCATGGGGCTTGTATATTTTAAACCATGCAGGACTTGGATCGCTATGCTTGCTTGAATGATTGGTTATGGATAGCCTTGTAGACAGTACATACCACTCGGTTCTCGTAAAGACCAGCTTTCATAGCAACTGTGATGGGTTGCTAATAGTAGTATTCTGTTGAAGCAGAAATAAAGATTGGTTCTACTAAATGAGTTTAACTGTAATTATAATTACTCTCCTGGTAAAGGTATAATAATAAACACAAGGTAGTGAAGGCAGAATTTGTATACCTTGTATTATTGAAAAACAGTTGGTTTCCTGTTTTTTTAAGAAGCAATTGCCTAGCAAAATCATCTAATCTAGCATCAATCGCAATCCCTGGCCCCCCACAATATATATAAGACCGATTATTGATCCGCCTACTATACTAATAGTTAATGCTTATAAAGATTTTTTTAGTTCTGTATATTTGCCAAAAAACACTAATGTTTAAATTCCTTCTGCATTAACTAACATCACAAGCATTTTAATTACTGAGAGTTTTGAGGCTGATATATCAGTTATCCAATTTTGCGGAATAATAAAAGCACGGCGTGCGTACAGTGACTTTATAGAGACAGTGGCGACAATAGGAGTTCGGCCGCCATTTTGCGTCAAAAAGTTGGCAACACACAATACACGTAGGCATGTGTGGCGTACACCGCAATATCATATTAGGGAGCAGTCAAATTACCGCCGCGCGGTGGTTGCGTTAAGCGCGGTTTAGACGCTACGATCTTGGCTTCGATAAATCGTAACGATCTGATTGTTCAATTTATCGTTCAATAAATCGAAAGAGTGCGTACTGTTTACATGTAACGATTTCTTGTTCCAATCTCATTGTCGATCACGGTTTAATACAGTTTTTATTTTTTTACTTTTCAACTTGTCTTTTGGTTCTGTCCACTAATATAAATTATACTTGCATTTTATTGCTTACATTGCTTGCTTACAATAGAATCTTAATCTCGATTATGATTTATGAGTAGCCATGTGTCGCTAAATATTTTTTTTGAGTGGCCAAACTTGATCGTCACTCGCCAAATGTAAAACGTGTGTGCTAGAGACAGTCCAAGTAGCCTAAATGGATACAAAACTGGTTCACGTCGGCAACATTAGTCACAAATCGTAGCGATAAATCGCTGATATTGTTTACACATTCCAATTTATCGCTACGATTCGCAGAAATTGAAGCCGGCCGCCATCAACCATCCAATCCAATTCCAATTCCAATAATTCGCTACAATCCTCTGTTCACACGCAACGATAAATCGTAACGATTCCATCGTTACGATAAATTGTTACAATTTATCGTAGCGTCTAAACCGCGCTTTACACATATTGTGAACGACTATTTTCTAAACGTTTTATTAGTAAAATATTTTTCATTCAATGAATTAGCGATATAAAAACTGTAAATATGAATATGAATTTGGTTGTTTCTAGTAAGAAACAAATCCCTACAAGTATTATGAGAACATCTTTCCTTTTTAGATGAAAATTTACAACAATTGGACTAATTAAGAACATTTATTCAATGTAAAATTTTATCTTTGCAGGTGAAGGAAATGAAAAGATTTGGTCTAAGGAAAAGATGTATAATTATGATTTTCGCTACCATTGAGTAAGTCTAATTTTGATCATCCCACAGGTCACACATCAGTGGGTTCAGCATCATATCTTTCAACTTCCACAGCTTCGCCTGAGTGGATGGTCCAGATTTCACCAGTTGATAACATCAACTGTTTTCTGAAAACCATCCTTTCAATTGAACGTCTTACTCTGCCTCGTCAACATAATCTCTTCGCTGAATCCAACTCATAGAAATTGTTCGATGGGGGTTCGATTGCACTGCTAGTCGAATATGGTATCACGTTTCACAGCAATATCCTCAATTTCTGCCACATTGTCACACCTATTAGGTTCCGCCGCATTCGTTTTCAGCTATTTTTCGATACCTTTGTCCTCCAATGCTAATTGCACGCGGAAATACAATTAGGTACTGAATTCACAGCCATCGAAACACAAATTTTTCATCGTTTGCCCCTGACATTTGACTGAATTCACAGCCATCGAAACACAAATTTTTCATCGTTTGCCCCTGACATTTGACTGCAGAAGTCGCTAATGTCAGAGCATGAGCACTGAATAGGTAAACCTCGCATCGTAGGCAACCAACATACCTCCTACCTTTCCACATCATTCTCCATTGATTTCTTCAAGTTGCGCTGGGTTAGTTTGGTCACATCTTGATTGACTACCGAAATACATTTAAATATTTATAGTTGTAGTTTAAATATATAAGCTTGGCTAATGGACATCCATGGACATTCTCAAAGCAGTATTGTGTTTCTGTTTAAATGCCAGATAAAAGTAAATTTAGTGAAATTAATTGAAATATATGATATTAATTGCAGGGCGAGAAATGCAAGGCGACGTTCGAAATAAACTTTGGAGGCAATTAGAATCGGAGATACTTTTACAGAGACATAAGACTGTCGTACGCGCTTGTCGTCGTAATAGTATTTTAAGTAACCATTCAGAAGTCGCGTCTGCGAAACCTAGCATTCCAGTCATAAACGAGGAGAATACGCAACATTTCGGCGACGTCCGTACCATTATGGTTAAGCGGAAGAACGGGCAGGGGTTAGGTATAAGTATAACGGTGAGTGTTAATCAGTTGATTAGCGGTCGAAGTTTGATTGCAACGAGTGTTTTAGGGCGGACGTGAACACGGCGTGCCTATTTTAATATCGGAACTTGAACCAAATGGGCCGGCGGCCATGTCGGGACAACTGTACATAGGTGATGCAATTTTGTATGTTAACGATAGAGATTTGCGGCAGGCTTGCCATCGTGAAGCTGTCGATATACTTCAACAGCAAACTGGTGATTGTAGACTACAGGTTCAATACATTGCCGCCGATGACAGTGATAATTCATTGGAGGAGGATGGATTTAATTTTCGGTAAGCAACTCCCACTGTCCATTTCCATTCAGTAAAATAAATGTAAGTGTTCTGATTGGTTAGTGTCTCATGACGCTGTCTTTTAACATTCAAATTTTGATTCTAGATTTTTCGATAATGAAGTATGTGACCCAAACGATTTGGTAAGTTTGCATCCATTACATTCATCAGGCCTGATGAATACTCCAACTGCCCCAAGAACGCCCGAGTCTACAAATAGTCGGTAAGTTCGTAGATTTTTCTACTCGTGTAAGTGTATCTATGTTGTGATATGATGTAATTTTTTAAGTTTGAATACATTATTCTATTAATTTGTTTATCATTTTTGTATCAGTATTATGGTATAACACCCATATGATGTTTTATATTTAGTTGTTATAATTTGTATTATAGAGATTTGTACAAATCTTCATTAAACGAAGGCACTGTTTGTCATTATGTAGTAAATGCAATACTCTCAATGTGTTTTATTTTTTTTAGTTGGCATGTTAGAATATATTTGTTTTATCCTTATATTTCATTTTTTTGTTATCGAAATCACGTTATATTTTATATGACACTAAGGACTGACCTTTTTGTCTCTTAATAGTTTTATTCTTTGTGTAAACCATTTTTAGTACAATTTATTAAATTTATTGAGAGATAAAAGGACCAGCTTTACACTGCATTTCTTTTACTTCGTGCAAAGTGTAGGTGCATGTCACACCAATAAATCGCACTATTATTAGTGTTTGTACTTCTGTCCACCATTAGTAGAGGGCGCTGGCTATATTGTAAAAATTAGAGAGAAATGTGTGACTAAGAGAAATTGCTGAAGCAGGGGCTTTAGGGGCTGCAGCCCAGGGCCCCCGCTGGCGACCACTACAATAGGGATTAATAAAAACAATAAGTCCATTAAGATGCTAAACTATCTTAGATGTTTCTTTTCGAGTTAGACGAGGTACGAACGGACGGACAAAACCATCACATAAGGGAAATTTCTTTCAAAAAATTCCTCTAAAGCACTTGAAAACTCTATTATTCTATTTTCATGTAGTCTCCCCCAAAGGCACTGAGTAACATGTTGAAAGTCACTCTGATTCTCAGGGGCGGACTGGGTAACTGCGGGCCAGGTGGAATTGCATAGGTTACGGGCCATTAAAGTATTAGTGTAGGGGGGGGGGGTTAGCTCTGAGGTGCACCACAAAAACAGTACTCCTTTCTCGAAAATCAATTACCATACAGTTTTTTTTTTTAAATTGCAGCTGATAATTAAAAGTAACAAAATATACAATCCACACGAGGTGCGTCGCCTATCATTGTATTTCAGCACTTTCATGCTACGACAAAAAATGATAAATTCATTCTAAAACACTTCAATTAAAACAGAATTTTTTAACAACCTAACATCAACCCCAATTAGAGAAACATGTTAATAATTTATTAATAGTGCAAGAAACTAAATACAGCACATACTTATAAATTTCCAACGGGCCATTATGATCTACAGGCCAGGTGGCAATCGCCACCCGCCCCCCCGTGCCAGTCCTCCCCTGCTGATTTCTCACAGGTCTAGTTCTAAAAATAGATCAGTGGTTTGCCTTAGGCCTGTAATTTTAATAATAATTTTCTGAAGAAAATAATAGAAATAGATGTACGTATGAATAAAAGGGAGCATATGCTTATACTTGCAAAATTCAAAGTAAATACTCGTAAGTGCCCTTCATACTGGTCTGTTTAGCAGCGCTGCACTGCGTCCTGTCCTGCTGCTCAGCAGCGCTGCTAAGTCGCCCAGTGTGAAGGAGCACTTACGAGTATTTACTTTGAATTTTGCAAGTATAAGCATATGCTCCCTTTTATTCATATGCGCCATTAAGTAGAGGCCCCTCTACAAATATTAGCCCAGGACCCCCTGAACCCTCGGTCAGCCCCTGGCTGAAGGTTGCGCTAAAACTGGGGGTAAATATTGAAGTATTTGGGCGGTATGCGCAGGAGCCCCGTCTTGTTGAACCTCAACATAAGTTTACAATTTAATTTCAAAAAGTGCACATACAGAGTGTCCCAACGTTATTGCAGATGCCGAAGCCAAATAAAACGTTCGCGTAGCGTAGTTTACATAAGAATAGATAGCTTTGTTGGAGAGGTTTTTAATATCGATAGTTTGCAGCATTTTTTATGTACTTTTAGTCTGGGCTGTGAACACGAACCATAGTTTTGTAAGTTACTTTTGAAACACGAAGATGTTTTTGGATGTGGTTGCCTTAATTCTTTCTATAAACCTAGTTTCAAATGGAATAATCAAGAAAAGATAAACAATTTATATTCTATGAGACTTAGCCCTATCTTTAAACAATATTTAGCTGCTTCTGCTTTGGTACCTACATCTTCAATTTTTCAAAGAAGATAACAGACAAACCCTGCAAGAACAACTTACAAATGTGAATGTTGTAATTTTTGTGTAGGGGAGAGCGGGGTACATTTGGACGATTTTGGTCAAAAGCAAGGTTTGATATCGGAATGTAAGATTTTTAAAGGGAGGATCACTTTTACATAAGCATTGGTGTGTTACCTATATTCAAATTTTTTTTCAGAAACGTAATGCTTCAATTTTAGAGAAATTTGGCAAATCTTTGTGCGCTTGCATTTGTCCAAATGTGCCCCATGGGCGGGACAGTTTTAGACAGTAGGGGGGTACATTTGGACAGTAATGGAATACTAGTAAAGAACAACTTTATAAACTATGGTACACATTTATTTTTTTATTTAAGCATACAACAACAAAAAATAAGTGTAGCTCATGTATACGGGAAAATCACTCTTAAGTCATATTATATGAAGCAAAACTAATATTAAAGTTGTGGCACGATTTGGTTCTGGATGTTCCTTTGATTTCTACCTATAGGAGTGGGTAGTTTCAGAAATCAGAACTATACATATCCCGTTTTGATATTAAAGCAGTATCCTTAGCGTCTGGTAAAGTGAAGCCCTTGGCACCCCTCTTCCTAAAAAAATTCACAAGATAGTCACCATCTGTGTCCGAATCTACCCCATGCTATTTGTCCGGATATGCCCCGTATGGTCTTTGATCCCAGTGCAATTTATTTCAATGTTAGGTTATTCCCAGGACTACTTTATTAAACATCAAATAAACCCCTTCTCTAGCTATTAATTGCATTTTTGAATAATATGAAAATTGTACACCCTTAAGAAGGTAAAAGTAACTCATACGTACCTCAAAAAAAACTTTATACTGCCTTAAAATCACACCCACTTAACGGACATTTACGAAATTTTTGTTGTTAGCTTTGGATACCACCCGGCGACGATTTGTAGAATATTATAATTTTTAAAGGCTTCCTTGGCGGTGAATTTGAAAAGTCCGAATGTGCCCCATGCCCGAATGTACCCCGCTCTCCCCTACATCGAATAATTTTGTTTCCTTGTTTAATTTTGTTCACGAGAGTCCTGAAGTCGCCGTTTAAGTGCACATAAAGTCCCTCCCTGATTCAAAAATTATAATTTTTAACGATTTGGCTTTGGGGCCAGGTATAACGTTGTTTTATAATTTATAAATCAAAAATAAAATCATTTCAGAATGCACAGCACGGAATACAAATTGTGAACAGAGATTGGATAAATTTGTTTGACTCCGACTTATTTTTTTTAACATACTCAGTATCCCCAAAGTGTCAAGGAGTAAGTTTTTGGTATCACTTAAATGAGAACTAGTTGGTTGATTCAATCCGGTTTTCAGTAATTTTCTTGGTTTTCCTTATTGACATTGACACATGTGAGGAAAGACATAAATAATAGCCAGTGACCATTATTAAATGTGAACTGTGTACCTACATTATACTACACGGTTATTACTTTTCAGCACAGAATCGAGGAATTGTAGTGGTAGGCAAAGTCCTCACACATTTAAACCGCAGATGTCTTACCTAATGGGAACCGAGGAACCACCAACTTTAAATAATTTTACGAATAACAATGACATAGCTTGTGACGATAATGTAACGCAACCCCTCTACAATTCCATTATAACATCTACCCCAAACGATAATAACCTAGACGAGCAAATTGGGGAGATTAATAGCAATATTATTGAGACGACAAACGAATACTCTTTAAATGAGGAAAACTTGCTAATCACCGATAACTATGCCCACAATAAGGTTATTAATAGTAGTTGTATCGATAACCCAAGTCATAAAATCTTAAAAAAGCGTGAGAATGGCGACGAAAATCTGAATTGTTCAACCAATTCTTTAGTCTCCGATAATTTGTCATCACCCATGCAAACGAGTACAGACGTATTTTTAGACTCTGAAATTTTATCGACAGACGCCGCTTCAAACGATTCTCACTCGCCCAAAAACACCGAAAAAAAATCTGACACCCAAAGCAATCTGTTAGAAATGAAGAGATTTAACGAATTTTGCTTAACGTACAACCAGCCGGGCCTATACGCTTCGAACGAGAACATCTCGAACGTCAAGAGCGACCAAAGCCTTTTGAACTCGGCAGAAAGTTGCGACAGCTCCCCTTTGCACAAATTTAATCGGGACTACAAGAAACCATCCAAGAAGTACAAAAGCAAGAAGCATTTTGGCGTCAAAACGTTGCAGAGTATTTTTAGTAGACGTGACGGTTATTCAGATATTTCAAGCACCGCATCCGAGTTGGACGACGTCACCAAGTCGGTCGAAGTGGAGAAGCCAGACGATAACTCGTATACCGAAGAGGTCACCCAGAAGAACGCAACGTCGGAAACTTGTCCGCAGTTCGAAGAAAATTTGCATCACTTCCTCTCGGAGACTTTTTCAAAAAATTTTTCTTCTTTAGACTCCAATTCTAGTATTACAATCAATAAAAGCACAGGTACAAAGAAGTTTTTTAAGCTAAACGGTCAAAATTTACGTATCGGAAAGGCGTTGCGTTTGTGTCCTAATGATGAGTTAGCGGATGAAACGGGTGCAGATACCGATCAAAAGAAGGATAAGTTATTAGCTAGGTATGTTTATAATTCGAATTTAGTTAGCGTCGATGGAATAGGCGATCCAGATTTTGGTACTCCTGTTTAAATTTAAGTTTACTTTACATATTTGACGTTGACCACTTCATTTTTCATGTCGTAACGCTGGCTGTATTCATTAATTGAAATTTGAGATTCGGCATTAAAGAAAAAGACACAGTTTGCGCTTTTCTGCAAAATTCTCCTGGATTACATAGGGTAAGCTTTAAGATACCTATTCATAGTCACAAATGCATTTATTGGTTACCAAAAGACTGACCCGAAGCATGCGAGCTAATGCGTTTTGATGAAGTGTTTGGTTTTCCATTCGTATAATTTTGTGTGTGTATGATATTCACGTTACGAGCTGCTATTTTTTTTAATCCTTCATAAATTAATGAATTGCAATTTTTCCTAGTTAGGAAAACTGCCATCCTCACATCGCTTATTTATAGCCAATTCATTATTAAGTAAAAATGCAACAGAAAAACTTTTTTGTGAATTTATGAATAGCCGGCGTTAATCACTTTTATTCTGTTAGATTTATTTAATTATTATTAATGAGGGTTATTCAGATGTTTTAACTTTTAGTAACGTTGTATAGTGTAGGAACATATTTTGATAATTATCTGTGGGCCTTTGATGCCTTAAATTTGGATGTAAGAATTGGCAAACGTTTCATTGATAGATAGAACATGTAAAACGGCTCAGACGTTTCTATGAGGTTGTAATGTACCTGATGGTATTATGAGGAATGCGTGCCTCAGAATCCTTTCCTTTCTACTTTTGGATTATATTTGTCTGTAGAACAGGGCTTTTTATGAGACAGTTATTTTTTTATTCTATTTACATTTGACTAAATTAGAGGCGTTTGTTTCAAGGGACACGATATACGATAACGCTTCCACAATACAATTTTTGAATCTGTTGAGTGCTTATACACTAAGTTCAGTATAAGAATGCTCAGTATTGCCCCTTGCATCTTAAAGTTAGTTTATTTTACAGTGTAGGAAACTTCAAACGCTTATTTTTTCTTATTTCTCAGATACTCGTGCTGGGCATTCTAATACTGGGCACCCCGCATAAATACGTTCGCTCTGGAGCAATTGCTTAGGTATTTCTCTTTACAGTAAAATTATGTACCTACCTACTTCTAAACTTTTCGTCTCTGCATGATATTGTTAAGAATAAATAAAGAAAAAGTGTATTGATATAGTTGTAGTCCTAATTTATAACGCAGTATTAATTAACAACAAAATATGAAACTGTTATCGTTTTAAACATATCTGTACCTATTTAAAATAAAGTTTGCTGCTGCTGCTGCTACTTCTTGTTTTTGGCGTACTTATACCTTCGTGAGGAGATGATCACCTACTGCTGTTCCCTGGAAAAAATTCCCTGGAAACCGTGTTTCAAGGAGTATGAAGCTACCTTATGAGTAAGTAATTGAATTACAATGGTACCGGCACTAAAGAAGATCACGTTTCCCCACTATTCATATTCTATTAATTGCACCAATTAGTGCACCACGAAGACAGTTGGCTCCTCTTGCAGTGCACCAGTACCTAGATACATTTTCTTTTACAGGTGCCTACTCTTACCATATCCTTTGTCATCAAATTATTATTCATTGCCCAGATTGAAAATAAATAAATAGGAATTATTCAATAAATTAAGTAATCTTATATGAAGAAGCGCAATTCGGAGCAGGAGAAGTGGTTAATTTGATTTTTGGTGTAGGTAATGGGCGACTACATAAGAAAGAGTTGAAACTTCCATTCGTTTAACGAAGTTTGAAATTCTGAACCAAAACTGTACAAAACAAAATGAATTATTTGCAGGTAGCTAGTAATTCGTTACTAAACTACATTTTTTACTATAGTTTTTCTTACTGCAGAGTTTTCCCTTTTTCTCTGAAATTTAACTACAAAACTTCTTGACCTCGTTTCCATTCGCCAGCAAAAAGAACAATACTAAATGACCATACAACTGTACCTATATTGAAAGTAAATTAATTTTCAAATAGGTTTTGCATATCGACACCTTCTATGTAGATATACCCACATGCATTTTGTTAAAAACACGTATATTTTTTGCTATAAACCTTTACAGTAATTTAATTTGAAATGGCCACTTCTTTCTGAATTCTATTTTCTAATTTGAAACAATTATAAAAAATTTGTTTAGGTAGGTAAGTACCTCCTAAACAAATTTTTTATTCGCATTTTCATTAGGCAAATTCGGCAATAAATAAACCCTTGAATTTGGGCAGATTAAAATTACGGAATTAAATTTAAAGTCTTGAACAAAAACGAATCTTGAATCTACACATTACTATTTATATCAGAAATTTAAAATTGGTCTTTAAGATTACTAGTCTAGGCGATAAAGACATCTAACTGGACATTTTGAGGTGGAAAAGAAAAAAATGGTGGAATATGTTCAGTTAGGTGTCAGAAACAACATATTAAAAACCCAACCCCCCAGACCCTGTGCTAAAGGCTCCAGCCACCCACCATCCCCCAAAAACCGTGTTTTCGCTCTTTTTGGCTGATATCTCGCGATCTATGAGGTCTATATGAAATATTTTTAGCTGAAAATATTTCTCGGGAAATTTTATACAAGGTAGATACTCAGAAGTTAGCCTAGGTGTACCTCTTAGCCTAGGAAATTCATAAAAGCGGCGAAAATCATCAATTTTCGTGGCTTTGGGAAAATATATCGCGACCTTTAGGGCTAGATGAAATATTTTTAGCTGAAAATGCTCCTCGTGAAATTTTTTACAAGGTAGATACTCAGAAGTTAGCCTAGGTGTACCTCTTAGCCTAGGAAATTCATAAAAGAGGCGAAAATCATCAATTTTCGTGGCTTTTTGCAAATATATCGCGACCTTTAGGGCTAGATGAAATATTTTTAGCTGAAAATGCTCCTCGTGAAATTTCTTACAAGGTAGATACTCAGAAGTTAGCCTAGGTGTGTACCTCTTGTCTAGAAAATTCATAAAAGGAGGCGAAAATCATCATTTTCGTGTTTTTTTGCGGTTTTTTGCAAATATATCGCGACCTTCAGGGCTAGATGAAATATGTTTAGCTGAAAATGCTCTTCGTGCAATTTCATACGAGATAGGTAACTGAAGAGTTGGCGTAAAGTCACCTTTCACCTTCAACTTTCATGTGTGAGGAAATAGTCATTGTAAAACAAAGTATTTCTATGTACCATTTATTCACGTAAAAACAGTATTTTCATATTAAAATATTCACACATTCATTTATACCTCAACGTAATCATTATCCTCTGCAGATTCCACTTCTTCAGGCTCTTCGACGTCCTCTAGTGCTAGTGGGTCGTCTGAAATTACCGACTCGTAGTTCTCCTCGCCTTCCGCTTTACCTGCATGGGCACCCTGAAACGACGACGTCGCATTTAGGCACGATGTTCCATGACACTGGACGCAGAATTCGTTCTTCAGACCTACAACAAGAAGCATTATGTCAAAAAAATTTTATAATTAAGTATACGAATATAATATTCTCTCGTGTGTCCTAACTCCTAAGTGTCGGGTAGAGAAGGTTTACCTGATTTTCTGAAACAGTTGCAAGAAATCAGGTAAACCTTCTCTACCGGACACTTAGGACACACGAGAGAATATTATAATCGTATACATAATTATAAACATTTTTTTGACATAATATGCTTCTTATTGTTGTAGGTCTGAAGTGTAATGAACTCTGCGTCCAGTGTCATGGAGCATCGTGCCTAAATGCCACGTCGTCTCTTCAGGGTACCCATGCATCAGGTAAAGCGGAAGACGAGAACTACGAGTCGGTAATCTCAGACGACCCATTACCACTAGAGGACGTCGAAGAGCCTGAAGAAGTGGAATCTGCATCTAGTCTATAACTTTTGATTGAGAAGTCTGATCGAAAAAGTACGAATTGATTTGGATTCTACGCACACAAATTAATAAGAAAAAGTGTTTTCCCGAGAAATTTTGGTGTAGTCGATTTTTGGTAAAAAAGGAAGGTTATACACTACCTTTTTTTGAGCCCCGAAAAAAAAATTGTCTCAGATCGACCCGGAAAAAAATTTTCTTATAGAATGTGGCCTGTAGAATCAATAATTTCAAACAGTTCCAAGATTGGGATACTAGTTCAAAAGTTACAGCCCTTTGAATTTTTTTTCAAATTGGTTTCTAGTCTATAACTTTTGATTGAGAAATCTGATCGAAAAAGTACGAATTGATTTGGATTCTATGCACCCAAATTAATAAGAAAAAGTGTTTTCCCGAGAAATTTTGGTGTAGTCGATTTTTGGTAAAAAAGGAAGGTTATACACTGCCTTTTTTTGAGCCCCGAAAAAAAAATTGTCTCAGATCGACCCGGGAAAAAATTTTTCTTATAGAATGTGGCCTGTAGAATCCATAATTTCAAACAGTTCCAAGATTGGGCTACTAGTTCAAAAGTTCCAGCCCTTTGAATTTTTTTTCGAAATTGGTTTCTAGTCTATAACTTTTGATTGAGAAGTCTGATCGAAAAAGTACGAATTGATTTGGATTCTACGCACCCAAATTAATAAGGAAAAGTGTTTTCCCGAGAAATTTTGGTGCAGTCGATTTTTGGTAAAAAAGGAAGGTTACACATCGCCTTTTTTTGAGGCTCGAAGAAAAAATTGTCTCAGATCGACCCGGAAAAAATTTTCTTATAGAATGTGGCCTGTAGAATCCATAATTTCAAACAGTTCCAAGATTGGGCTACTAGTTCAAAGGCTACAGCCCTTTGAATTTTTTTTCAAAATTGGTTTCTAGTCTATAACTTTTGATTGAGAAGTCTGATCGAAAAAGTACGAATTGTTTTGGATTCTACGCACCAAATTTAATAAGAAAAAGTGTTTTTCCGAGAAATTTTGGTGCAGTCGATTTTTGGTAAAAAAGGAAGGTTATACACTGCCTTTTTTTGAGCCCCGAAAAAAAAATTGTCTCAGATCGACCAGGAAAAAAATTTTCTTATAGAATGTGGCCTGTAGAATCCATAATTTCAAACAGTTCCAAGATTGGGCTACTAGTACAAAAGTTACAGCCCTTTGAATTTTTTTTCAAATTGGTTTCTAGTCTATAACTTTTGATTAAGAAGTCTGATCGAAAAAGTACGAATTGATTTGGATAAGTATAAGGATAATGATTACGTTGAGGTATAAATGAATGTGTGAATATTTTAATATGAAAATACTGTTTTTACGTGAATAAATGGTACCTACATAGAAATACTTTGTTTTACAATGAATATTTCCTCACACATGAAAGTTGAAGGTGACTACGCCAACTCTTCAGTTACCTATCTCGTATGAAATTGCACGAAGAGCATTTTCAGCTAAACATATTTCATCTAGCCCTGACGGTCGCGATATTTTTGCAAAAAACCGCAAAAAAAACACGAAAATGATGATTTTCGCCTCCTTTTATGAATTTTCTAGGCTAAGAGGTACCACCTAGGCTAACTTCTGAGTATCTACCTTGTATGAAATTTCCCGAAAAATATTTTCAGCTAAAAATATTTCATATAGACCTCATAGATCGCGAGATATCAGCGAAAAAGAGCGAAAACACGGTTTTTGGGGGATGGTGGGGTGGCTGGAGCCTTTAGCACAGGGTCTGGAGGGTGGGATTTTTAATATGTTGTTTTTGACACCTAACTGAACATATTCCACCATTTTTTTCTTTTCCACCTCAAAATGTCCAGTTTGCCAATTTTACAGTCTCTATCGCCTAGACTATACCTATATCACTTGAAAGATTTTACGTAAAATTTTGTAGGAATTATTTTGACCTTAGTTCTTAAATGCTTAGAGAAGGAAAGAGTAGTCTAAGCTTAAAGGTATTCAATTTTTATTTTGACATTTTAAACAGAAACAAATAGAAGTAGGTAACTTTCGGGCTTCGACTACAACTGGATAATGTAATTGAGAAGCTATCAAATGTTTTCTTTTAGGAAAAATGCATTTGGAAATCCGCCGATAATGGTAATGGTAATGGTTATTATTATTTCAAAGGGAATTTTTTCTTGATTACAATGGGCTCAATTTATGTGCTTATTTTTGCTTGTAAATGGCAAATTTTCTTCGAAGGCATTTGAGCTGGGTACGTAACTACGTTTACTGAACTTTGATTATGTTTAGTATCAGTGGAGAAAATCCTCAGTAAGCACATGAATAAAAAGATTAATTCAAAGACGTCCTTTACAATGAAACTGATTGAACTTAGTTTATTGTTCAAAATATCGACTGATTTAGTTACAATTTCGCCACTTGTTACGGTATGATGAAATCTCGCGAGATTTATTTATGGAGTAAAGATTGCAACGCAGAGTTTTCTTTAGCAGTAGGTAATGATGAGGTTTGGTCAGCACATTTATTTCCGTATTAGAAGAAAATCTTCCCTTAAACAATTTTAAGTTTGCTGTTCGGTTTATCACATAATATCAATATCAATACTTATCCGGTTAATTACTCAATGGAAAAATCTACACAGCGATATTCTTCCCGAACTACTTTTGTTCGTTCGGGAACAAGAGATGTAATTTAAAATATTTCACACCGAAAAATCTAAATTCCCTTTTACTTAAAATCTTTTAATCTTTTTCGTTCGCTGAGAGATTTCATCCATCTATTAATTCAACTCTGATTACTGAGTAAATCTTTCACAGCCACAAATGGCAAATCAGCTGCCGAAGTCTAAATTTTCTTCCTACCAATCTCGAACGGCTGTTTAAGATCCCTCTAAATTCAAAACCTGCGAATTCCACGTTGACTTTATTCCATGATGAGCACTAATGTAATACTAATATCTATAATTAAAAAGGACGTAATTTGACCCAACACGCAGATTTCGGGGTGCTTATAAACCTTCGGGGGCTATCTACAGAACAAAAAAACTCATTGAAAACAAACTACGTAAAAAGACGTAAACGTTCCTCCCCTTATACAATCAACATTACGTTGTATCACGAACACTATTTGTTTGGAAGATAATATCAACTATGAATAACTTTCTACAACCAAAAAAAGTTTCACATTAGGTACGTATTTTTTGCGAACTTGAAACATTAAATTTAAAATAAAAGCTTCCGTCACAATGGTCCGGTCCGAAGTAAACTCTAGAGACACAGGGAGAGAGCACAACGAATATTTTCATCTTTCGTTGATGTCTGTAGGTAAGCAAATGCAGTGATAGGGCTTGTGTATTAGCTTTTTGGAAATTGCATTATCATACCGTGACATGGTTGCCGATTTACTTGTTGCAACGTTAATTTCATTCGTAGGCAACGTATCTAGTAAGGTACTGCAATATCCTGGACGTTGTTTACGTCACATTACACCTGCGGTGGCCGGTGACGTACCTTCCAGGGGAAGTTTTCCTCTGGGCTATAGTGTCGCCTAATACCGTTATAAGAAGTTCTCTTACAATGCCCGACTTACTGGTTTATGGAACCTTCCTCCTTGAAAAAACTGAATTGTAATTTTCTTAGGGCAGCCCACGGTCCGAATTTTCGTGTATGCGTCTTTCTGTGAACGATTCACTATACAATACCTTACTTGCACAAACTGCAATTTGAGGGAGGACATATTACCTACAGGCAAAGTCGGAACTTGCGAAGCTTAAATTACACGTTGAAGTATCGATTCTTAGCACGTTTTTGAAAAAAAAAATACGCTAATTCATTATGGCTATTTGTCTGGCTGGCTGGCTGCCCGGCTGAGATCTTTGCAATTACAATAGCTTGCTACTTCAAATTTTCACTAAAAGCTTTCTTCTATAGTGTAGAGGTGCAGACTCTACACTCTAGTCTGTTTTGAGTTAGATTACTCGCAAGATCGATGATTTTAAACTTTGCTACTAAAATACTGAGTCCTCAAGACAAAAGGTCTCGGCACCGAAGTCACACCTATGTCCATTTTAAGATTAACTTACTCAAAAACGATCTTAAAATCATCAATCGATTAACTTTTGAACTATTGTAATTGGTAACCGCTCAGTTTTTATAATGGACCATTTATTTACCTACACCAAGTTTGTTTTTTTACGAAATGGTATAGCAATTATCCACTTAGACTTACGTAAGCATTATAAGGCATTATTATTAAGGAATCCTGAGCGGGATTCAACACCTTGTCTTTGTGGCAGTAGGTAATTTCCAACAGATTGGATCATTTTAATGCAAGAAATAAGCGCGATAAACTTTTATTACCCCGCAAGAGTGTACAATTTTCCCTTTTTAGATTAACACCAGACTGCAACCTAGTTTCTTTCGAGAGAAAATAATGTCAAACAAGAATGCTATTTTCATTTCACTGTAGCTTAAGATCTCACTTTTTTTTATTCGCAAGTACCTAAGGGAATTTGCATTAATCTATCATGACTATTGTTTGCTATTCAAATGTCATATTAATGATTAATCTAATTCATTACCATAATTTATGAGGTTCTCTGTTAAGATAAGTATCGTTGACTACTTTAATGTGATGTTAATTGAGGATATAAAAAAGTTTATGTTAGCTTCACATTTTCCTAACCGTTTCAATCAAATGCTATAATTTAATTAAAGAAATAGTGAGAAAATGATTGCTTTGTGCTTGGATTTTAGTCCTTTTCAAGACAGGTTTATTCCAAAGCCCTGAAGTCATGAAAGAGAATGTTAAAGTCAAATTCATCCAATCCGCAAAAAGACCGATAAACTTAAAGCTTTACATATCCAACCCAACAATCCCAGCCCCTTTGAATTGAATTGAAATCTTATTTAGACAAAAACAAAATACGATCTAGTTAGAGAGCGTTAATCTTGACCCTGCAATTGCATCTTGTAGGTACCTACCACTAAAGCAAATGACGTTATCAATTTCGGTACTTAATGCATTTACTTATACAAGTGTTTAAACACGCGGAAAAAATAAAGAGGGAATTCCTTGGTGTATTCTAAGTATATTTATAATAATTTATGTCTTTAAAATGGCTACCTCCAGTTCAAATGCAACCATCAAATATTATCCTCATCAACCCCCGGACTCTTTCAAAAAGACCACCAGGATAAAGGATAAAATATCCTTCGAATAGTACAATGAATAAACCTCTTTAATTTTTTCCGCTTGTTTAACAAACACCCTGTATTACGATAATGTGGTAAATTCGTTGAATTGCAGTCCGCTAACGCATAAATTGCAACTAATGGCAGGGCATTTACTTTTTTTCTTTAACTTCGATCGCGTTTCCTTGGGTTGCGTCTCAAAACGAACTAAGGAATTGAAGTCGTATGAAATGGAATTGGGAAATAAAATGCGAATTCAATTTGTTTTAATTCCAAAAAATCAGGTTCATATAAAAGGCAAAAGATGTGTCGAAAACCATGCAATTTCAAGCTTGCGAGCTTTCAAAGCTTTGGGGATCTAAACATTTGCATCTCAGACCATCAACATTTGCACGCATGTGCAACAGGGATTTTCACCTATCCGAGAGCGACCAGACCACCGAATGGGGGAGGGAGGGGGGAGGAGTGTCACTTCTTTTTGATGCTGTAGCTTTGGTTATCACAAACTATTGACTTGGGGATATTATTTAGCAGAATAAGACTTTTTATTAATATCTACTTAGATACAGTCCTGAGGATGATTTCTTCCAATGAAAACTAATCAATGCTGGTGTATAGGCAATGCCGTAATTGCTTTTTGTTTAATGGTTTTCCTTTAATACTATAAACATAAAATTGGCACGTTGTACATATATCACCCAGACAGGTACCTATCCATCGATTATCCATCAATAAACTTTCTACAAGTTCAATGTGAACAGTTGCCGTAGACAGTTTCATTTTCAACTGCACGGATAATTAGATTCCCTATAAAATTACTATCAATTTTCAACGCAAACAATCAATGCACACACATTTTTAATTATCTATGTTTAGACCATTATAATTTATAAAAGCAATTTTAAATAGAGAAACTTACATTTCTAAGCCAAGATAAATTGTACCGTCGTTTGTTAAGACTACCAAATGTTACAATTAGTATAGAGGAAAAAATTTCTTTCGTATGGGGAGGGATGTCTAGAAGATCTTATAAATGATTTCATTTATATCGAGACATCAGTTGGTGAAAGTACTCGAAAGTACGTTTAATTGCTTTTAGTGTATTACATCTCTGGATAAATAATGCACATTAAGGTAGGATTAATGTGGTAATACGAGATGAATGTTTTTTAAGTGCGCATTTTTAGGTTTTAACGGTGCTTATGACAGTCGTAATTGTTAGAAGCAATCCGATAGAGCACAAACAGGAGAAGGCTCAACCAGAGGAAGATAATGTAAGTACATTTTCGTTCCTATTTCGGTTTTGGCACTGATAAACTTGAGCCTTTGTTTTTCTTACTTGTAGATAATGATTTTTTTGCATTTACAAAGTATTATTTCGAAGTTTCTCTGAGGTGTCTTCACGTTCGACACTTGTTGCTGGACGAAGAATGGTTTTGGTCATAGTAGGTATATTGAAGTGGCGAGTATGCAATATTATGAGAATTGCAGTTCGTTTGTTTATAGATTCATAACCATACCTTGAGACCTTTTCAAAATGTCACAGGGAATTGGTAATCTGCTTTTTGTGATATAAATTCATATATATTGCCACCCTTTTTAGAAGAAACACAGCCAGAGTAGGTATTCCTACTTGCTCTTTTTAATTTTTTTTAAAAATCTGTCTATTAAAGGCGCCCAGTGTGAATGCTTGTTATCTACACCAATTTTAAATCAGTATGGAAGAATGCCGTATCTCATTGACAATTTCTTTTCCTAATATCCGCTTATCAGACACTTTTGGGAACTCTAAAATTTGTCAAAGAATATGTCACTTTTATTTAGGTAATGTCAAGGCTTATTTTAATATCCAGGGCTGCATCCCAAGTGCTTCTGTATATCCAACCCTTGGTCGCTAGAAGCACTTCCTCTTACCGATTTGTAAAAAGCTTTATGTTGTTTTCGCTCTCACACCATACCATTGAATTCGCTCGAATTTAATTTCGACATGATTGCACTATTGACAAAACAACCAAGGATTCCTCTATTTCTTTAAATAAAAGATTCCCAGGAGGAATTGTTCTGTGTCTGGGGTAAAATCCGATTTTATAGATCATTTACAACTATCTTCAGTGTGCTTTTCCACCAAATGTGAGATCTGGACAAATATGTTCGTTAATGTTACGAATCTTATAAACGAAAGTGAAAGGTACCATAAAAAATAAGTGTCACTTTTATCACAGATTTATGAAATTTCACTAATTTACATAAGTATATGAACTAATTACTTACTTTGTACCTTTTAATACTTTCGACAAAACAATATGATGTTTATTCGAAAGTTTACAAAAACATTTTTTAGAAGAAAAGATATCAGTAAGTAGAGTAGGTACAGTTAATGAGTAACATTTATCTCATTTTGAAAGGGAGAGGATTTTTGTTAATTTTTCCACATAATAAATTAAGTACACAGTTCTGCTTACTTTGAAAATTCAGATCACTTGTGCCGACCACAATAAATATATCAAATGAGTTATTTACTAGTGTACGTCTCTATTGCAGAAAACTAATGACTACAGCTTTAGTTACGGTGTGAAAGACATGCACACTGGTGATGTCAAGGATCAATGGGAGAAGAAAGAAGGAGGTGTTGTTAAAGGTCAGTACTCGATGATGGAAGCAGATGGTTCTATAAGAACGGTAGACTACGTTGCGGATAAGGAGCACGGTTTCCACGCATACGTGAAATTTAATGGTAACCAACATCCGCTCTCATCCAGTCACCAACTGGTTCACATGGAAGCAGAAAAACTACCAAAGAAGATAATTAAATCACCCAAGCCATCCCATGAATACTTGTACAAACCGAGCGAATCACGACCGCAACCCGCAATCGTTAACATCAAGCAAGTAAAAAAGGCACCGTCAACGACCAAAAAACCCGACAGCATTAAAAACGAGGTCAACCCTAACCTGCAGTTTCCCCTAGATTTGTCTTTTCTCGAGACCAATAACAAAGTAATTCCTCTACAAGTCAGCAAACTCAACCCAGTTGAAATTAAAGTTAGCGACGGATTAACCACGCAACAACAGCACAAAATACGAAAACCGACCGAGAACCGATTCAACCAACAGTTTGTCGAAACCGATTTTCAACCAATAGTCTCAAATTTGACCTACAAAACGAATAAGAAACCGCTCGTCACTCCGGGTTTGAGAAACTACGCGTCACCTTCACATCTGAAAACTGCACTTCAACAGGAAATTCAGAGCGTACCATCAGGTCTTAATGTTTACAAGCACTTTCCTGACAATAATAGACCCAGCTTTTACATGCAACCACCACGTCAGACGAAGAACACTCCTACGCTTATAAAAATGAAATACCATTAGATGTTAGACATGTTTTGTTTTATTTATTATTGTTTTTGTTATTTTGTTGTAAGTTGTTTTAAATTGTTTGTTGAGGCACCTACTTTCAATTCGAGGGAGATCGCGGCATTACTGAGGAATTATTGCAAATGTAATTAAAGCTGTCGATTTATTGTGTGACAGTGTTTCGCCAGTGCGAGTGGCATGGCTATCTGACCTATTTTCAATGAACAGCTTTCTAAATCTTTGTGATAAGCTACGACAACTCATCTATAAAGAAGAAATTGATGTAGGCTCATCTTGATTTTTATTTCACGTGGAATAAAAAGAAATCCTTAATTAATTTGAATTGGTTTAGGTGATGAGCAAACAACTTTTTAGAAATTTGTCTAATGATGGGTATTTAATATAAATTAAATGTTAACAGTGTGCATAGGCGAGTAATATGAGTTTCGCATGTGGAAAGGAAACTAATGAGAATTTCAAAACTAACCAAAATTGGAAGTAGATACCAGTCATACACTTTAACAATAATGAACGTTTTTTAGGTATATTTTAGCAAGTTGATTCTATATTACTTCGCTCATTGCTTCAGGTATAACTAACGCTCTCTATGAAGTATACAGTTGAATTCTCACAGTCTAAAAGAAGGAAATATAATATTCTTCAAAGCGATATTGCTCATCTTGTCCTGTCGACGAATTAGTAATGGAACATTTAGGAAATATTTACGGTAGTGTAAAAATTGCGTAGGTAATTAGATTGATCATCAGTAGAACAACGGCAAAATTTTGCGGCAAGGGTTGCTATCAGAGCCCATAATGCTTGTTCTTGAAACACTTGAAATAACATAAATATACACAACTCTTTTGATTTGGGTTTCTTTGATATATGAATTTGAGGCTTTGGATTTCATAAAATGGCTTTAATTGACTCGTAAAGGATTGGAATTCACATTTTAGTTGGCAATTATAGCCATTTTAAAGATTTCAACTCATACCTAAACCTAGTTTTCAAAAATTAAATATTAAAAAACAACCACTGTCTTAAATTCAGGTGGTAGCAACTATACGAGTATTAAACGACGAAGAAACTTAACAAAGATAAGTAGTTTCTTTCGGACCCCAAATTGGAGGTGTTCGAGCGTGTTCCAAAAATTTGTATTGTGCATTGCGTTCCAGTTTTGTTTAATCTGATTTAACTTCCAATAGGGCCGATTAGGTACATTCTTCTCAAATTTAAGGTACTATTTTGTTTCTTCATCACGAATCTATTTGGTTCATGCTAATTTTAGTGATTTTGTGACTGTAATATAGCGTACTCTGCAGGATGTTTTTAATTATTCCAAATTTGGACGCAACCTATAATTTTTTTTTTATATATAATTTTTATTAGCAATCAGAATTGACATTCTATGGGCTAATATGATAACATGGGACCTTAAAGCTAGACAGTCCTGGATGGCGGGATGGGAACTCTTCCAGCGAGGAGTTCACCTACTTCTTATTTGAGATCAATTGGCCAACGTCGTTGTAGTCTTCTGGAGTCGTGTTGTAGTAAAAGTGGTTGCGTTAGTGGGTTGGCATGTGCTTCTAGCCGGGTATGATGACTTGCACTACGCTCTTGTATGATAGTCGAAACGAAAGGGATAAAGAGATCGTCGTGTAACATTTTGTTGGTTACGTACCAAGGTGCGTCAGTAATAGCTCGAAGAATTTTGGACTGAGAGCGTTGAATAATTGCAGTATTTGATTTGCTGGCACATCCCCATAACTCAATACCATAAGTCCAAATAGGTCTTATTATTGTCTTGTAAACCAAGATTTTGTTTTCTAGGGACAATCGGGATTTTCTTCCTATCAACCAGTTTAGATCATTTAGTCGTAGGTCGATTTGTTTTTTCTTTTTTAAGATGTGTATCTTCCAGGTAAGTTTTTCGTCGAGGTGTAGACCTAGGTAACGTGCTGATGGAGATACAGGTATAATTGAATTGTTGACAGTAACTGGTGGACAGCGGCCCTTTTTAAGTGTAAATGTGACCTGAGTTGACTTACTTTCATTAATTTTGATGTTCCATTTGTTAGTCCAATCTTGTATAAGGTTTAGCTGACTTTGCACATAAGAAGATGCTATTGTTGGATCTTCATGACTTGCAAGAATGATTGTGTCATCCGCGAAAGTACCGATTGTAGTATTGGGTGTAGTAGGTATATCAGATGTGTGTAGTAGATAAAGCAATGGGCCCAACACACTGCCCTGCGGTACCCCAGCCTGGATTGGATAAGTGTGCAATATTTTTTGTCTTCCAGGGATGTGTCTATTGTTTGTACGACGCGATGGCACTGTTGAACTGTCGAATGAGATTGTCGAAATCCAAACTGATGATCTGGGATAACATTTAGGAGGGGACTAATTCGATGGAGTATGAGTTTTTCTAGGAGCTTGGAGATAGTAGATAACAGACTTATTGGTCTGTAGGAGGAGACTTGATGTGGATTTTTACCAGGTTTGGCTATTAGAATTACTTCAGCAGCATTAAGCTGAAGGGGCCAATAGTGCAAACGGAGGATTCCATTAAATATATATGTTAGGAGTACAATTCCTTTTCTAGGGATTTCTTTTAGCATTTTGGGTGTGATGTGATCAGGCCCAGGTGATTTTCTGTTATTTAGAAGAGCGATTGCTTTTTTTTATTTCGTGGGGAGTTATTAGTTTTATGTGACCGGTATCTTCCACAAGACTTTGTAAATTGGCAATCATTTCTTGTGTTGGTACAGCATCTTCAAGGCTAAATACTTCAGCCAGGTGTTGTGCAAACAGATCGGCCTTGTCCTTACTACTTCTAGCCCAGTCACCAGGAATGGGGGTATCTTTTCGGAATAAATACGGATTTTGAAAAAATATAAATACCTATTTGTAAAAAATAAACGCCACAACATAACAATTTATTTCATATGCAATAAAGTGAAGAACTTAAAATTGAATTATCACAATATAAGCACTTCTTTCAGGCAATTGATTATTCTTATATACCTATTCAGAATAAAGAGTACCCCTATAAATTTAAAGATGCACATGGTCATGGTGGTTCTTTAGTTGATAAAGTTGACATTGCCAAAGCGTTTAATGCGTTCTTCATTGAATCAATACATGACCTCACAGGCGCTAGTTCGGACAATCAATCTAAACCTAGGTTGTCCACCAATCCTAATTCTTTGCTTCTGTTTCCAACTGACCACGTTGAAATCCGTGCTATCATTCAAAATTTACAGGGCAAACACACGGCTGGATTCGACGAAATCCCATGCTCATTATTGTATGTAATCAAGGAGGATACATAAAAAAGGTCGAACTGATATGCTCAATAACTATAGTTTCAGTTTTCTCAAAAATTTTCGAGAAAGTGTACTATACGAGGCTTCTTAGTTTTATTAACGCTTGTAAGATACTGTCTCCAAACCAATTTGGATTTCGCAAAAACCTTTCAACTGTACATGCGGTATTGAATGTGTTCTCTTATATTTTAGAGCACACGGATCGCAATGAATCAGTAGTTGGTATTTTTTACGATTTCACCCGTGCTTTCGAGACCGTCAATCATAAATTGCTACTAAACAAACTGTATGAATACGGTGTTAGAGGTATAGCTGCCGACTGGCTAAGCTCATACCTGGTAGGAAGAACTCAGGAAGTGAAAATGGTTTGGCAAGGAGGAGGGGTTAAGTCGGACAAAAAAGTGGTGTCACATGGTGTTCCTCAGGGCAGTACGCTGGGACCCCTTCTATTCATTATTTTTATTAATGATATATTTAATAATAATAATAAAAGTTTTTTAACGTTATTTGCTGATGATACGTCTAGTATAATCACCGGTAATGAGCCAGACACCCTGTGTAGCCGTGCCAACGAGAGTGTCATGGAAATCAGCAGGTATTGTGCAGATAATGGGGTTTTCTTGAACTCGTATAAAACTCAAGCGATTCAATTCTCAAAAAGTGGTCTTAATAGCAGTCTCCTATGAGTCCTAATTAGACTAAATAATCATACTATAAGGCAAAGCGATAGTATAATATTTCTTGGACTCCACTTGGACAACAATTTCTCTTGGAATACCCAAATAAACATAGTTATTAAGAGGTTAGCTACTCATTGTTACCTAATTCGACAACTATACGATGTAGTTCACTGTGACTGTCTGACTTCTTACTACTATGCTCATGTCCAGTCTACTCTCAATTACGGTATTATTTGTTGGGGTACCAGTTGCAGAATGAACGAGGTAATGATTAGCCAGAAGAGAATTTTAAGAGCCATGCATGGTAAACCACCACGGTATTCATGTAGGGAACTCTTTGTACAATCTAATATACTTACAGCTGTATCTTTATTTATTCTTAATAATCTTGTATTCATACATAGTAAGAAAGATCTACATCAACCCGACTCGGTAGTTAATAATGTTAATCTAAGAAACAAGCGGAATTTGAGAATACCCAAGCTCAACCATGCTTATATTGCCAACCATTTTCCCGCCATTGCCATTAAACTTTGGAACAAACTACCGGAAAACGTAAAATGTATCCATAATCCATCTAGGTTTAAACAAACTATAAAAAAACATGTTGGTAAAGATGTGCATTTATAGGTTAGACGAATACTTGAACAGTAAAATTGTTGCAGATATGTAATGTAACGTGTAGGTAGTGTATTTTTATTTATTTTTTACTTATTTATAATTTATACTTAATTATATAATTTGTAATTTATAATTTTGACGTTCCAATGCTTGTATACAAGTCTCATGGAATAAACGGTACTATTATCATTATTATTATTATTATCATTTTTATGCTGCACATTAACAACGGGATGCAAGCATGAAGCAACGGCCAAAACTATTAAGCACTTATCCAGGAAGACGAAAGTCAATAGAAAAGTAATGGCGTACCAAGAGGAATAATTTGCAACCAACCAATATTGAGGAAAAATCTTTACTGGAAAGGAAGAAGTACAGCGAACGCGTAAGCAGAAAGAAAAGAAGGGACGCGATTAGGAATACCATTGAAAACATCTGCACGATCCCGGATGGCGAAGCAAAGAACTATTGTAATAAAACATCTATCACACTTAGATGGCCTACAGTGGCAAAAATAAAGAACTAAGATAATAACAAATTTACTACAGGAATAACTTACCTTTTTAAAGGGGCTTATCGGGATTATGAAAATTTACTTCGAATTTAAATAAAACGTAAGAGACTTTTGTTTGATAAAATGTATGGCTAACTAGATATCTTGTAAAAACAATTTTTTTATTTCTCCTTGTGTGTCTATAACTTATAGACTTTAGAAAAAATTTAGTATAGTTCAAGTTAAAAGAAAAAGTGGTAAAAATAATCGTATGTAATTTTATTATTATTATGCGACATTCATGTATCAATGTTGTTTCCATGGCCTACTACTTGAATGATTCAAGAAACAAAAAGGGCTGTGCATGGATAAAAATTGCATCGATAGGTGGAGCATTCTACGAAACCGCTTTAGATGTTACGGGGGTTCTCCAACAAGTAATAATAGCGTGCAAAATAGTCCTTCGTAATGGAGAAAAAACACGTTCTACAGAATTATATTAGATAATAATAATAATAATATAATAAATCGTTTATTGGGTTTAACATGGAATACATCATCAGGTACATGATCATTACAATTTCTTAGTCCTTCCAGTTTTCCCCAAGGGGTTAAGATTCAGATTGGTCAAAAATATTAACCATCTGGTCTACCACTCAGCCCCAATACGCCATAGAGAGGTATACTTCAGTCGTGGAAATCTACCTACATCCATTAAATTGTGAAAAGGAGAGAAAGTTATAAGTCAATGATTTCAATTGAGTAAGATGGTACAAATGTACATTAATTATAGGTATTACACTTCACCAGAATAAAGCTTATTTTTAATTAAGGTTTTGAACTGTGCTAGCGACATAGATGAAAAGTTAATTTTTAGTTTGTTTAGATAAAAAGCTATTAAATAAGAGAAGGACCTTTTATATAACTGAAGATTGTGCTTAGGGATTGTAATAAGTAAATCCTTTCTTCGTATATTAATATTATNGGTGCTGTTAAGGTTTTTGCGTTTCGGTTGTATACGAGTGGGTTGTTTCTGAGAAGAAGGAGTATTGTGTTTTTTAACTGTGCTAGGGCGTGTAACTTTATCGGATGGACCTGTCTTTGTAGTACATGTTGCGTTACTTGTGTTTATGGTGTTTCTTTGTTTTATTATTATTATTATTATTATTATTATTATTATTCCAGGGTAGGCAGTTTAGTACACTATATTTCGTGGGCGATTATATTTAGGGTGACTATGTCTGAGGCGAATATTAGGGAGTGGATTTTCGCAGAGGTTCTCTAGCAGCGAATTTCGAGGATGTTATTTCGTGAGCGCATATTTCGAGGTGAATTTTCTGGAGACGATATTCAGTTGGGAGAACTTATCGGATTGAATTTTCTTTAATAGTGAACTTCTATCACTATTGCTGACATTTGAATAAATGCTTGAGGGCTTAACACTCAATTCAAACAAAATTGGTACAATAGTTCCCAAGAGTAAGTATTCAAATTAATTGAAAGGAGGCCAATATGATCAGGACCAAACATTTCTAAACAGCTTTTCTGACCTTTCGTACCTAAAACTGATTCAAATTCCAATGCAGACTAGAATACTAAATACAGTTACTGTGTTGCGTTGTATCTATACTCGAAAATTTCATCTGTTTAAATATTGTGTATGGGTTTCGCTTCTAACTGGTCATTAACATTTCTTGTAACACTAACTTATAATACTTCGCCACTTCTCACGTCATATTTGACTATATGAACAATTTAAATGCAATATTTCATTTGTATAATCCAAAACTATCCTCAAAATATCAAATTCTAACGTTACAAAGAAAGGAAGTAAATCTAAAACGTCTACGTTCCTTTTTTGATAATATGGTCCATATGAGTGAGAATAAAACAAATAAGTATAGATAAAATATACACATTTATTTTATAAAAATAAATATTATACAATTGCACTGATATTTCAGGTATATAGATGCAAAAAAATAATAAAGAAGACATTAGAAGGTAGAGAGAGTGAAGTGATGAGGTATATACATAACAATATGAGCAGTCGAGTAATGGAGATCGTTACGAATTACTTAATAATGACCGTATGCGCCGTGTCCAGCGTATCCTAAACCGGCATGTCCATATGCGATTGCTGGAGCTGCAGCAATGATCGCTTTGGCGGGGGCGACTGCGACGGTTTGTGGGTGGACGGCGTGTCCAGATCTGGATACTACGGCGTTGAAACCGTTATGGTCATCGGCGGTGTAGTGGACAGTACGGATGGTACCGTCGGATTCGTGGAGTGAGTAAGATCCCTTAACAACATCTCCATCACGTACTTCGTGTTGGCTTTTTTGGTCCCCGGTATGGGCATCAGCTACTCCGTAGTTGAATTCATATTTGGGATGTGCCTAGGGAGCAAAAATTGTAGAATTAGGGGTTGTTTAGGGGCAACATACGTAGTAGTCAACGGCGGGGGCTGCATGTGCGGCAACTGCAATTGGGGCTGCGTGTGCGGCGACTGCAATAGGGGCTGCGTGTGAGTACGCAATGGGTGCGGCGGCGTATCCGTGACCCCCGATGAGTCCGGCGCTAGCGTACGCCACAAGGGCGGAAAAGGCTACGATCTGTAAACAAAGCGCACTTGTACCAAACACGTAATTGCACTACTACCCAAAAGCACACCTGTGAGTACATGATGAACTGTTAAACTGCACACTACGAAACGATACTGACTTTGGGGATTGAAATCTCAGCTTTTATACTTAACCCAAGCTACGAAACGTTCACCGTAATTAATAAAAAACAACCTTAATGTAGTGCTATTATGTATACAAAGCGTAATTTGAAAGTGTATTACGACAAGCGCGTGTCAATGTGGAGCAAGTACAAGTTCTTTGTAATGCAATTAACTCCAAAACCACCTACGGTTCATTTTTGACAACATAGACCGAAATCGAAAAAATATCTCCGATGTCGCCGTAGACAAAACTTCGTTTTCACTCAATTTCGTAACTTAGAACGCTTCACTAATTTTATACACTACAATATATTCATATACGATTTCACGTGTGTAGGTACAGGAATGTCTTTCTTTTTCACATTTTGTTCGGCATAATTGCCGATTTGATTATCGAAATATATTTTAAACAGAAACTTACGTAACTACCATTGTTATTCTATATCTAGGACGTAGGTAATGTAAGACCATGCAGTATCACATGCTACTACTGTATTTCTCAGTTTCATCAGAAAACTTCCGGTTACCGTTTTGTAATTAATTATTATTTTCCAAAAAGAAGAACGCGTGTAAAAACCGCAATTATTCATGCACATATTAAACGTGTCAATTATGCATACGTTTCTTTACGTTGTTAAGATCGAGTATGATTAATTGCGATTTAATTGCTTATAAATTAAAGCGATCTTGTATTGTAAAAATCAGCTTTAGAATAACAGCAGAACCGTCTGGTCGATTTGCTATACTTTATTCACGATTTTGAAATCACCGCAACATATATCGTATGACAGGTACTTACATAGGTACCAATTTTTTACATACATTGTAAGCGAGCGGTTACGCAATTACCGTAGGGATTTGACAGCGACCTTTTTATGCACATTTTAGAGAAATCTCTGACTACTACACTTTGCAAAATGCAATAACATATTAGTGTTTGGACCTTGGTTGTGCATCTTTCGAAATGGGAAATCGGTGAAACTCATCAAGACTCGGCTTTTGTTTAACTATGAATAGTAATTAGCTTATTGCGTTGGTTTTCGCGGACGCTCAAAAGTAAACATACCTTAACAATAGCAGTTGCACCTTTTTTTAAAAATTTTTATTCGTCTTTCTGTTCTACTTCCGCTTTCAAATGATAATTGTTTCACACAAAGTTGCTGTGATAAAGCTTTGTGGTAGGAAAGCATAAGTTTTCCATAATATTTCCACTTGTTGACTTGCAGTAGCTCAAACATAGAACATGAGTAACGCTTATGGTTCTAATTGCAGCAGAACATATACCTACTGATCTGGTGCTCCAATTAGATATTTATTGCTTCTTGCTTTTCCAAATTACACCCTGTTCTGGCTTGACAAAAGTCTATACCAAAACATTCATTTTTCAATCGATCTGAAACACTCTATGAATGTTACAGGCGAGACTACGCAGTCTTTGCTCTATTTTGTGGTAGTTTAAATACACTGTCCCTCTTGGGTAGGGTAATGTTTCTCACTTCTGGCAGCTATGGACAGGCTATACCACCAACATTTCATGCTCTTCTGCAACACATAAGACGAGCATATTTACAAGCGGGATGGATTTGGGGTCAGAGATTGACACCAAACCCGAATATCCCAGCGTTGAGGATTGGGGATGGAAGAAACATTAGGAGTACGACCACGGACCAAGGAAACGTCAGAATCCGTAAAGGAGTGTTCCTGCCGAAGTTGCAGTTGCGATTTTCATTAAAATAAATGTAATACAATTTTCTTTGGACGTACACCAATAAATTTCAGCTCCTGTGCTTCGGAAGGCACGTTAAGTTGTTCCGATCAACATATGCGAAGGTTTTTATACTAGTTTGTGAGTCTGCTTGTTACTCATTCACGGGAAAACGTTTGAACAGACTGGAATGAAAAGTAAACTCCTCAGTCCTACGGTTTTTGTAGAAAATTAAGAAAAAAAACCAAAATGAGGGAGATAAAAGAGGATTGGGTGGGGAGAAGTATTCATTTCTCGACTTGTTTCCATTTCCATATCGTCATTGAAGCACGTAGGTATATGAACGCGACATGCATTCTAAGTTTCATCCTTGCTTCCGAATGGGACCATATTTTATGTTAAAGATTATTATGTTGAGATTTCGAATTAAAATTAGTTGGAATTAGGTTATTTTTCTCTTTTAATAAAACTACCGATATACCATTTCAATTTCGAAATTTTGGATCACTTTTGGTCTGGTAAGAAGTTGATAGGAAAATTTCGAGAATTCGATCCGTTTTTACTCATAATACCTCCCACCACTCGATTCTATTCTTCGGAAATTTGTTTTTATAGTCCTTATGTACAAAATACACACATAAGTTTTCTTACATTACTAAATTCACAATAACGGGATTGGAAGCCTTTTGTATCCATGCATACGCCATGAAACCATGAGAGACTGAAATCCAATATATTTTGAAGCTAGTGGTTATCCTATAAGTCAGTGTCTTGAGGTTCAGCAAAACCATTGTGGTTATAATAACACGAAAATTGTTTTTCAAAGACAAACTCCAGATTTTTGAAGAATCTCAACATTGAAAAATAAATCTTCGGGTATACAGGGTGCCTACAAGAAATTTTTCTTAAACTACTTAATTGTTACACCCGGTATATGGACAAAATCAAGGAGTCAAGGATGTTTAAAAAAACAATCGAGAAGAATGACAAGTTAAATGTAATTACAGTTAAAGATGTCAAGAGGACAGTTACATCCAAGGTGGCTCCAGCCTGTTGGGCAATGTGTTTGCTGCCCATAGCTACTAGGCATTTGTTTAAATCGTCGTTTATTTCATGTGCTTCATATGAAAAGCAATGTAGTTGTAGTAGCTGCTCACGACATGTAGAATAAAAGACTTCCTTTACTTACAGCTTAAGCGATACTCTCATGGGCGTACCAGGAAACGCTCTCTCACCTTTAAACTAATACCACCTCACGATATGCGCAACTTTGGACGAATGGAGAATGTAAGGAAGCCCACCCAAAAAAGGAATTCTTGAAACGACTGAAAGGTCGTAGTGCAAGGTCTCCACTTGACCCTAATATTGGCAATTAAATAACGAAAGAAAGGCTCCCACACCTTCTATCGCAAAAAAAGCAGCAAAAAAACGATTAAAGTTTTCTTCTTTCAATCACGTAACGTGAATAAACTTCTTAGTCCGTAACCTTAACACCTCAATGTCTTCAAATAACCGCAAACCAATTCGCTACCATAACATTTACACACCTAATTATTAATAATAATACCGCATAAGAGTGCTAGTAGGCAATAAATTGATTTTATTAACTATCCATTGATGGGAAAATTGATTGTGAATCAAATCGGGTTCCGTTTCCAAACTTTAGCCTTGATGTTGCAATGAGAGAAAAAATTGTGAGCGTACCTTTTTTTTCGTGCAAGGACGATAGATTACCTTCGTGATTATTTATCTAACGTATAGTTTTGTTTAATTAGTTGTATCCCTGTTTAAACAAACATCGTGATCGGGTGTATTGGTGTGAGAATGGTCGTCTTGTTCGTTGCTTGCACAGCTTGGGCGGAGGTAGGTACCTAATTACTTTATCTAGGTTGAAGTTTCTATTTCGATCAATGGTCGGTTGAAAAGTCGTGCAAGTGCAATGATAATTATTGTAAGTTTCGAAATTGCATTCTCCTCTAATTCAAATTGGAAGAATAAAAATCTATACGCCCATGAACTAATTGAACTTAAAAGCGTGGAACGGTCCCGTATGAAATAATGAGAATTTCAGAGGCTTTTTTTGAAAACAAAAATGTCTGTACGTACTCTTCGACATCATCGACTGAGCAGTAACGCCAAAAATACAATTATATTTTTGAAAAATGTCAACATAGCTAACCGACCGTGAGAATTAACGACTTTTGACCCACATCCATAAATTCAATAAAATCGGAAATTGCATAATATGTCACATACCCACATATTTAAGAAAACTGTATCTAAATACGAGTACATCGCCTCCGACTAAAGCATAAGTGTGCATTGAAACCACGCACTTAAAAAGATAGCCTAAAGGGACCAAACTAAATTTTTTTTCACTTAGATCGACCTGAGATATGCAAAGCCTATGCCTATAACGAATTTACGGCGACACCATAACATTATAAAATTAATGTTTCGTTAAAAAAGGTACGCCTTAACTAGTTTTGAAAATTTTTCATTTAGTGCCGCAATACCTAGTGATCCAATTCCGAAGTTCAACAATCCAATATAATTTTGCAATCATTCACTCTCGGCATGTACCTATATATATAAATCCGTACCGCTTTTTTTTTGCTTTTTCTTTTAAGTGTGTAGGTACTTTATCAAGAGCGGGTATTGGGGAAAGAGACACGCCCTAAATATTTATTAAAGTAGTACTTTTAAGACTGTCTAATGCAACAACGGATCTGGTCTCCCATATATTACAGAAAGTGAATGTTTTTGTTCTAGAATTTCAATCGAGGAAATATTTATTATTATTTTAGTTTTATTTTACAATCTCTATGGCGTGGATTATGACTATTAATTTATAATAATTGGCGTGCGAAATCGACAATGAGAATATCCTTCGTTAGCTATTGTTCGAAAAATTTGCATTTTTTCTTGCATAAAGAGTAGACTACCTTTTTTCAATTAATTAAGTTTTATCAGTGGCAAAATCACGATCTATAATTAGGGGTTTCACTAGGCCTGGGGCGCGTGGAAACAAATCCTTCTTCACGTTTAGTCTTTAGTTCTGTAATTTGCAAACAATAATCGATTATAACATAAACGTAACAGGTAGGTACCCTACCCATTTGCTCAATCATTGGGTGATGCAAATTGTAAGTCTGAGACTCCCACCCAACGTTTTAGTTTCGTACACTAAATGGTAGTCTCTGGCTATCGCAAGTGCAAATCATTGTGAACCGTAACAATCGACATAGTTTTGTAATTTACTATGCAGCTATGTTATTTCTGAATGTAATTTGCTGTTAAGATCGGCTTCTGGTGGGTACCTTTAACCACAGTAAAACATATAGGTAGGTACTAGATAATCAGTTCGACTATTCTAGTGTAGGTATACATAAAGTTAATTTTGCAATAGTTAAGGGTTCACTTATCTTATTGTGAACGCTTTCGAAAAATTTTGGAATTCCGTCTTTCCTCGTTCCCATCGCTTTAGCTTTTCAAATTACTATACAAATGTATACTGTAAATTTAAGGACTTTGTTAATTTCGATATCCCAACTGAACTTATAGGTT